AGCTTTAACCTCATTCTCCTTTTACCCACTTGACAATAATGGATACAAATGGTTTCACCCAACCAACAACGTAAAACAGCACGCACCACCACCATCATTTTATTAGTATATTCATCCACAACGAATTTGTTCAGTCGAAAATTTACTCTGAAGAAACTCTGGCAAACTTCTTATCTTGTATGTAATAATAACCCAAGAAAGAATTGTTTGAGTACTTTCTACATATTTCTTTATTTATCCTCATTTACAACTTTCCATCTTTTAAAACTCTAAAGAAATACGAAATTTTTTCATCATTCAACTGTTGTGCACACCATTTGCCTGCTCTGCAAAGTTTTCATTTATATTTGTTTTATTTTCTCACAGTAAATAAAAGTTAAAGCATTTTTTACTCAACTGGTGCTTTAGGAAAAAGTTGGAGGGACTGAAACGATAAAATATTTAATAAATACAATGTCGGGTGACAACTTCTTTTCTTCCTTTCTTTCTCTCTCTCTCGTCGTTGCTCTTTCATTGATAAGTACCAAACTCCTGTTTATTACAACTCCAATTTATGCTGACACCCCATTTAAAAAAATTTCATGGTGGATTTGTATGAAGGTGATACAACAGCAGGTTGTGCACAGCTGTCTGTACTTGGCATGAACAGATATCAGACATACAGTAAACCTTTGAGAAGAAGAAGAAGCAATTTTGGGGACACTTGTTTCGAGTGTAAATAAACATTGATATTTTGTGAAAGAAAAAGAAACGGTCCAATTCTTCCTGGTTTCCCCTTATTGTCGTCCCCATAATGTTGTCAGACTTTTGGTTTTTTCGATTCCGGTGTTTGTTCCTCCTCCTTCTCCAGAATTGCAATGCGGAATGAAATGTAATTGACTTTCTCCTTAATCCCCAATGTTCGCCCTTGAGTCCTGTCCTGACTCCAATATACGATCCCCTCGTCCTTGCACAAGCAGAAAAAGATTTGATTTGATTCACTGTCCCCGTACTGCAAATCATGGAGGACGAAAAAATTCATTCACCTGCTGCTGGCTTGCCACCAAACTTGGTGGAAGGGAAGCAATACCAATAAAATCGGAAAGAGGGATTCTCTTTCCTCTTATGCTGCTCTACCCTCCGTGCTTTCTTTCAGGAAAATATCATTTCCTCATTTATCCTCCCCTATTCCTATTCAACAGCTGGGCCATCCCCGTCGATACGCTGGCATAACTTCTTCCTAATCCGTCCATACCCACCAAAACAAAGCACAGAAAAATGCAAGCTTGTAGTGGAAGGTATTTATTTATACCTGCATTCAATGCAAGTATGTATCTACAAGTAACTTGAGGAATAAAACTACAGTACATTATTATTAGTCGAATAGAAAATAAAAATGTTTCCGATTTTCAGTCTGAGCGGATAGTAGATAGTAGCACAAATCTAATAATAATAACCATGATGTTTTCAATAACCCAATACAAAGCCATGCGATACCCTGTAGGATTTTTGTTGGTGAGTCTAATACGAATAAAGTGAAAGGTCTGCGGATGCCTTTTCCAAATTCTTAATAAAGCATTTGGAATACAACACGCTGCAAAGTGCATCACGTAGTTTTATTTTGTGAGTAAAGTTGGCGAGCGACATCAAAATGGTTTTCTGGGCAAATTAATTACTCGCCAAGATCGTCTTCCAAGTCTTATATTTGCTTACTTTCACCACCACCACCACCTCGGTCTGCTGTTTGTCGTGAGTTGGAAATTTTATGTTTGAGAAACAACTGTGTCTGATGCGTCAATGCAAGTGCTGAGAGCTAGTAGTAGTCAGTCAGTGCGTCTCTGCTTGTACGTAACGTATGTCGGTTGGAGGTTTCTTCTGGTTGTAATCAGCAAAATGAGTTTCCGAAAGTACCTAACGTAATAGATAGAAGGCCGTAAACGAGGAAATTGGAGAAAATCAAGTCCATGGGGAACTTTGAAAGATCTCACTTTATTTCTTTGCTTCATGCTTTATTACTCTGCTGATACTGTATTGAAGGCAGCCTGATGTATATCAACCAATAACCAGACAATTCATCGGCCTACATATAAACCAAGTTGTTTCACATTTTTGCCGTTTTGCATCTTCCCTGGTCTGACAATAGTGATTAAAATTCCCAATTTATACTGCCTCAACAGAGCATATGTAAATGCACCAAATATCCATAAAAAATCAGGTGCAACACTCAAAATTGAGTGATAAACTCAATTCTACTATGTATAACCGGTAGATAAATAATCATAGATTGAAGAAATTGCTAAATTTATTCATCAATGTACCTGAAAGAGAGACTGGCAAAGCCATAACACGAAGAGCATCGGTGATTTTTACAATACTATCTATAATGTCAAATTCCCTAAAAAAATATACACACGTGTTCTTCAACATGTAATTCCAAATCTTCAGCTGGCATTTTGCTTCAGTTCACCATTCGGTTCAAAAATACAACACAGGAACCCTATAAAAAACTGTAGAACTGATGCCAAAATTGGCTGAAAGATAATTGTGTATTTTACTCATCCTCATCAGGGTAAGTGTTTCCCTACGTGCATTCCACACGATTGTACCAGTACATCAATGGATATGGGGAAGTCTAAGGAAATGGCAAAATGTAGCCACATATTTAGGATGCAATGGCTGCATTCTATAGAGACGATTTTTTTCTCCTTTCTCTACGTAACATAGGGTAGAGTTGGAACACCATTATCTCAATGTTTCAGCATATATTTGTATTGTAACGATTTTATGTATACATTTTACAATACCTACTCGGATTTGTGAACAAACGTAATGTTGAAATGTAGCAGAGAAGAAAACGACGAGTCAATATGAAGCCTATTCCTGTAAAGCGACAAAATCATGGCCCAACATATGACTTGAGACATTTATTCCTTAGGGATCATCCTAATTAAAATAGATGAGACTTTATAACCTTTGTTAACAACTACTCCTGCTGATACTAACCTGGGTGTTCCACATTACATTGATTAAGTTCTGAACAGCATATGGGTGATTAAGTAAAAATGAATGAGCAGTCAGCAGAGTCAGTAGAGCCTATTTTAGTTACAAGTTATGCCTGAACTAGAAATTTGTTGTTTATGATAATTTAATTTTTAACAACTTGACTGGGTACAATGAAAACATTAATTATCTTTTTAACTACTGAATAAAATATTATGGAACGTCAATGGAATACATGTTCCAAGTAAGTTCGTTTCGTACTCTTGAGAGTTATGATAAAACATTATTCACATTGAAAATGCTCTTGTTCACGTATGTTATGTTATGTACGAAAGATGAGAACTGTCACCATATCCAATGAGACTGCTTCATATTGTTTATATAATTAACGTAGTTTTACTTTTTATTATTTTCATAGAATTTTCAGAATTTTTACAATTATTGTCATTGTGATTCGTAATTTTATGCTCTAACTAATGGAATTCTAGGAAAATTTCTCCAGGCAAAGCCTTTTTTGGTTCACCCTGTATAAAACTTAAAATGCAATCAATTTGTATTCATTTCGTATATTTTTTGCATAAAAGTATATATACATATCACCAACTTGCACACCACCATAGCCATCTACAACAATAGATTAGATCACGCCAGATGCCAATTTTATAATATTTTAATTTAAAAGTAAGATTTTGTCATAATTGCTAGAAATTCTGTGCATGTGCATTACCATCGTCCTCCATCCTGTTTTTGCATAATGGATGAGATGACGACATTTTCGTGCTAAAAAGTAATGAACTGTAGCCTGCCTGTTTTGGCAAAAAAATAGCCAAAAAAGCAATATACCACCACCACCGCAATGAAAAGCATCTTGAGAACTGATTTCATAACTTGAGGATGGAAAATAAACGTTCAACCAACAAAATTTAATATTAATGTATACATATGTATCAACATATGTATTTTATAGTAGTAGCTAAACTGCTAAACTATCGGCGTATCTATTTAGTGAACCTTGAACCCAACCCTATGGTTTGTATGGCCAAGTTTATTTCAATACTATTAATTTACGTATTTTCGGCATGAGGGATCTCAATGGAAAGAAGATGGAGAGGACGAAACGACTGAGCACATTCATTTGCTACAAATCATAAAATTGGCACAGATTCAGAATAGGGATTCTCCATGTCACTGCATTTACTCAAATCGTTCATCAAGGTATATGTACAACATAATACCTATAATACATGGTATCTATAACGGATTTAATGATCTCCAAGTTGAATTCAACTCATTGAATTCATTCACGACATACACACTCCACATATGCAGTCACACAATAAGGGATTAACTGATTATGAATAAGCGTCTGATAATTAGTAGTTGGCTGATAATAACAATGATAATCCCATATAAATAATGAAAATGACACATGTAGAAAGCATTTTTTAGCATAGTACATCCCAAATTATGGTACTGCCATGCATGGACTAGAGTTATATATGTATTTAATAAACATTCGAATTCGTCAGCTACCCTTTGATCTTCTTGACTTGATTCCTTCATACACCAAAACCACAACCACAATCCGAAATACATGCGTATTAAATTAACACGGTAAAGTCAGGTCACCCAACGTAAATGACTAGAGTCTAATTATGCTCATCCAGTTCGCCATAATAATGGCAACATTTGGGGATATAACAAAGTTCCTTACTAGTCTTAGTCGAAATGTCTGTGTGACTATTTGGTGTTGGATTGGAACACATCGAACTAAATACTATTGTGATAGTGATATTCAGTTCTGAATTCTACACAATGGGGAATGACCAGGGAGAGGACTGAGAAGAGGCTGATGAGCTTTTATGCATTCATGACCACAAACTGAAAGTAAACCTATGCTGCTGTGGTACCCGTGTCATGTCAATTACTGAAATTAGCCAACTCACGGAATAAGCATTCATTGGATTATACGACCACTACTGCATAGTGCATAGTGCTAACTCCTCTTTTAGTTCTCTTACCTCTCCACCATTAATGAACCCGTGTTTTCGGGCGATTCTGTCAGCCACGGATTTTCCACCAACAATGTGGACTGCCCATTGGTGTGTGTAATGCTGTCGGTCTTGATCTTGTTCTTCTAACCCGGCTCCATTCCCAATCAAGTTTAGTTGTAAATCATCATTATCGTCGTCGAAGGAGTCTGTTTCCTCAGCCACCTCACCATCCTGTTCACCACCACCAGCAGCGGTGGCCACACGGTCAAAGTCTCGATTCAAATTGTTAACGTTGATGCTACTAGTCTCCACTATTCGTAATTGGCACGAGACAAGAATTACGAAAATCACTAAAACTCCACAAATACTGATGGGTAATCTCGTAGTAGTAGCAGCAGCAGTGGTCCATGTATTGATCCGCCGTTTGTTGAAACATGAACCATTTTCAGCGTGTATCGTCCTTTTCTTAGCCCTACTGCCACCCTCATGACGTAGCGACGAAGGTCCCATCGCTTATGGGTACAAACACAAGGTATGGTTGATGGCGACGGCGGAGCTACGGCTAGAAATTCCACCAACAACAATCCACCAAATTCATTCAGCCGCCCAACTACGTGCACTACAAACAATCCCGCAACATAATTATGCTGATTAAGTGTTCAAATTTTTCGGACGGCGAGAAACCTCTAGGACGACGACGACAACGACAACGACGGTCAAAGCTTTATTTTTACTTTCTCCCACCTGAGACTACAACTTGTGTTTGTGCTGTTGACGATTCCATGTACAGAAATTCAGTCGTCGTGTGTTCAAACAGTTCAAAACAACCCTTTTCATTTAGATGGGAGATGCGCTACCTACATCCCCCTCAATAACAACACCAACTACTACTTACTACCACTGCTACATACTTGTCTTATGTGTGCAACAGAGCAGTTTTAATAATAACTGTACACTTTTTTAAATCTGGTGGTGATGGTGATGCTAGTTGGTGGTGCTTTTGTGGAGTCTCTCCTTTCTCCACTGGCAACATGCAACTGAATCTCCTCTCTACAGATACATACTCAGGACACTGCCTCGAGCGAGAATGTTCACGCACGCAGCCTAAGTACGACTGAGCTAAAACATGTATCCGTCCACTTTTTGTTTCTTTGTTCCTCGTCGACTTTTTTACTGAGTTGGTGCAGCCAGTTCAGCCAGTTGATGGCAAATTTCGTAGCAGGAGCAGCGTTGTTGGTTTGGGTTTGAGTCGACTACTGGAAGAACCATTCTCACCTTTCCCTCACCTCTCCACACACGAAGAAGGGCTGGAGCTAAATGAGCCTTCTTCCTACGGGTGCAGGTGGAGAAAGTGTGTGTGAGACGCGATGCGTTGCTCCCACTTTCTCCACAGGCATTCACCTCACACCGCACCGGAGAGAGAAAGAGAGACGAGTAGTGGACATGCACAAATGGCTATGTAAATAAGACTCTTATTGATGTTGAATGCGATTTACATAGACTTCCATTCCATCATGTAAATAAATACTCTTTGAACATATGATGGGTTATAATATAATAACAAAATTCCTTTTTACTAGTCTAGACATTGACTCGCAGTGACTTAATTTATAATAATGATTTGGTGACACTCGCTGTAGTTATTTAAGAATATGAGCTATTTCTTTGAAATCACAAACACATTCATGAAATATGAAATTCATTTGTTTAGGAGGCTTATATCTCGTTCTAGTTTTCCTAGAGGAGAATGTTGTTTTTTTGGGTGATGATAACTGCATTTTATTAGTTCTTTAGTTTAGTAGCCAAATATGCCATGCCATACGGATGTGATCACATTTCGACGTTTGACATTGAATTTAACTCTTTTGAAGGACGCATATGTTGTTGTTGCATATATGATAGTTCTCATAGTCTTTTATGATTTATGTATTTGGACTTGATGAATTTAAAATTATGAATAATACACAGGAATATAACGTTTCCTCTGTCCTCATAACTCCCATTCAGCATATTAAAATACGCAAACCAGGTTCTTGTAAATTGAATGAAACGATTCTTCGAAAGACTGTTGATATACAATTTATTTCGCATTGGTTGGATATCACTCTTTGATATAAAAATTGACAATATCCAATGGAGCATCGACATTGCGGAGCCATCCAGGCCCAACATACGTAAGGTTTGTTACACCCGACCTCCAGTTTCCGATTGGAAGATAAATGTCCAAGGTCGTAGCACCTTCCTCAACAACAGGAGCTACGAGGATGTTTTCTCCCAACATATACTCTGCAAGATAATAACGTAGATTTCCCGTGATGGTGTAAAGAGTTAAAAAACACAGAAAATGTGTTAAATATGATATGCACACCTTGCCCAACAGTGAAAGTCTCAGAATCAGTAGGGTCAACCCACCACAAGGGTCGATTAATCGGGGTGCCATCAGCTACCGCTTGATTTGCAGCTATCAAAATTTCGTCCTTGTATTGCTCACGAATACTGAGAATCTTTATGCAGATTTCAATTGTCTATGTAGCAGGATAATAAATACAAATATATAAATTGTTAAAGATTAATTTTATCATAATGTAAATTTTTATGGTTTTTTCATACTTGGTCGTCGAAATGTGAATCCCATGGAACAATACTAAATTGGATCGCTGGCATGAAGACATTAACTTGCAACCATCGAATATAAAGCTCTTTTGTTGGCCAATCACCGTAAGCGTTTCCTCCAATCATGTCGGGGAGAACGAAAGGGTAACCTAAAATTCCGAAGAGCAATGCCGTAGGAATCATAGACTTTAATCCAGCGTCATACCCCCAATGACTCAGTTTATCCAACATGCGGACAAAAATTGGATGCTCCTGTTTTGTAATGTCAAACAGAATAATTAATAAATAATTTTATTTGCGATACATATTTCACTTCATACGAAAAAGAAAACTTTACCTGACTTAATCTTCCAACTCTTGCCTCGACAAGCCCACCAAAGGGTGCAATAGCTTCAATGTATTTTGTTGTATAAGTATTTGGTGCCAAGTCTTGATTTCCTTCTAAACTTCTTGAATATGGCAACCAATTTACTTCTCCAGCATCAAACTTAAACGAGTCGATACCGTATTCAGTTCTTAATCTCTCCAATCTAGCTCTCCACCAGGTTACCGCTCGCTCGTTGTTGGTATCGATGACACCTGCATTTGACCCAGCCCACCAAGATGTAATTGCTGCTTTGCCTTTTTGGTCTTTCATAAAGTAATCGTCGTTTACAGCCGTGGTAAATAAGTCACATCCTAAAATTCACAGTTTTGCACGATTAAACCTGCTTTAATATTTTAAAAGTCAGGAGGAGTTTAAACCTACCAAAATTTATGAACGGGTGAATCCACAAGGTAACTCTTAAATTCATTGCTTTAATTTGACTAACCATTTCTGTAATATGATTATAGTTTAAATATTTCAGGTAGGTTTGGTGAGTAGTGCACAATTAAATATTTCAAAACTATAACGAACCAGCAGGATCTGGAAATTTATTAAAATCGAATTCTTCCTGGCCATAACACGGTTCCCATTTGTCGTCGATCTCTATGCTACATAACAAACAAGGAAGGCAAAATCAAAATCAAATACAAAATTAGTATCACAAATCATCATAATTAAATGCGGATTGAATGCAATTTTTTGTTAGTAACTTACTGACTGCTCAGCTCAAAGCCTCGACTCATAACTTGATTTGCATAATCTAGTACAATTGATTGATTAACATCGGTTTTATATTGAGCCCACGTAGACCTAAAGTTATAAACCATAAATAAATATCAGCAATAATAAACACTATTAATAACCAGCACATAGTTTGACGGCGTTAGTGCAAGAGCATAATAAGGAATAAAACATAAACTTTGAGTTATCAACTTTACCATAATGGACGAATCAGCATAGTTTGATCTGGAAGCCCCGTTGGTTTTTGGTAAAATTTGTTGAAATTGGCCTGATGCACTGTCTTCACGTTATCACCAGTACAAACAGTGTATTTTAATGTTAGCACATCGCGTTTATCATATGGATACGCATCCGCTGAAACGAAACAAATTTGTCCCGGTCGGTTTGTATCCCAGCCTACATTACAAAAAAGTGCCACGGAAATAAATACAATTTGCATAGTTCGACATACATGAAACAAATGTAATAAATAGTAATAACTAATGAACTTAAAAACTTACTGACGAAAAGTGGATTTTCTTCGTCAACGTGGACTGCAGCTCCCTTGGAGAAAAGCCAGTAATTTTCCAGCAAGTCTCCAAATTCATATCCGCCCAAAAAATCAGAGGTGATGTATGGATTTTCATTCTTTTTGTCTGCATTCACAGGCCAATATTGGTTAAGAGTTTCAGAACCCCCGTAAATGTAGTCGCCACTCCCCACGTTGAAACAGTCTTCAAGACGTCTGGCGTAAGTTGATGACCACTCCACTCGGGCACAATTGTCGACGCTTGTGGTTATCGTGGCATTCGCAAAATCGCCGTAAACACGGCATTCAATTGTGGGGTCGGTGGGGGCGCAGTCAACGATTACGCCTTCTCCAACTGAGTCTGGCAGGGAAACTCCGAGCAGTCCGCTAAGCTTGATTACTATTTTTTTAACAATTAAAATTAGTACATACATATGTGCTTTCGTGGCACGCATGCGGTAATTAATTAAAAGGATCTGACAAATAAATATGCATACCTCCATTGTAGCTGAAGTCAATCGGCGAAGCACTTCTTCCAATTTGGTTGCGAATCTCAAAGTTTTTTTCTGCATAGCAAGAATCCCCTTGAATGCCCAAGATTATAGCAATCCCCCAGACTAATTCTGAAATTCAAAATTAATTCACGTTGTTCAATGTCCGAACGATGTACTATGTTACATAAGGGATAGTCCATAAATGATGCCACCGAAAAATCACCATTTTCCCTCTGCCACCAGTTACGCCGTTTTAAGGTAAGGCGCAAATGAATCTGTCATGCCATTCCCCCTCCCCGGCGACATCATTTATGGATCACCCTTAAAGCTTACTGTTGTAATGCATGTCAAGATTATTCGTTGAAACGAACTCGGCGAGTACTGAGTGAATTTGACTTGGTCACTTGAGTTTAATAACGAATTCGTTATCGCTAGTTAGCGTCATTTAGCGTCATTGATAATGACGTTAACGTCATTATCTTGTATACAATTTAAACCAGCTTAAAGATATGAGATTCTTGTCAACTCTTGACCATAGCTAGAGAGACAAAGTAATTAATCTGTTAATAGTAATAATAAATTACAAAACGCACGTACTTTTGTGATACCAAGTGTTGATGTTGTTGATTGATGAGTAAAATTAGCTATATCTAACCCCGTTCCCGAAACATGGTCCTAATTTTGTATCTGCCTGATATTTGATATCTTGATTCTTGATCCTGAGCATAATTTGAGGTAGGATATTGTATGTACATACATTCGGTTTGGTACGGTTCTCATATTCCTGCATGCAGAATAAAGAATAACATATTTTTACTGTAAATCATTTAATTGATTATTATCATGCAAATAACTGATACAGCTTGGCTATATATACATGCACAATCTCTAATTTTTACAAAGTAACAAATTTACTTGTTGGGCGCCAACTGCTCAGTTTCACAGAGTACTATGAGAATCATGTGGAATGGAAACCATCAACAAATTTACCATCATACTAGACGAGAAGATCATAGACTTTTACAGAGTTCCTAGCTTGCATATAATTTTAATTCAAATCATGCAAATCAGTGCACAATACGCAATAATAATATACTATACTAGTATCTATATTAATATTTTTTGAACAATGAGGAAGGACTTCCTTCTCTTCCGAGTCTAATTTCAAACCACCACAGCTCCCACCACCGCCCATCGAATTCAAAATTAGTGGTCCGTACTCCTCAGGCAAACAGCTGTTACGACGTTGCCAAGAATGAAGAATGACCTTGTAAACATTTCAAGAAATAGTCCTGCCATTCCTTTAATTGTAATTCACCGGTTTTGGGGATCATGAAAATGTTCCAGTTTCAGGATGCATATCAGTGGTGCATTACTGCATTATTGGGGTCGAATCGTCACTATCTCCACCGACACCAATGAACAATTAATTTGTGCATATGAAGCCTGAACCGGCATCGCTTTATCATGAAAGGTGCAACACGAGTGACCTGCTCACACCGTGCTCCTCCGTGAAATACAGGTCCACCTTGTTTTCTAAATTCTGCTGATAATACTTGTCTGCAAGAAATTTAGGCCCCATCATCTCTGATTTTTTGGACTACCTCGCTCGGCGAGAAGCATGACTTGCGCCAAAAGTCGTGAAAAAGCCTAAATTTTCTACTTTCGCGAATGTATAATTTCAAAGATTTGGGTGACTTCACATTACTTATATACCGCTCGATTGGAGTCATTCATCTACCAAAGGACAACATGCTATTTTATACTTTAAGATTTTGCATCGATATTAATTCATTTGTTTTTTCTATAAACTGACAAATAAGCAAATTGATAAAAATTTCCGACTACATGGTTTACATTACGTTTCAAACCCACGAAATTTAATAAGATACTGAGCGTACCGATATCTGTGGCCTTGCTTATGGAAACATTTCAATAAATTCGGGCTACTTGAAGCGTTTTGAAGCAATTAAAATTGAAATTCCGGTGATCTGCAAATTAATTGTTTGGTTCAGTTGGTTCATGTTGATGCCTCTTCCTACTTATTTGTACTCCTCCGCTGAAAAAAGGATTCAGTGGTGGTGGTGGTCTTCGGTCGGTGGTGGTCGTGTTTTGCTATTGCTCATTGCATCCCATTGTATTTGTGTCTTGTGGCAAAACTATTGGAGGAATGGAGACTTCTTGATCGTCGTCGTCCTCATTCATTCATCACTTCACATATCTTCTTCACTCTGCGGCCGATTTTATTGTATTGTTTCCCCAGAGGAATTTCGGACTGTTGTTCCTCTTTCTTCAGTACTATTATTTCCCCCCCTTTACTTCCCGTCAAACTATCTTTGTCATTGGCCCATCTGCTGTACTCCAAGTGGTCGTCGACGTCTTCTCTCCGTGTTCCTTTGCGGCACGGCTGTCGTTAAATCGTGTCCGCATCACCAACTATAGCCAACAACCTGTCAAACAGTATAAACTTTTCTTGGTCATTGGTGATTTGCGGACGAGAGTGTGTCGTGTCGCCGAACTGAAACTAAATAATTCTTGTGAAAAAGAAGTATAAGAATACCATCCGATGATAATTGCATTCACTTTGCAACAATATAATTTCCCTTAATCCGAAGGATATTATTTATTACTGGAATCTAGTTCATATTCGTTTACATGTTCGAGAATATGTTAATCATAGCAAAATTGTCCACTTGACATTAAACGATGACGTTAAAGGATTCTTCTTCACAACACCAAAGATTTGACTAATGTTCAATGTTAAATATTAAATATCCTCTCCGATCTAAATTTGGTGGTGCAAATTCTTTATTTCTCGGGCCGCTTAGTATCTATTATAACAATTCTGGCCCATACGCACACACGAGTCAGCACAACACACCCACAAACAAAGAAAAAGCCACTAATTTACCTCCTTCGCCCAAACGAAATTGATATACAAAATTGGACGCTGGATGTTCAATTATTTCTCAGGCATTCAACAGCTGATATTATTATCAGTTTGTTGAATAAGTTGGATTGAAGAGCTCAATTCAAGACACTGTTTCGGCTGTCGTAATAATCACGGACCGACAAAATGGTAAGCAACTCAAAATTGAGAATTTTATTTAGGCAAAGTCCACAAACGACAAACAATACTAACTACTCCTCCGTGTGCACTACCTGTGGTCCTGTTACATGCTCAACAGCTCTTTCTTATTACATCTACCATACTACGGTCGCTCAGCGTAGCACTGAATTGTTTTGTGTGCCGTCGGTGTCGGTAAAATATTAGTCAAATATTTAAACGCCTTCTATGGACTAGCTAGCTCAGGCGGCCCGGATAATAATCAAACGGAATCACCCAAACTCAAACCTGTACCTGTCTATACTTGTCTTATTTTGTTTTGTACATGGTCATTGTCAATTTGTCAGTCCTCGCTAGCAACGAGTCGCTCCCATTATTTCAGTAAACGTTTTACACTGTTCTTCCCTTCTCGAGAACTACTTTATTAATTGGCTGACGTGTTCGGCTACTACTTAATTAGTAATACTGACGAATTGGACAGGAAATAAGTGAACAATGAGAAAGCACAATCTCCCAATTCCTAATTTTGTACGTACCGTTCCGGTGGTTTTAGTTTTAATTATATATAGTTTTCCGATTTCTTAGTATCATTGCTTGACAACCTAATAGTGTGGTTTATGTGAGTCCTCCTCGGTATTCATTATTATTTTTTACCTCTTTTAGTCTTTTTTTTGTTTGGTCAACATTATTGTACCAAAGTTATTATGCTCACCCAACCGTAGTCATGTCATAAGAGAAGTGCCAGTGTGTTTTTAGCAAAGTTTGACCACTGAAATTGTCAAATAATACAAAATTCTCACGATATTCTTTACGAGTTAACAATACACCACCGGAAAAAGTTCCTGTGCCTTGAGCGTGAAAAATAAAATAGCAGCTTGAATGAGAGGGATTTTCAGAACAGATCAATGCAAAATTTCTTTGTTGTACTTAAAAGCATACTGTCGTAGGATGCTTGATTAATGGAGGATATACCTTACCCTGAATCGGCACGAACATTATTATCTATATATATAAATATATATATCGTATATATATTGTGTAATGCTATAATTGTTTACTTTTGTTGAATATTTAATTTCAGAGTCGAGGCACTCACCATCCCGCTGGCACGAGTTCGGGTAGTTCAACAGTACTGATGGTTGGTCCTAATTTTAAAGTCGGCAAGAAAATCGGCTCTGGAAATTTTGGAGAGCTTCGACTGGGTGAGTAAATTCGGATTATTGGCTGTTGACATTGACCATTAATAATTTGTATGCACTAGTAAACAGTTAACAACTAGAAGAGTAGCGAGAATTCTACGCCGTCTTGATATGATCAAAGCTAGATCCCCGTTTTCGTAAATCAATAAGAGTATCTTTTTGATGTTAGCATCATCATGAACAAGGCATAAATCTAGAGAGCACATCGTAATTACAATTTGTATGATTCTGCAAACACAGCAAGAATCGAATACCAGTAAAACCAGAATGCTTGAGACCCAGAACCATTTTCTGGAACAACCACCAAAGTCTGGATCTCCAGTGAACCGTCAAAGCCAAGCATCAATCAACAACAAGAAGAATAAGCACCTTACTCTTCGTGGACCATAGCTTATGTTCTTTTCCGTTTCCTTTGTTTAGTCGTTGTTAGCACAGAATCAAATGTCAATGGGTCAGCACCAGAAGAAATGACGTAGATAGATATAGAGATACACGAACGATATGTAAACTGGATGATAGCTTGTGTAAAGGAAAGCAGTTTAATTTAATAGTAATAGTCTGGGTTAGTAGATTCATATCTCTGTCCAAACTGGCCATGAACATTTTTATACAATTTCTGACAGGTTAATCTTGGGTGAGGTTTTATACGCCTACTTGCAAACAAAGATTTTTTAGTTTCTAAATATGTGATGCTATATGTGTATTATTGTTTGAATGGGGTAACCAAAATGTTTTGAATTTGGGTACAAAACTGAACTTAATTAATATTGTTTGGAATATACAGGGAAAAACTTATACACTAACGAACATGTAGCCATCAAACTGGTAAGCAGTGCTAACTGTATTACGATGCGATTGGTATAATTAAATGCAGCCAGATATTTTTAAAAGCATAATTTCCCTAATTTTACAGGAACCGATGAAAACAAAGGCACCTCAACTGCATATGGAATATCGTTTCTATCGTATATTAGGATCTCATGGTATGCCACTTTAGATTGGACAAAATAAGGTTTTGTTATTTAATCATATAAACTTGCAGAGGGTGTACCGGAGGTGTATTATTTTGGGCCATGTGGAAAGGTATAATTAATTATTTATGTACTTTCACTGGAGAGACGTAAAATCAAATTAATTCATTTAAATACTTCGTTTTTCAGTACAATGCTTTAGTGATGGAGTTGCTGGGTCCCAGTTTAGAAGATCTGTTCGATCTCTGCGGAAGGCGATTTTCATTAAAGACTGTTCTTATGATTGCCATCCAGTTGGTAAGATTTGTGATATTTTTCTCAATTCAATCGCTTTCAATTGGTTGTATTATTGGAACAGCTTCACAGAATAGAGTATGTACACTCTAAGCATCTGGTGTATCGTGATGTGAAACCAGAGAATTTCCTTATTGGTCGGAGTTCCAACAAGAAAGACAAAGTCATCCATATAATTGACTTCGGTTTAGGTAAGTCCTATCGAACAATTGTTTTCTATGTATACACCAAATGTCTCGTTTTCGGGGTTGATATGTTAGAATGTTGATGACTTAAATTTAATTGATTTATGCTCTATTTCAAAACAGCGAAGGAATACATTGATCCAGAAACCAATAAACACATACCATATAGAGAACACAAAAGTCTCACCGGTGAGTTTATTTTTCGAAATATCAGACTGTTAAGAAGAGGGGATAAAATAATTTCCGTTATGAAATGAAATGTGTATTTCTCTCATAGGTACTGCTCGATATATGAGTATCAATACCCACATGGGACGTGGTAAGTTTGTGTTTTTATTTGATGATGAGATGGTGGAGCAATAAATATCAAGTTTTTATATGCGGAGAGAGATGGATGGGTGTGGGAATTGGTCATTTTTTACCGTTTGCCCTAATACTATTAGGGCTTAATTAAATTTCGGATATAGTATCCTCTTATGTTATGTTTCTTCTCATAAATTAGATGCAATTTAATTTATGCATGACGGTATTTTGATTCACAGAGCAAAGTCGGAGAGATGACTTAGAGGCATTAGGACACATGTTTATGTACTTTTTAAGAGGATCCTTGCCATGGGTTAGTGACATTTTGTTTATTTTTTGAACTTATGTATTGAATATATTTTGAAATAATAACTAGTAATATTTCTTTCATTAATTTCATTAGCAAGGACTAAAAACGTCTACATTAAAAGAACGGTATCAGAGGATTGGGGGTAAGTTTATAACAATTTATTAGTTCATTTTATACCTACACAATCTATGAATCTATAAACAGGGAATCAAATTATTAACAAATTTTGAACCCCAATAAATATGCACTAAAAAATTATTCATCACATAGCTATTTATAACCCGAAAACTTGTTATCCATATACGTTGAATTGATTTGTTTATTAACACATAAGGGATGAGGTTTACCCGTGTATTCCTCAGGATTGATGCAATTTGTTAGTCGTAAAAGAGACGCTAACAGAGCGCAAATGGAAATATGAACTTCCCCATTATTCCTGCGTCCTACAGGAATGATTCCAAGGGACAATTCGGTGGTCAGGATGGTCACCTTAGTTTTTCATATTTTAATGACTAAAGGATCAGACGAATTTCATGATTTGGCATGTTTGAGGGTTTGACCAACGTAAATGGGTTACTGAAGAAATGTATGAAGCCGTAACTTTTTCTTCATTTAATTTTGCAACACCTTGTTTGCCTTCATCTTCAACACAAACCAACGTCTTTCCGGTTTGAGAATTTTGCCAATCGTCTCCTTTGGATCTGCTTTTATTATGAAGCGAATTTCCAACCCTGGATCCAAGTTTAAATCTTTAGTAGGTTTCAGTGTGTTGTGAATTCTCAATTCTATTCCTTGTATATTCATCTCGTTAAGTAACTCCTTATATGCTCCTTTTTGTAGATTAATCAGCATGTTGAGACAAATTACTTTAATTGCAATGTCGGGTCATAAAGCATTTAAAAAGCATAGTTGTCTGCACGAAAACAAGACATGGTGGTTTATCAATGGCGATTGAAATGGTATAAATATGCACAAACTATAGAAAATCTAGCATTACCTGTCTGACTGTACACATCTTCATCATTGCATCTTCGAAATACATACGTTTAATCTCAGCCAAATTAAACGCTAGTTTACTGTAGTACTGAATACTGATGGCAAATTTTTATTTTCTAGACACGAAACGAGCTACTCCAATTGAAACCTTGTGTGATGGGTACCCAGGTGAGTTGAATACATTTTGCTGGTTCTTTGACCTGATCTAGTAGTATGAGTTGGTAGAAAAATAAGTAAACTTTCTAAAATACATTATTGGAACTCGTTGCTCATGCGGTATAATAATTTTTTAAACAGAGGAAATGGCTACGTATCTTCGATATGTACGCAGACTGGACTTTTTTGAAACCCCAGATTATGAATACCTGGTAATGTGATAATATTGTTTAATTTATTTAGTTTTCTCTGAAAAATGCGTACATATGAGAAACACGGTAATACAGAAAATGTTTCTCCATACTCAATATTGTCGTTTACTTATTGTTCTATGCGTTCGTCCCCGTGTTGCTTGTTCCATCTCCAACGGATCTGTAGAGGAGAATGTTCCATGATCTCTTCGAAAGAAAAGGCTATGTAGATGATGGAGAATTTGACTGGACAGGGAAAACTATGGTAAGCTGAATTTTATTGCACTAATAATTAGATAATTTCATTATTCGAATGTGTAGGGTTTTGAATAAGTTATGCACATTTACAGTCTCAACAATTAATTGCACATTTTTTTGTTCATACAGTCGACCCCGATCGGATCATTACAAACAACTCATGAAGTGATATCCCCTCATCCTAGGGATCTACGCCATCAAACTCACCAATCGGCTCATAATAACCCACGACCTGTAAAGGTAACCTGCTAAGAATATTGCTCATCACTCCATAATTCTTTATCACTGGATGCAAAATTCTGGGAATTATTCTTATTCAAGTCGATTGTTGGCTATTAACTACAGTTATGTTTTTATTATCATAGTGAACCTATTTAATTAATCAAAATAGAATCGTTTTTTCTTGAATGGAAATCCCTTAAAATTATTTTGTGCCAAAGTCCAGAACATTTACTAAAATTAGACTTTTAAAAGTGCGAAATGTATTTTCCATATAATTGACAAGCTTGCTTCTCAAGTTCCTTTTTCATTTGCTAACAATAATGGACCTTTCATTTCACGTTTGTGCTAATTCTCACAGCTTTTTCATGATATCCATTTTCTGTAGAGTAGGCTCACGTTTGGTACAATAACAAACTTACGAGTATGCACAACAACTGGCTAATTTTGTGTTTTGGTTTGTGACGCATCACGCATCATCAGGGGGGAGGTGTGATCGGTAATAAAGAGATTGGATGGTCGGATAATAACCTTCAAAATTGGCCGTCGTCGTCCTTGGGACACGACCTGACCCCTGGAAATGATCGGCACGGTTCTGTACAGGTGAAATTGCTATATTGACACTCGTCCCTGGATAAGTTCAAAAAAATGTATACAAGGATTCGTGCGACGTGCGACCTTTTGCTTTAATTTTGTCGTGTGCAGTTGTATTGTTTGTAGTCCATCCTGTTGCTCCAACTATTTTTTTTTGCATTGTCAAGTGGCTAGATGGATAAGTAGATGCTTTAATACAAATCGTAATGTCTTGTAATGTCCAAGTACATGTACGTACCAGGTACCAGAACATTTGTCGTTGTCAATAGCCTGAGATTATTCATAAATGATGTCACCAGAGAAGAAGGAGGGAGGGGGAATAAGTTCTTTGCATGGCAACTCGGTTTGAGCCGCATGTTAAAAGAGAGTTTAACCCCTGTGAATTCGTGGGGTAAGGATCTGAAAATGCTGAAAATTTATCCGTGACATCATTTATGGTCCCATTTTGTTTGAAATTATTTATTTTGATTCCAATAATGGCTGATATAATTGGATTTTACATATACTCAATCGCTAATAGGTTAATAAGGCTTCCGCGAGGGGTGGGATACCAAACCACGACCTCCGTTTTCATGTTGCTTATATTATTTTACTTTTCTTTAGTTAGTCTAATTATATATACATGTGTTAGTCAATTAAGGTTGCACGGGCTTATCGATTTGTTTGTGTACTAAATTTGAAATCCAAAGTTTGACGCATTTGATAATTTAACAAGTGTCGTGCTTCATTCATATTCCTGTACTGTAAATGTGCATGCTGTGACTATTTAGTGTGGCTCAACAACAACCTATGTCGTATGCAACAGTTGGCAATTTTGTGTTGCTTTACTGCACGTTTAGAACTATTGGTATGGGTGATATTTTATTAAGTGTCAAAAAATTAGTATGGCTTCGAGTATACATGTTCACCAAAGAATGAGTGAGATTACTTTGTTGTTTTTGAATGTTTATATAAAATGAATATTCCATATTCGTGAATACTATAAGCAAAATCTGAAAATTACGATAATTCGAAATATTGACTTGTGACAGGTTGTGAGCTCGACTAATGGAGAATTAAATACAGACGACCCGACTGCTGGTCATTCCAATACGCCCATTACCACACAACAAGCAGAACTAGATGAAACGCCCTCGGAAACCAAGTATGTTATCATCTATACTTTTTAGTTGTTGCTCCAGAGCGAGTATAAAGTTATTCACTCGCATTTGTTCATTATAGATGCTGTTGTTTAAAACGAAAAAAGAAGAAAACCTCGAGTAGACCTAAATGACTGGATGATGGAGACCACTACCTCCTTCCCCCATCATCGGAGTAGGATTAGTTAATCAAATTACTTGCAGTTTCCTCCTGAAATATTGTGAATAAGCTTGATTGCTACGTTGAACTTAATTATTATTAATTACGATCAGACAAATACCAAGTACTATCGTCGATTAACTTTTGACACACAAGGATAAGTTAACTTTATAATTCTTGATCGCCGAACTATGTTATGTTAGCGAAATTCATTTCTTACAATTCATTTTATGTAGACGCATGGTTTGTAATTTATGATAATTCCCAATTGTTTGAATTTAAAGTTCCGTGCTCGAAACAAACCAAATTAAACAATTGCTGTATATTGAGACGTTTCATAATCAAAGTGTTAAAAAATATATGTAGTAGGTCAGAACATAGATCTGCCTTCTCTCATATGTCGTGTGCAAAAAAGTAAGGGATCAATAACGAAACGATATACAGTCAATGTTTTAAATAGTTGCAGAAAAAAGAAAAACAGGGAACTTTTGACTGAGTTAAAATGACCATTTAATTTCATATTCTTATATATTTATTGTTGTTTGTTTGTTCGCATCCATCAGTCTCTAATTAGTGCAGACGAGTTTCGTTTATTAAGATTTATACCAGCATAATATAGTAGTGCTTTCCTGTTGTTTGAAATACCTATCTACATACATACACACACCATATAATTATTCTACTTCACTCATATAGCCCACTTGAGACAGCTTAGTCGAATTCAACTAGAAATTTGTTGTCTGTTTCAGCGTAGTTTTTCAAACCAACCAAAATAAAAGGCAAAGATTAAATCACTTGCAGTCAGTACGGCCTCAAGTTATAAATTTTACCATGTTCTCATTATCAAGTCTAAATGATGGAGACCTTATTAAAAGAGTGATTCGATGGTATTATTATACAATTTGTCATTGTGGAAAGAGTAGTGCATCCTCATGATTTTTTAATGACATTTTTCGTTAGTGATCATCACGGATAACCCCGGATTTTGGTTTGAAGATTGCAAAAGGAACATGTTACAATGTTTTATTTCTCATGTGCAATCTCCTATATAGCAAGAGCTTGAATGTTGATTGATTTCTGAAACTTTGTATGACTCGCTCTCATTCACTTTGCTATTCGCATATATTTGTTCTGCTAATCAACGGTTTTAACTCTCAACGTATTATAAATATATATATTATATAGATATTAATATTATCAGTGTTAGCCTGTCCTTCGTATGCATTGTCATGAAAACAGAAGAAAAATGGAGATGATGTAACACTAATTGCGAATACATGTAATAAAAATCATTCGATTATAAGTATTACCAGAAAATTGAAAATTTGCGTTAACTATTCATTTATTTTGGATTTGACTAATTGAGTAATTGGCTCTTTTTTCAATACAATAAGATAACCTTTAAATAAATCTATGTGTATAAATATATACACGTCAATCCAAGTTATTCTTTTCTTGCATGCATAATTATGTAAAAACTATGTGAGCATTCCAAAAAAATTCCTACTTTGCTGGAGTCTACAGGCAATGCTTTGTTGAATGTTTTGTGGTACAAAACATGTTTTCACATTTTTGGTAAATGAATAAAGGAAGGGTCAGTCAATGTGGGTGGTATTCAGGTTGTAGCCCTTTCATAAATAGAGGTTGCAAGGTGCACCGTCGTCGTTGTCTCATTTTGTGAATTGTGCTAATTAAACCATTGTTGGTTGCATCGTTCTTTTTTTGTTGCCTTTGTTTCACAGGCCGATTTTTACCTCGCAGCGTTGCATGGGAGATACAACCAGTAGTACTGGTCCAGTAGTTATTATTATAAATTGACCACACAACAACAGACAAATACATAGAAATGTAACACTAATAATGCTAGAAAAAGGAGTTGATTTTTGGCCTTATCTTTAGTTTTTAACTCGAGTTCTCGAGTTTAACCATACAAGGTGTCCCCTGATTACAGCTTTATAACAATAAATTTGTATAATAACATTACGCACATCTCCAGCAGCTTCCCAAACGAGGGATAAAGCTAAAAACTTGCCAAAGAACTCTAGTTGTTTCTCCTTTCGGGCTGTCATCTGAAAATAAACATACAAACGCAGCCACAACCCGATCTCTGAACTAACTTTTTGTGAGTCCCTTATTATTAGTGGCAGAATTTATTGATCTCATTTGCCTCCCATTCCTAATATGTTTCGAAATAATCCTGAATAAGCTAAAATGCCAAATCTCATCACTATATCAGTCACCTCACAAATAAGAAATGCTCGACAGCTGCATTGTAAAAACAATGAAAGAATTGAATAGAGGGAAAGATTGTACATATTTATGTAAACCAAAAAACTATCATATATGATTTCATTGTTGGCCGGATTTTACTGCTATATATAAGTACATTAAATGATCCATTTTGCTGCTGAATAATAAAATGTTTCCATTCGAAAAAATAATCTGCGTATAAAGGTTGCAACAGTTCCTGGTAGCAAATAACCGTCGTATATTTAGAAAAATTGCTAAAAGACCTTTGTACTGACATTAATTAGCAGATGTAAAAACAATTTGACTCACTTATCATTGTTTACAAACCTACCTATTTATTAGTAGATGTTCGTTTGAACGGGGATCATGAGAATTGAAAAAACTCTTGTTTCTGGAAAATGTTGACTTGATTATAAGAATTTTTGCAATCCGAACTTCGCCTACACAAGAACTCATCATGGAGCTTACATATTTAGATACGAAAGTACTCTGTATTGCCTTTTCGCTCGCTCTTGTCTGCTTTCATTTGCGATTTGTTTTGAAACACGTTATAACTAAACAGCGCTTCGGCACTACAGAGTAGGAGGCAAATTGGAGTGTTCCAGTAGTTGATCTGCTAAAAAGGCTAAAAATCACTGCCTAGATTATGCAGATACATAGTAACCCGTGTAGTACAAAAGTCCAAGTCGCATTTCCAGAAGAGGTGGGAGGTATCGGAGGTAGGAAGAACAAGCCCCAGGGCCTATTTCGCATGTGTGTGTGGTACTTAACAATATCTTCACCATGCCAAGCTGCTCACTGTTCTGCGATCGTGGTCGTCATCGTCATCATAATCTCAGATATTTCACCCCATGGCTGCTTCGTTGGATTGGAGCAATGACAGCTACATGACCACGTCCACGCACTAATTCTATCATCGACGACACGCATCTCAACCTCTTCTTCGTTTTCGTCTTCTTGGGTGCATCGCGCATTTCAGTTGATCCGATATCTCGTTTGTTTGTGAATAAATTTACCAGTGATCTCTAGCAGGGTGACATAACATGAGTTGGTTGTCGGGATATATCCCATCTTAACGCAACGCCTAATAAAGTCGGTTTTCCAAAAGTTCAAGCACTAGTTTCATAGCTTAATTGGATTCCTCTTTTGGGAACATATTTTGTCTTCGTATATTCCGTATTGTGATTTTGTTGAACATTTTCCGAGTTATTTAAAATTAGAAATTTTCCAAAAACTATATAAAAAGTGTCAAAAACTTGCTAAGAACTGTAAAGTGTCGAGTAGCCCCAAATTGCACATACTTAAATAAATTAAATACTGAAGAACCTATATCAATGAACATATAATATTTTTATCAAGTGCATGGATGTACAAATGTTATAAGCTGGGAATATGTGAGGAACGTGAGACTGAAGAAATTATACAGTGCAACCGCTGCCGACTTGTTCGGTTAAAAATTTCGAAAGATGAAATGGATTGGGTTAAATTTTCTCTTTATGTGGGTAAGCTATTTATTGGTCCTTTCAGTTTTAGTCGTCATTTTACTAAAGTTTTATAACCATGTAAAAACAAATAATTTTAGATTATTGCTTTTTCGTTTTCTATTCCTTGAGATCCTTACTTACACATTTGCACGTATCGACTACTTTTCTTTAATTTTGTCCTGTCTCACCGATTAACATAAGAAAAATGGGTAACGTTAATGGAAAATGACGATTAAGCCAGTAATGCATGCACATATTTCCAATCTTACAATGGAGGCGCAAACCATGTTCAGCCCAGATAATTTTTTGACCTTATTAGTTTGAAAGAGCAAGTCTTTACAAACAACATTTGGTTCGGCACTTGGGCAGATGCGCAAATTTCAGCACGTTATGGGCGCCGCAAGTTCGCAAAAACGCACGATTTTTCGGGCAATGCCCAGCGCGAGCTCAACTTCGTGCGTTTTTGCGAACTTGCGGCGCCCATAACGTGCTGAAATTTGCGCATCTGCCCAAGTGCCGAACCAAATGTTGTTTGAAAAGACTTGCTCTTTCAAAATAATAAGGTCACAAAATTATCTGGGCTGAACATGGTTTGCGCCTCCATTGTTAGTGGTGAATTTTTCTCGGATTGAGAAACTAGAGCCAACTAAAAATTATTTTTACAACAGCTTGGTGTAAATGTAACGCACAGGTCTAAAGACTGGAATTCACATGAATAACCAGTCATTGATAATTCACAAACATAATGATTTTTGCAAAGATTTAAATAGAATTTGACCCATTAGATACTGCTTGTCAAAGGGAATAAGACCGTTGCATTATTCTTAAATATAACTATTTATGTACTATGCATGCATAAGTATATATGTATGTACATACGTAGGTAAATTGTTCACCACATTTCTATCTACTGAAACATTTCGAGTTCCACTTGACAATAAAGGAGTATGTTCGGATAAAAAGGACACATTGAAAACCTCGACAAATTCTTGTCTCATGTGCGTTACTCATATTTTCTGAATTCTCTGTCATCTCACAACCCTTTCTACTTAGCTTTGCGTCATCAGTATTTCTCTTTGATTGGCAGGAGAGAAGAAGACCCCAGCTCCGATTTTACATATTTGTGAACACTTTCAACAAAACCCATGTAGTTTTTTTTTGCTTGGAAAGAGAGGAAAGTGATGATTTAAGCAGTCACATTCCTCTTTTTTATTCTTCAACGTGCGTGGCAATTTATTTATTGAGGGTTGTACTGGGTGGCTGGAGTGTATTATATCAGAGATGAGAGGGGTTCAATTGGTTTTGTCAATATTTGTTTTTCAGTGACAAGAAATACAAACGTAAAAACTATGCGAGGCATTGCGAGTAAATCACTGCATTAATAGGCAAGACATTATTATTATTTCTGTGGTCATAATCAACCTGTCTTCACCTTTTTACAACTTGTGAGGTGTGCGTCGTTGGTATTTCATACATCTGTGCATAGCTTATGTGATTATCATCAGCACCACCATCACTGTGTAGTATCAGATCTTTTGAACCAACTGCATTACTTTGTTTCAATAAAGATGGTTTCAATGAAGGTGCATGGTATTATCAGATTCAATTACGTACATCAAACTCATCCTCAGTGAAACCATACTAACTACGCTGATTTTAGTTGTAGATGTTTAATAGTTGCATTAGATTACTGTTTGTCAAAGAAATCTCACATTCCCGTTGCAGATTCTACTTGTTGAGACAACTCACAGTCACTGCAGAGAACAGCACAACAGCACTCCAGCCATTAAAACAGAACGACATGGAGGGCTGAGACTGAGAAAGCTGACTTTACAAAAGGAGCAGGCTAGACTGCTGTAAGTAAAAAATTATTCGACATAGTCTCCACACCTATGTCCTCTTTTCATGGGAAATTATATACGTACGTAGAAGACGACTCATCCTGGAAACCACACAATTCTCCAAGCGAAACATTGAGAGACAACGCTGGACAAGTTACGACAATGACGACTGGGTGAATTTTGATGAATTTGAAACCGGGTTTCACCCATATACTTCGGCATTTCCATCACAAGCCAAGAAACCTCACAAGAGACTCGACACCATGATTGACAGCTCCTCGTCAAAGTCTTGTTGTCCCCAAAGATTCGAAATAATTGAGCCCAATTATGGACGAAATCGAACTGGTAAGCATCAATATTATGCGTGCATATATATGTACATAAGTTTGCATATTTTCGATACTCAATCTTGTCATGCAATATGTCTAAAAACATCAGGTCACATTGTCGAGCTGTACCGAGATGATCGAATCAAGCAGCGATTTTATGAGCTAATTTGTGATCGGCAGATAGCAAATGCTCCCTGCAGATTTCTTCAAGGCAGAAATCAGAAACTATCGAAGTGCACACAGCAGCACGTTTACAGTTATGCTCTGATTCAATCCAATCAATCCTTGTCAGGTTGGAGTTTGGACCACATAAGGATCAGAAGTGCATGGTAAGAGACCATTTCAATCTATGTGCCATTTAGAATAATAAAACATGGACGAGCTCCGATCTATAATTCTCATTTTTCTGATTAACAATTGTGTGCCCTCTACAGCACATGCAACTTGTACCAACCTTCGGATACCAGAAAGAAGAAAAATTCCAGGTGGGAGTTCAATTGATCAGTTATTCATAAACTTATACAATATCATCAAAAGTATAGGCAGCTCCTTCAAAAATATGATATTTCCAGTGTTGCATTGCATATGAGCATGCATGTTAGAAAGTGATTCGTTATACATATTACAAATTTACACATATTATTAACAGTAGTTAATTTAATATTTCATTTTTTTTGTATGGGGGATGAAATTATGTACACTTTATGCGATATCTGGCATAAAGAACCTTTCCCGTTGTCTCCCTTTTATGACCATACTTTAATAGGTATCACACTTGTATTTGTACGAGCATGCAAGATTACACTAAAATTGATACAAACACATTTAAAATCTGTGTTGGGTCTTATAGACACAACTAAACAAATACTTTACATACATGTCTACGGACATTTATAATTATACCATTATCTCTAGATGTACATGTCTACCGTTAACACACTAATTGTTGCACTTCCCATAATTCTGAGCAAAATGGTATTATCTATCTACATTTGAGCTTGCGTCAGTGACTCATTGTAAATATTTTGAGTCGCAAATTACAATTAAGTTAATGGTAAGCACAGTCATGTTAATTACAATGAGCACAAAAATTACAAAGTAATACATAGATCCAGCAAACTCAAAACTTGATTCTATTCTACTAATTCTGCATATATATAAATCTATATTTATTCGAAATGCCATCTTGGCGAAATTCTATGGTTGGTGTAAAAATAAAATGCACCTAATATATGTCTAAAATGTATAACATTGACAAAAGCTAACATTTTTTGCACAAGTCATCCGCACTAACAAGGAATTTTTAGTCCCAAATTCCGATGAATAAGGTAATTAACGATTTAAGTAAAAACCAATTACTATACTTTAGCCTGCACATGACATAAATTGTAGTGACTGTTACGATGTGAAAGAAAGAAAATTGGTGAATATTGACTAGTGTATATCAATTTTTTCCATATTTTGCATTGGAGTCTTGCTAAAAATTGTTTTGCCTAAGGTGCGATTTTAAGCATTATAAATATACTACTGGTCTCAATTAATGCGATTTAAAATTACACTTCTACGGCTCCCGGGATACGACCCACACAATCACAACACAAACTAATGGTCACCGTGATAAAACGCCACTGCGACCTTAAGCTCTCAGGGAGTGACACGTCGTCTTCCTCACAAGAAGTGGAGTCGGACGGGGAGACTCGTTTTAAAACTTTGGTTTTATACCGGCGAGGTCGGCATCTACAACATTATGTAAAAAAAAATGTCAGGAATTAAGGAGATTCTTCTTTCACTGTTACGTACGTGCATACTCAAAGACTTACCTAAAGAACCCATTGAAGCAACTCCTCGTCTTGCAATCCGCCGTGCGAATAAATCTCGGGTAGTGATCCGCACCGTGATCTCTCCATCTACAAAAATCTCGTTAATAACTAAACATGAGCTAAATTTACATGTTATCAATCTGAAGCGAAGCAATAATAATCCGACAAGTCAGCGTTGAGCCTTGACTTGACCTTACTCATATTTAGTTTCACACGTCCAAGGGAGCGAGGGCTCATTGTTGGTCTCGGATCTCTTAACCTCTCGCTTCTCCCGTGTTTCTTCCTGCATCTTTCCCTCCATCTCCTCCCTGGTTGCGGCGAAAAATGCGCGTTTCAGGGTAGGACCAACCAAGCCTCTCGCCGCTACAACAGTTTAAAGGAGCGAATCAAGTAAACATTCATGAACTACATACATGTATTCTTCCTAATCGAACGTTTGAGTTTTTGCTTTCAATGTTTGACGAGGTATGCTAATTAACTCTAAATTTGGAGTAAATAAGAAGCGTAGAACGTCTCTCTCACCGATTGATGGCATTCCTCCGCAGTCTTTTTTACGCTTGGGAGAATGCAGCGTTTCTTCGGCATCGGCAATGTTCCCTACGAAAGGACCAATAATCCCATTTTCGTCAGAGGGGCCGATGCCGTCTTTGAATGAAGAATCAAGTGGGCCAAGGTAGCTCGGTGGGGCTCGGAGTCGTAGATTTTTGTGGTGATTATCCGCATTAGATCCGTTTCTCCAGCAGAGGATCAGTGCGATTACGATTAACTGTAGAGAAAAGTTAAGTATTGCAGGAAAATGTTTTAATTTTCAGACTTTTGCTCTTCTTTACTGGTTGTAATACAAATCAATCAATTATTATATACAGACGAGTATTCGTTGAACTTACTGCTTTGGGGGTGCAAATGTCAGGAAAACGTCGACCACGTCGAAGCGTATTACCCCATCGGTAAGCCATCCCTGGACCTGGCCCCCCTAAAAATATACCTTGTGTTTCTTATTGCCAACCAATGGTAAGTGTGAAATGGGGAAACTGAGACACAAATTTTAAGACGATGAATGAACTCCTCTCGTCGTCTCATTCACCACAATCCGACTTTGTGCACAAAATAATTCAGAATGTGACGAAGGATACCCCGTTTTATAGCTTTTTCATTTGAGACAAGACCAATGACTGAGCAGGACAATGAGACTTTCGTCAATTGTGAGCTACATATACCAATGACAAACAGATTCTAATCATTACGTCAAAAATTGGACTCATCAGCATTTATTCTAAAAAGAAATTGGAAAAATGGTGGGGGTTAAAAGAAAGAAATGAATATTTCAGGTCTGCATTAGAAGTACTGACATTTTTACAAAGAATATTCAACATACAAAAAATGGAACTTTGATGTTCAGTCAGATTGGTACATGTTTAATTTTCTACGGGTTTTGAAAATAAAAATGAAAAGGTATCCCGCTCTGATTACGTACTTTTCTTCTCCTCCACCACAGTATCTTCAACAGCTAATTTCAATAAACTTTAAGACACAATTTTGTTTAGATGCCTTATTTAGATTCGTCTAATTTGTTTGCGCTCTCCGTCGTGGTCAGAGATAAGTATGTATAAAATGACACCAAAGAAATTGATACGTCTTAACAAGAGTTTGTGAATCACGGATAAAGTCTGATTGGTTTTCTGATAGAAATTTTTTCAATTTTCTCTAAGGAGGATACATGTCTCTAAATGGGAGTGGATTGTGTTCATCCTCTCTGAGAATCTGGTATTATGTGACTATTATTGCGTTTTTCCTTTTCCTATTTATACCTTATTCATCACCACTGAAATGATGGACCTTAAGTAGAAAAATCTGTCTTTCATCTTTATTAGGCAGGGAGAACAAATACAGGTTTTCGGGTAAGAGCTGCGGTCATTATTAGTCATTCTGAGCCAATACATATGTGAAAAAACTGTAATTGTAAGATGATTCTCTTCGATGATGTACATACGCAACGACAGAACTCATAGGAACTCGTAATAATGTTGTTTCCTGCGGATCGTATCCGATTTAATACGGTATATTACCTGGAAGCCCACAACATTTTCGGACCTCTGCCTTTTATGTATGTCCATCGAGCATTGTTTAGCTGTCATTTGTTTTAGAAAGGCGTGCGGTCTTTTGTTGTTGGTGAAAGTGTGGGAATAGCATTCAGACCTCGTAATATATCGCGTGGGTGAAAACTCCTCAAACCGAAGCCTTTTGTCAATAGTGGCAACTTTCGGAAGAAAAATCTGTGTATTTATTGTCAACTTTGGAATACACAACTTGCGTGCAGTACATATATGCCACATGGGATTTATTTCATAGATTTCAGGATTTATCAAAATTTAGATTCAATTAATAATGCAACTGACAATTTTGCATTTTGTAATAATAACAAACATTTTTGCACTTTTATTTGTCTTAAAGTCAAAGGTAAAATATGCATTCAAATATATACATACAACATATATACATACATTGAATTTGTATTCTCTGAAAAAAACATAGGCATGATAGCTACCAAATAAAATAGTTATTTGTTGTATATTAAAATATTAATAAAACACTAAATATGTAAAGTACCCACTCAGCAGTATTAAAGCTCGCTGACTACTTGTTAGTTTTATTTTAGTATTGAGATTAATTTCATTTCATTGTTTCTATTCATAAATATATGCACTTACATATGACGTACTAATTATTATTGTATTTTGTAAATATGATAATGATATAAGAAAAATGGCAGTTTAACAGATTTGTAACTATGAATTTGGGAACTCGTTTCAAGATGGACATTAGAAAAATGGCAGCGAAAGTTTGCATGTAGCAGATTACATTATTAACAAGGAAATACTCGGCTAAACATAAAGAAACCCACTAATTTGTTATAATTAATCTGAGTCTAAGCGTAAACGGATCCTTTCGGCTGAAATGGTAATATTGAGGATCTCTACTATATCCTACTATAGTTAAGTCATAGGTTCGTGGTACACTGATTTTTTTCTTAAAGTGAAGTCCCACTGGCGATTCACGAGTCACCTCAAACAAGTTGTGTTCATTTCCTTTTATTATGACGTATCTCATGGCACTCTGTAAAGTGAATGAGATCAAGGCATAAGTTGCGAGTATTTTTAAATAATTATTTTTTATGTGGCTGACCATGTGTTTCAACGATGGTTGGAGTTTTAAAATCCTATATCGAGCTCTCGTACGTTCAATTGGCACCATGAGGATCAGTTGGTCGTTAATCTCATTTTTGTGATGTTGCGTTAAAACCAAATTTGTTACATTGGTCTCCAGGTTTTCTGCTGATCGACGACCACGCCCAGATCTACTGGAGGCTCCAACCTTTTACAGATATATAGATTGTTTTTATTACAAAATGTGCGTTCAATGTACATCTTAATGCTATTGTGCAAGAAAATATCACCTTGCAAGAAAAGCAGCCCTCTGTTGATATGAATCGATCGCTGTTTTCCGAGCTGCTGAGAGGATCTTCAATGTCATAACCACCATAGGCTGGGGGAGTAATTGTGTTCAAACAATGTCCTTGTCCAATGCGATGATAGCCATGTGGGCATCCACAAACGAAACCATCCTGACCGTGAGGGCTGCATCCGAATTGGCACGGACTCCCGACACAACTTCCACTCATCTTGACATGATAACGTATAAAATTTGGTCATGTTAACGTTTTCATTTCCCCTTCATCATAAAAACTAACAAGGAAATTAAGTAACGCAATTTTAAACCTGGACACAGATCAACATCCCATTGTCAAACTGGAATCCCGGAGGGCATGAACAGACGAATGAGCCTTGTGTATTCTGACAACCAGCACCACCACAGGCACCTTCTTCACACTGACACAAATGAATTTGTTTGATTAGGTTGCATAATTATATGCTTGTGCTGCATTGTCAAGAAACAGCTTCTCCTATCCATTGGGTATTATTTAAGTTGTGTATTATGAAATGGCCACGGAGATATCTGGGGGCATTTTAGAATAGGGGAAGAGATGATGGGGGCATCGAATAACCGTGGGGACATTGTCCCTCTGTCCCCATGCCTCTGCGACCACTAGTATCATGTACCTCATTTGTATCGACACATTGGTTGTGATAATAATGTTGCGAATAGCCATCAGCACATGAGCATCGATAGGAGCCAAAAATATTGACACATCCATGTTGACATCTTGCATCGTCCGCCTTTCCATCATCGGTACATTCATCTGCAAAATCATCAATCCTAGGTCAAGCCTTAAAATATTCACCCTGCTGAACACGAAATGATCATCACACAACCAACCTTTATCGAGGCACGTTTGGCCCGACGAGTCTGTGGTAAATCCGCGTGGGCACTACATCAAATCAAACCAATTTCCAAAATTGCTTCCACTCATCACACTCATCTTCTTTAAAATGTCAGAAAAAAGTCACCTACTATGCATTTGAAGCTACCCATGGTATTGATGCAGGTTCCAGGTGGAGGACATACTCCAACTTGGTCACATTCATTGACATCTGTGCACCCATTCACATGTAAAGCAACAGAAAATATTCGTCTCATTTTCCCCACATCAAGCATTATCGTAAGTCCGTACCCAAACACTGGTCACCCACTTGAGAAAATCCTTTGCTACACAAACACTGGTACGAGCCTTGAGTGTTGACACATTCGTCCTTTCGTTGGCATCCGTGACGTCCAGTCGCACATTCATCTATCTGCAACACAAATAACACAATAATGCATGATTCCAGAATATAGTGCACACAAAAGTGTTATGCATAACTGAATAATGTGCATTGTTATTACGTCCTTGCAAGTAACCCCATCGCTGCTTAGCGTGAAACCAGTGTTGCAGAGACAGAAAAATGATCCCACCGTATTTTCACAATTATGTTGACAAACCTTTGGAGTCAAGTCACACTCATTGACATCTGTAAAAATAAAATAAGAGAACCCGTGTATAGTATTTGGTGCATTACTTTTCTATAATTCACGGCTTATTTCAACATGGTAAAATCATAATGTAGATGACTTACCCAAGCAGTGAACTCCAGAAGGATCTACTTTGAATCCTTTGCCTATAAAGAAGAAGTTAATAATTAATTAGAAAATTATCGTTGATTATTAACCATTATCATAAATATCTTAAAAATTGAACTCATCCATATTTTGTAAAATTGCATAAATAAATAGTAAAATGGTTAACATACCACAAATACAACGAAACGAGCCCAGTGCTAACGAAAATATATAAAATTTATTTAAACTTATTTACAACATCTCAAATCGAAGAATAATGAAGCTGTAATAACACAAGATCTGAAAATAGTTTTCTTACTATTGACACATGTCCCATGCTTACAAAGGTCAGATATGATTTCACATTCATTGAGATCTAATGAGAGAGAGAAAAAGATAGCTGATAGCTCAGTTTACCCCGTTCAACAGTATATATTTATCATTATGTAGTCATTCCGAGCAATAATTTACAACCTGAACCATCCACTGAATACCCAGACTCTAGACAAAGTTCTTTATACAATGGAGTCCCTTGTTGAGGACACCTTGTTAAAAATCAAGTTATATTTTTAAATGCTTCCCAGTGCAGCAGATTTAAGAGTAAAAGAATGTTACCGGTCGCATCTGTCACCCAGCCCCCAAGCCACGCCAACTGTAATTCATTCATTTTATTACAATTGATTTTTATACGAATTTGGGTAGCTGATTTGTTTCAATGAATAAATATAAAATACATACGTGTGCAACAACAGTCAGCCTTCGTTGTGTGTGCCAGAGAAGAAGATTCTCGGCTGACGCACCTTCCGCCCACTAATTGTCTGTAACAGGATCCCTGCCTCCTGTCTATAATGAGGAACAAAATCAAGTACTAGTAAAATTCGAAAATGATCTTACATTATGTTTACATAATGATGTTCGATTCGATATAAAACATTTGTCAAAGTAAAGGTACCAATGCATTTCGAATAATCTTGGGACGGCTCGAACCCCTCAAAACATTCACAACGGAACGACCCAGGTAAGTTTATACATCGTCCATTTTGACACAAACCTCCTAAACAGAGGAAAGTTGAAAATTTGATTGCAATGACTTTATAATACATATGATGGAACATGCTAAGAATTATCGACATATATTCAAACCTGGAGCAGCACATTCATTAATATCTCTACAGTCGTCGCCAGAACCTATCTTTGATTTGAAATCCGTTCATTGGACATTTGTATCATCATCAGAATAGTTATTTTCATTATAAAATCCTAATTAGCGTACCTGCTCATAGCCCTCTGAGCACAAACAGGCGAATGAACCAATAAGGTTTTTGCACATAAATTTGCAGTTGTGAACAGGAGTGCTACATTCATCAAGATCTGTACAATGTTTTCCATCCGGTGCCAAAACAAATCCAAAAGGGCCTAGAGATAGTTTATTCATTGCATGAATTTGAGTAGAAAAAAGTTAGCGAGCCCTAAATTAGTACGTTACGTACATGTACAACGATATCCACCAACAGTGTTATGACATCTGAATGCGCACTGGTGACTCCTTTCTCTGCATTCGTCAATATCTTCGCACACTTGGTTAGGGCCTGGCGCAAATCCATCATTGCAGTCTACACATAAACATAAGCGTGCTCATATTATTTTTGCAGTTCAGCTCGCCTCTACTACGTTTCTATTTTTTTTAAAGAATATTCAGCAGCTTTTTAATGGAACCCACCACATTCAAATCCACCTTCCACATTAAAGCAGGTCCCATTTCCACAGACATTGGTACTGCAACCATTTTACCAATTGCATGACAAATCACATATTGCATGTTCCTTAAAATTATTTGCACTCGAGCCTTACCAATTTGTTCTATCTGCCCCACTACACAACGCACACTCATTCTCATCTTGGAAAAAAATATGTTAGGAGAATAAATTGATCATGATAATTGAATGACGTTATAAATTCATAATTTGCAAGCACTCTTACCCACACATTTGTCACCACTAGAATCGAGCTTGTATCCCTGAGGACACTATAAGACGATTTGATTGGTAAATATTTAGTGTCACATAAATACGTTCCTCAGAAAACATAAAATATTATTTGAGAAGCCTTACCTCACAACGGAAACTACCGTCACTGTTAACACATTCACCTGAAATAAGAACATTGAGATGAAACAGGGGCCCTTTTAAAATGCTATTTAAATGTACGTGTCTACCTCCTTGGCACACGTCGGGCATCACGGAACACTCGTCCAAATCTTGTCCAGATTCCCCTCTACAGAAATAACATAAGGAAAAATAATCAACTTTTAATTTTAGGAAATGTCATAATACTAACTAACACGCTCCTATGAACATTTTCTAAAAATACAATACTTGTTAATTTTATTAGTCTACGTGCATACCTTCCAATCCCGTCAGGACATAATTTTTTGAACTCCCCTGCAACACATTAATCAGTAAATTTTTTTCAGTAAATCAGTAAATATTTTTTACAAACATCAGTACTTTGATATTCAATCATATTGCCAAATCTTACTTGTTCCAATGGCTGGGCAGGATTCGCAAGACGATCCCCATGCCTTACCTGGTTTTAAATAAATATAACTAGATTTGCTAAATATTAATTAATGCAACCACGTGTGACTGAGGAGTGAGACTAGCATAATGTGACACAATTTGTGTCATTATTTTCGAAATTGGCTTATAACTGGACAGCATGAATCCTTACCTCCAGTACAGCAGCATGTCATTCTTGAAACATATCCGCGTCTCGATTTACTACATACTCCACGACCAAAAGAACCTATACCAATACCAATTTTAAATAATATAATACAAGTTAATGATGTTAGATATGACTAAATTGAAGCATGGCAATTTTGTTTATAATTCGAGTAATGTTTTGAATCAGAATGTTTGATACGAGATATATACCTCCCAAAAAGCTGTCATAACAAAGATCCTGCCTTATATCAACACACTTCTTCCCGTCAGAGCTGAGGACATAATTTTCAGGACCTGAGATTGTCGAGTAGCGTTGTAACAATTTTCTAATTAAAATCATTCATGACACATGGTAGCAATGTACGTTTTGCTTACATTGACAGACGAACCCTCCATCCGTGTTAATACAAACTCCGTCGGAACATAAATTTGAGTTTATTTGGCATTCATTGAGATCTGACAAAACATGCGCTAATTAGCAATTGATCATTCTCATTTTATAATTGATATATACGCAACACCTCTACAGTAATTTCCATCCGATGACAACTCAAAACCCGGAGGACATGTACACATATGTGAACCCATGACGTTTTGGCAGCGGGCTGGCTTGGGGCAAGTATTTGGAATCTAACAAATAAGAGGCACCAGGTAATTATACAGATCGAAGCTTATTACTGAAGTCCAGGTGGATGTATGTACTTTCACCCACCTCATCACATTCGTTTACGTCACGACAATTTTGACCGTCCGAGGTAAGCGTGTATCCTTCAGCACCTGTTTTGTGAAATAGTTAAAGGAATATTAAGACACCAATCCGAAGTGAGTCAGTAGATACTAAAGGAATCAGTGCGTCTGTACACCCATACATTGACATGTGAAGGAGCCAGGTAAGTTTATGCAACGTCCATGTCGACAAGCATGAGAAAGCATCATTTGGCATTCGTCCATCTAAAAGTTAATAAAAAACAGTCCGACAAATGCCCAAGGATTTAGCAGGACTTATTTTTAAGCACGTTAGAAAAATTACATCTTCACAATCATTATTTGAACTCAGCTTGAAGCCTGGTTTGCAAAGACACTTGTGGGAACCTGTGGATATAGCCAAACGGTAAGATAATATTAAATCTTTATTTATTGATACTTACCCAAAATATTTACACAAGTTCCATTATTTGAGCACATGTTGGGATTTCTCTGACACTCGTCAATCTTTTAACAAACGAATGATTATGGATACAAAGAGTGATCATGAGTTATGAAACTAGGTATCTACAATAGGGTACATACGTCAATACAAGAATCTCGCGTTGGGGTGAGCATAAAACCCGGACGACACTAGAATAGAACAAAAATCTGCAGGTTGCTGAACAAAGAGTTTCTAACCTAACCTAAACTTCTAGGGGCTGATCCTAGTTTGAAACAAATATTGGCATTATGACGCTTACCTGACACTGGAAACTGCCTTGAAAATTTTTACATTCTCCATTACTGCAAATACCGATCCGCTCATTGCACTCATTGATATCCTGGCATCCTCGTTGACTGTGGTCAAGTCTGTACCCCTCTGAACCAAAAGTCAAAACTGGTAAATACGTAATTTGAGACTAATTGTAAGCTTTGCTAATTAAGCACATCATTGACGTATGGAGCTTCTCCTGGCAAACTTTAATAAGTATAATTAATATTAAAATTGCTGGATAAAGGAGCTAATTTACACATAATAACCCGAAACGATGAATAATTACAAAATCGCATCTCAAATTTCCAAATTTTCATCTCAAATTTTCAAGCTCTACCAGTTTAAAAATTACTGGTCACTTTATTTTTACCTTTTTTTGGGTTTGCTTGACCAGACATATATAATTGCATTTAGGCGAATTAATTTAGTGGGTTACCTGACGGACAGCGACATTCAAATGATCCAGGGATATTAACACATACGGCATTTCCTTGGCATGGGTTTCCACCACGAAAGCAATCTACAATTGCATGCAATTAACTCTCAGATCCGCCATATTTTATATTTCAATATGATAATGAATGTCAGGCCAACCTATTCCTCTACACGGTACATTTGACACCCCGGAATTGCATTCATCGATATCTGTGGGGTGAAAGGTTTATACGACTTGAAATCTTAAATACGGATTACATATTACTAATTTCAGAAACATATCTACGTATTTAAATAAAGTATATACATATGGACACAAAACATGCATATAATCTACATAAGATCATAATTGAAAAATCAATGCACATTTGAAGCACCTTTAATATGCAAAGGTACACCCAGTAATTAGCTTTCATGTTTAAATCAAAGTAAAAATTATGCTTCCACCATGAACGAATTCATGGATTCCTGCATCAATATCACATTACACAGAAAAATGTGTCGCAAAAGAGTATGTTTCAGAAAATGCTTGTGAATACATTCTAGCTGGTCACAGTATAAATAGTTTAACGAAAAAAAGTACAGCCAGAGATGTACTTAGCTTTATGCTGGGGCTGAAAGAAACGTACCTACGCACGTATGGGCAACTTCATCATAAACGAAACCCAGCCTACAATCGCACCGAAAAGACGTAGGAGTATTGACACAAACGCCTTTGCCGCACATATTGGGCACTAATGAACATTCGTCAACTGTCAGAGAAACAAAAGACATTATTATTAACACCGCCAACACACCTTTCGTTGAGTGGTGAGTGATCTTGGGATACTGTCATGTCATACATAACTGGGTACTTACTTTCCTCTGGTTGACCTGTCATAGGATTAACAATCTGTCCTGGTCGCAGCCCACACAATGACGTGTATTCAGCTACTCAGAGTAATTTCATTAGCAACAGAGACGTTTAAAAATATTTTTTAACCAGGCACACCTGAAGCAGGAGCAGGACATGGCAAGCACGCATCTCCCCATGCAGCCCTATTGGGTTCATTAAAAATGTTTATCATCAAGCATTTGTTTTTGCATAAGAAGTACGCAGTATGTAATAGTCAGCAGTCTGTTCTAGAGTCATCACCACTTCCAGTTACGTATTTCATCTAACTTAATTACCTCAAAACCTACAAAACTTGAAACTTTTTGATTATGTTGTAAAGTTTAAGAATTCAGCTCTGTCAATGCAGTTCTGTCAGCTAATATTTTTAAAGAATTTGAGCTGTCTCACTTCCGAAATGAATTTCCTAATGAAATATTAACTTACCCCATCGAACAACAGCACAACATTTTTGTTTGTCGAGATGACATGGGATGACCGCATTGGAGAGTTGTTGTATTGAAGTCCATATAGCATGGCTCCTTTCTCATGTCAACACATTCTCCTATCACCAATATAAACATCGCAGTGAACTTTCACAAGAAATAAGTAATCCGTTAAAACTTCAAATGCTTACGTTCGCTGGGAAGTAACATGTAACCCTCTGGGCACTTTTGCATGAAAAGAAAATAATCATAATTGTAATATATACGCAAGTAATACACTCACGTATGGAAACTAGATTGGTCATGTATAGAAAAAAACTACTTCCAAACTTTCTGAGGCGACTATATTTCGAGATTCATATCCCCTTTGACCATAATAGATATGCGTCAAAAGTGCATTTACCACTCATTTCTGCATGTTAACCTGATTTTTATCTGATTTTATAAATTCTTGCACCTTATAGTAATTTTGGATAACTGTGATATGATACCCAATATCAATATCAGTTTTTCAAGATATTTTAAAATTTCTAAAAATTAGATTAGTGACAAGTATCAAAGAAAAATATCACAACTATCTAATTGTAAGTAGGAATGGTGATAATTTCAAAAATTAGATCAAAGCTGAATTTTTTGCCTAGACTAAAAGTGAGGAGTTCAATTGTTTTCACCTCTTGCATCGGGTGTGGGGGTGCAAAGCAGGTTCATGGAGTTTAATCACTGGGGGCTTTTTACTATTCTCTTAATAGATATGCCAAAGAGTCACTAAAGTCTATTAGAAGTATCCTTCTTGTGTTGCCTATTAGCATTTTGGGATTTGCATATTAATGTACCAAGTTTTTACTTACTATGCAGTGATATCCTCCGATTTCGTTGATACAGTGACCAACCTGGAAGTAAAAGTTGAGTAAAAAGTACGATCGAATTTGAAGCCAGTTTTGACTTCAGACTGCCTTATTTGCTACGGACTCGGCCACTCTCATGGTAGTTTTAACATTTGCTCGAAATTAACATGACCTCACTTGGATTAAGAGAGAACGGTGGTCAAAGCTCAAACACAGAAGAAAATAGTGGACACCCACAACAAATTGATAGTAAATTTGGTTTCCTGAGATAGAAATTGAATTATTTATATAGATTTCAGTTGATGTACTATGATTACTGCCTTCGGTAAATAGAGATTGACCTGGTTTGTAATTGATTCATGTGTAAGTAGGGTTCATTTGAAGAAATTTACAATTGATTAATGCACTGAATTTCTATCTGCATATGTGCATTACATATGCCTTGCCTAACGATTATTTTAGCTCATTATGTAATTTATAACGTACATACCCCACAAGCATCAGGTTGCTCGATACATTCATTCCTGTCTATATAAATATTTATTAGTGTAATATGTAAATTTAAATAAAATCGAACTACTAGCTGGAAATAAAAGTTTTAAATTAGGCTAACCTATGCACATGGCTTTTGACACATCCAATCTATAACCAGCATCGCAATCACACATAAAGCTGCCAAATGTGTTTGTGCACTTCCCATGAGTACAAATCAGCGATAGTTCAGAACATTCTGAAATTTTTAAGAATTATAAATATGTATATTGGATGCGTCATATTTGTGCATGCAAAAGTTACCTTCAACATCTTCAAGAACGGTCTGCAAAATGTACAAACATTAATCGTTTCGACTCTAAATATTTAACACATTAACACTTACTGTTTGTCCATTCGGCCTGAACCCGTTGCCACCGGGGCAAAGAGTATTGTACTCGTCAGATCCTGCTGTAGGGCAAGCTTCACATAAAGGACCTGTTGTAAGTTATTGTAATTTTTGTAATGTAAGTGTAACATAGACACAGATTTCTAAATTTTAATTGTTTTTAAAATAAACTGAATAATTTGAATTTTCTTAATGAAAATAGCTCTGTTTTAGCAGAAATAGTTATACCCCAAAGTGAACCAACTGAGCAACAACAGGTTGCACGGGTCATGAGATCTCCAATTGGACGAGCACATTCTCTTCGCCCAAACTGACCAGGTCGTCTTCCTCTTGGAAAGTCATCCCCCGTGTCCAGGTAGCATTGGCTTTTTCGTCTGTCTATCATCAAACATTTAAGCATAGAATTAAATGGCATCCATTTCGCACACATAATGTCTGCACTAACCAACGCAAGCATTTCCAGCTTCAGTTAATTCATAGTACGGAGGACCTGTGCAAAAATTTTGTTAAAGACATAATTCTTTCGCGGTAAAACAGGAAATAAATACATAAGTTATAAAAATTACATGAACATGTGAATCCTCCAGGAGTGCTAGACATAAGAAATTATTACAGACAATTACAAAACCACTGATGTATTAATAGTATACGAAGTCACAAATTGTTTAATTAAATCATTACTTTATGCAAGTTCCGTAAAGACAAGAATGAGGATTTTCACACTCGTTTATCTGAAAATACGTATGAAACACTTGTATGCAATAAAGCAACCCTTTCATAGTGATAGAATCTATATGTACAACTGTACGTATACTTACATCAGTGCAATTTCCTACCCAAAATTTCGAAATGTGGTTCAAATAAAGCAGCATTAATCATTTAAAAAATTGAAAATGCAAATTATCAATTATTGTTCTTACCTCCAGAAGGATCGAGTTGATATCCTTTATTGCACACGCAGCGGAACATTCCATGAATACTAAATAACGATTGACCTTTAGTAGCTTTGTTCCAATACATTTAATAAAGAAGCTATGTATGAATGGTCCTACTTTTCACAACGCCCAAAAACACAAAGTTGGTGAAACATATCGCACTCATTGATGTCTAAAGTATTTGAAGAACAAAAAACGAATAGATTATTGACTTATTGTCACCATAAAAATTTTAAAAGGTGAAAGAAGTAGTAAATAAATATGCAATAACCTGTGCAGGAATGATCGTCATCATCAGGGTTCCTATTATTAATAGCCAGACCATTATAAATATTTGCAATGAATGCAAAATTATCTGTCATTTTACACATTACAATGGGACGATTAATTGAAAAAATTAACTTTTTGTAATTAGACTTACATAAAACCCATGTCACACTGAATTGGAAAAATAAAAACAATTAACAAAATCATTACTCAATCAAGTTTATATGTAGTTTTAATAAATACATGAACTTTGAACTACCTCACAACGGAAAGATCCTGGATGGTTCAAGCATTGGCCGTTATCGCACAAATTGGGATTGTTTGAACACTCATCTGCATCGAATTAATTCATTTATATATTTCAATTTCGATATTTTGTAAAAAAAACATGAACATGTCCAGTTGATCATGTACCAATGTCCAGACAGTTGATTCCATCTCCTTCAAATCCAGGGTCACAAGCACACTGAAATTGTATAAAATCCTTATATAATCACATTAAATATATGTAATCGTTACTTATTATTACTAACGCGGAAAGAACCGTCAGTATTGATACATTGAGCATCCTGATGACAACCTCCATTGTTGACTTGACACTCTAAAGGAATTCAGTACAATTCAAATGAAATATATTTATATATAAATGATTAATCAGCTTAATTACATAATATATCATTTGCTTTCATCTAAACTAAAGTCCATTCATCGTACTTATTATGCCAGACAAATCTAGTAAATGTATGTGCAAACAAGATTTACCATTAATGTCGCGACACACAGTTCCATCCCCACTGAAACCATCCAGACACCGACAATCATGCGACCCCTTAACATGTAAATGTCATTTAATCAATGTTCAATCCATCCATACACACGTGGCGAAAGTGATTAAAATTTACTTCGGTGTTAATGCATTCTGCATTGTGAGAACAAATATAGTTTCCCATCAGGCACTCATCTTCATCAATGCAAGATGGGCCCAGTTCTGGGCGGACGGAGAATCCATCATCTAAAATTATTTATTATTTATTTATACTTATTTTATACTTCGTAATGTGAATGTATCCTTGAGGTGCAATGTCCTACATAGTAGAGTGCCTTATTGTATGAATAAATTAAATTAAATTAAAATTATGATTTATGAATATTTATGAATTTGTGGACCTTAAAATCACATTTTAAGTTAGTATCTGAACTCATAAGAAACTATTGATAACTTTTGCTCACGAATATTTCGTGTCAAATTGACAGTAAAAAATATGCATAATTTCATTTTGAAGTGGAGACTTACCACACAAACATACAAATGATCCAACCTGTAAGAGGGATTAATGTACAGTTTATGATTTTTTATGAACTAAATATGTAAAGCGCTAAACTTCTTGGTAACTTATTATTACTGAATTATCGCAACGCCCAGGTCCACAAACTCCAGGGTCAGCTCTGCACTCGTCTACATCTGCATATGCATGTACGTGCATGTTATTGGATGGTTCTTTATGAGGCGTGGGCGCACTAAATAATTACCTAAGCAAGTTGACCCATCGGGCGAGGGCATTAGTCCAGCAGTGCACTCGCAAGAATAGCTTCCGGGGATATTCTTACATTTGCCACCATTGCAAATTCGGTTGTCGTTACATTCATCAGCATCTAGAGTAATAAAAAAGAAAACGAACACGTGAAGGTTCAGGTTGTCATCTTCAGAAATCGCCACACAACGCCTAAACATTACTCCATAACGGATATTGGCAATCAAAAATCAAAAAATGTGCAAGCAACAGAGAATGAGTTTTTAGCCGGAGTCAAGGCTTATGGAACCATCATGTCCGTCTGTCTATCTCGTCGTAACTGCCGTTAAACTCTTCTTATCGACTTGAAATTTGGCATACGCTACATGTAGTATTGGACAGATGAGGAGTAAAGAGGGTCATAAAGATCGTGTGAGATCGTTGGTGCAGAATTTTCCAAATGGTCGCAGAAGCTGACATTGGGGAATTGGTCATACAGATATGCGTACTAAACCGGAAATATACCGTCATAAGGTTGAAATTAGTTTTTTTGGGGGGGGGCAGTAGGTGACCCCCCACTGATTTTCGAAAATGGTCTTTTGCATGAAACTATAGGATTCGACCAGATTAAGAAATATAAAGTAAATTTTAGGATTTCATGCCAGGGGGATAGACCTGGGTGATCACCACCTTTTTGAAATTAGTTGACAAAAGCTGAAATTCAGTATCAAGGGCATGGGTACTAAAGGCAGACTAAAGAATTTAATGTCAAATACTTTTGCGAGATGCACCCAGCAGGACTGGTTTTTGAAATTGGTCGAAAAAACGGAAATTTTGCATGCTGGATTATGGGAACATTTTCAAGGTTTATGAATAGTATAGTTTGATAACTTTGACTCGAGCTATATAACAAGACTGCACACAGTAGGTTTTACATGCTTATGAACCAAATTCGTCTCTTACCTACACAGGTTCTTCCATCCATGAGTAGCTACATTGAAAGAAAGAATGCATAAGTCTAGAACAATAAAGACGATGTTTTGCATTCGACATGATTCAATGCATGTAATTTTGATCATCAAAATTTGATGGAACCAACCAACATTACATAATAAAGTCAAAGTAAATAATTCCTATGTATAGTACGATATGCGATGTTAAGGTGACACAGGTATACTTTACTTACCATATATCCAGGCAAACAAGCGCATGAATGACCACCAGGAGTATTTAGACAAATAGAATCACATTGACCGTTATTAACCTCACATTCGTTAATATCTGCGAGTTAATTTAAAATAAAACATTACATAACGTTAGACGAAAACATGGAACTCTGGCTAACAAGGGACACTCATGACCTGTCGTTTGAGTCCAGGGTACCCATTATGTTTTTTAGAATCTACTAGGACCCCAGATGAAGGATTCATTCATATTTCCGTGTAAAACTCATATTTGGCGCCATGGCGTGGCGCCAAACTTCAAAATTTGCATTTTCGACCAGTTTCAAACCCCCATAACTTTTGCAGTTTATGTCGGATTTTCAAAATTTTATACTTAAAATGATCACAAAAGTTGAAATTTTTGAGAAAAAAATAAAAATAAAAAATTTCTAATTTTTGAAATATTTTTAGCATTTTTTCGACGAACCCCCGTTTATAAGAAAATTACGAAATTTTGCGAAAAGTTAAAAGTGATAATTTTGGAAAAAATTTCACTGGATACGAAAGTTGAACTCCTTGTCATGATTTTTGCCAAAAATTTTGAAAATCCGTACAGGTTTTCAAAAGTTATAGCGGTTTCAAAAATAAAAACATGCAAATTTGGCGAATTTGGCGCCACGCCATGGCGCCAAATATGAGTTTTACACGGAAATATGAATGAATCCTTCATCTGGGGTCCTAGTAGATTCTGAAAAACATAGTGGGTACCCTGGACTCAAACGACAGGTCGTGAGTGTCCCTTGTAAGTATGACTAATTAACCTACCTTCACAATGAGCACGATTATTCCCGATTTGACGGTAGCCATCATTGCAGCTTAAAGAATTATAAAAAACAAATATTGCATATTCTTAAATAATAGTCTTTTTGACTAATTTCATTAATCTGGTTTATACTCCTTAAACTAATAAAACCATTGTCATTTCATTACAAAGTTGACAATGTCAACTCTCATAAACTATCATTTAGTTACAAGGATTCCCCCTGCTTACCCGCATTGATACGTGCCCAACTGATTTTCGCATACCCCATTAGAACATATTCCACTTGTTCTAGAACACTCGTCCTATAAGTGCAAATCGAGACAAGACTAATTTCAAGCATAGTTTCAATTTAAAAATAATGATGTGGACGTGTACGAACAATGTCTTTGCATTCTCTCTGATCCGGAGTCAATTCAAGTCCTGGAGGACAGATGCAACTAAAGCTACCAGGAACTGAATCAACGTCAAAAACAAAATTAGGATAAAAACAAGTTACACAATGGCTCATTAATTTGTTATTTCAGTACCATTCAGACATCTGCCGCCTTTACACAATCCGGGAGTTAATTGGCACTCGTTCTTGTCTGTAAACAATTATAATTTTTATATAAGAATTATTTAAGAATTATTATTAATTATTCTACTAGATACATACAACCATCAAAAAATAATAAACTATACCCATGCACGTTTGCATCATCATTGAAGATTCAAAACCGTCCTCACAATCACAAGCGAAACTTCCAGGCAAATTTCTACATGTCCCTGCAAAAGAATCAAACAAGTTTCACATTTTCCTGATTTATTTATTGATCATAGTCTCAGAGCGACTTTGATTCCACGGATTTGCATAATTATTTTGATTAAATGTACAAGCATACCATTCCCACAAACACCTGGCATGATTGAGCATTCGTCTTGAAAATTATTAGAAATAAAATTTTCTTATTATAAACATAATTATGATTACGATATGAAATATGTAAACTCATTGTTACCGAGATCTGAAACCAAAAACACATTTTTAAATTTTATATTACGCCCTCTGTATATAAAAAACTTGTTATTTTTGTGCGTGAATATATTTCAGGTTCATACCAATGCACTTTATTCCATCTTCATCTAAAGAAAACCCTTGGTGACATCGGCAAGTAAACGATCCAACGACTACAGCATAATACAACAAATCATCAGTCAATTGTACACAATTAAGCGAAAAATTGAGAAACGGACCATTTCGACAGTGTGGGGTGCATCATTATTTCGACATTCACTTACCATTTCGACATTCACTTACCATTTCGACAGCGTCCATTTTCACATAAATTTGGAATTAAGGCACATTCGTTAACTGGAAATTAAGTCAAATCGAGCTTTAATTAAGAATGTATTTCTAGGAGCAATTTGGATACTCGAGACACGAACCATCTTTTTGACCAATAGACCCTGGTCCTCGGGGACAGAGTTGTTGCATTGCTTCACTGCCAGGTCGTGGACATGGCAAACAGTCGCGTCCCCACCCTTTGCCAACTGGAATTCATTCATTTTATTCTAATTTATTTTCACATGTGGGTGACGGATTGATTGTACTTAATAAGAATAAACATGTAAAATAGACGAAAATACCTGTGCAGCAGCAATCGGCTCTCAAAAAGTACCCTTCCAAAGGTCGCTGGCAAACACCGTGCTTGATATGCATGTAACAATGTTCTTCGCGTCTGTCAATGCACTTTGTTCCTCCCTCCTCCAATTGTAAGCCAGGAGGACAACTGTACACATATATAATTGTAATTTATTAGTAATGCAGTACCACAAACACATGCATCTTTTCATATTGTATGCAAGTGGAATTAACCTGCACGTAAATGAACCTTCCGTGTTAACACAGGTCCCCCCACCCAAACAAATCCCTGGATTCATGGCACACTCGTCTAGAATTGAAGGGGTAGATTTACTTGAAATTCATCTATTCATATTTCTTTGTACATATTTTTCATTGTCATAAATTTGCATGTACCAATATCGGTGCACGCTTTTCCATCAACCTGTAATATTAGCACAATTATGATTGTCCCTGTTTATGTACTTATACTACTTGATTTAGACGTTTGGAGAAAGAATGCTTCAACTTTTCGGAATTTATTGCACATACCTTCGCAAACCCTGGTTGGCACTCACAAAGCGTCGGATCGCAGACGGAACAAGGTGATCCCCATGCTTTCCCAACGCCGATGGAGCAGCAACATTCTTCTCTCAGCATGGGCAGTCTCAGATTCCCTTCGCATTTTCCACCAACGACCTTCGTCCAACAATTGCCCCTTCTGTTATCTACACAGGAAATAATTCTCTGACTATATAATTATTACATATTGATATTAGTGTCCTTTCGTAGGTCTTATGTTACTACCAATGCAAAATCTTCCGGTCGGATCCAATATAAACCCATCAAAACAGTCACAGTCAAAAGAGCCTAATCAACAAAACCTTTACGTATCTCTAGAATTCATTATATGAATACCAGCACATAGATAATAGTCGCATACCTTGCGTATTTTTGCATCTGCCGTTTGTGCAAACCTCTTGGCTCGAATCAATACATTCGTCTGAAAAATAGCATAATAGACCAAACTATGAACTTCAAGTCTTGAAGTTCAAGATAATTACGCTTAAAAATCTCAATAAATATTGAGCTAACTTACCAATATCCTGACACACTTGAGTGCGAGGATCATACTGAGTACCCACCGGGCAAATGCACTAAAAGGTAGTAAGTTGTATTAATTTACACTTTATAATCAAGAGATCAATTGTATGCAATATCTACATATCTATTTCAGACATATCTATGGACATATGTACCTGAAAGCTGCCGATTTTATTTTTACACAGACCACCACCGCAAATCAAGTCGTCCATTTCACATTCATTGACCTAAAACATTAAATTCACTAAATATGTATCTTAAAGTCATGCCGTACTGTGAAGTAAAATACATCTAAACACAGTTTTCCAGTGGAATCGACTTGATATCCGCGATCTGCAATATGAATCTAGATTGCAAATATTGCAAATGCGTAATAATTAGCATGTAATATTCGTACCACAAATGCATCGGTAGGTTCCCACCAAGTTTTCACATGCACCGTTGGTACAAATGTTTGGATTTTGGGCTGTATGTGAGATATATGAAATGTACGTCCCCATTAATTTGCATATTTCAGGATCATAATTACGAAAATCAACTGACCACATTCATTAATGTCTGCGAAAATTATCAAAAATAATATAAATAGAATGTTGTAAATTGTGTGCTTTTTAAGTTCGGGATCAAATGTTCTAATGGTTTGCTAACCATCTCCGGTGTGAGTCATGCCTGTTCCATGAGGACAAAGCATGTCATAGTCAGCAGTTCCTTGCAAAGGACAGGAACGACAAGGGGTCCCCCACCCCATGACGGACCCAACTCCAAAACAACAACACCTGTTTTTGAAAATGTTCAAGTATTATAGTTTGAAAATGAACATAGTTCAGTTAAACAATTTCATGGTTCCGCTACTGTTTTATCATGAAAAGTATGACTTATATTTCATATCGTCTTGAAGCTTCTGTAGGGTCCATCTCCCGTTCAACAACACAACATAACATATTTAAGGTGTGGCCCCTATGGAAGCTTCAACGAGATATGTAAATAATACTATTGCAATTTGAGAAATATTAAAATTAAATGAAGAACCAAAAACAGGATAAAATCTCACGTTGATTTTGGAACGGGAAGCAGTGATGGTTCCAAACACAAACCATCTCTGTATGATTTGAAACAAAGATCTTTCTGTGTGTCTAAAAACAATAATAAGCAGTATTACTACATATGGCAATGGTCATCCTAAGGATTGTAAAATGTTAAAACCTAAACAAGTGCGACCATCAGGGCCCAAGACTAGTCCAGCAAAGCATTCGCATTTAAAACTTCCTATAAATGATTTTATTTATATGCACAATTAAACAGAATCGATGATAATCAGATATGTGTCTAAATAACTGCACGAAACGGAACTTACCGATTTCGTTAAAACATTGACCACCTTGACAAACGTGCTGGTCACATTCATTTAAATCAACACAATGTTTCCCTGTAGGTCCTAATTTATAGCCTGGGTTGCACTAAGAAATTAAGTCATTTAAAGGTTAGTTTGCAATGGAAATAACAAACACGAATGGACAGATCCGCATACAACATATAATGGAAAACGTAATATTATTCAACAAGGTGTAACTTAATCTTACAACACATTTGAAACTTCCATCCAGATTAACACAACGGCCATGGCTGCACATTCCTGTTTCCGCACACTCATTTTTCTATTTAAACAAAACAATGATAAATTCATACTCTTGTTCATTCTACGCAACAACGACACTTGTCATACATCGACACAAAAGGCCTGGTCAAACGTAGGTGTAAATCCTTCCGAACAGACTGAAAAAATGCATAATGAAACATGTGCGTCTGTAGTTTGCATAGTGCAAGATCATAATTATGAAAAATCAACTGACCGCATTTGTAGGATCCAGGGGCTGCATGCATGCAAGAAAGGAAGATGAATGATTAAGACGACACCATGTTTGCAAACCCATAGTAAATCATTATAAATCATTATGACATTTGCAACGACTCACTGTTTTCACATCTTCCAGAGAGACAAATGCGGGGGTTCTCGAGACATTCGTTTTGATCTTTTACAGAAAAAAAATCATTAATGGTTGCATGTACCAGGATTCCATGTTTGGTAAGGTGAAGTATGATGGCGATTAATCAGTTTTCAGAATGCACGTGATAAATAAATAAATATATACAAATGATTGATATTCTATTGTCCAATGCTGCAGACTTGTTTATGAAGATGCAAACGGAGAGCGGAGAAAGTTATCAGAGTTTGCATCTAAAAATGTACATGCAAATGTTTTTCATACCAATGCAGGAGTGTCCGGTGGGAGACAAGATGTAGCCCTCGTTGCATGTGCATTTGAAAGATGCGTCCACTGTTTCAAAGCAACAAATCATTCACAGAAAGTTGTAGCGCAATGTAACCAATGGTACAAGTGGCTGGAAAACTGCGTGATGTTTTGCATTGTGATGTACTCACTGTTGATGCAAATTCCATTTGCACACATTCCAGACTCGCTGCACTCATCATGCTGAAATAACACGCAAAGAATCAGGAAGATGAGAGATATATTCCAGAAGCGAATAAATGAGAACCAAGTATAAAATTGATTGTGTATTATTTCAAAGAAAGGGCAATGTGCTGCTTACATCAATGCAGAATTTTCCGTCAGACGAGACATCGAATCCTTGTGCTGAGGACCGTAATTAAAATTAAGATTAGACTTATATACTAGAATATTCTATGAGAACTAGGTATTTACATACGCATGGAATGAAAACAAACAATGAAATTAACCTATTCGTAATTTAAGTATAATGATAAAATGAAGTTACTCACGGCATATGCAAGTGTAAGATCCAATGTTATTAACACAGCGACCTGCCATGGTTTATAGTAAAAAATAACATGTCAATTTTATATACCTACTTTTCCATATAATTTGAAAGAATGGCGTACATGGAGATGTAGGTACATAGTAGCAAATGCATGTGTCATTACACTTTTACAAGTTTGACTAAGGTTTACTTCCAAAGCAAACGAACTTACCTCCTTGACATAAAGCTGTTTGGTGACGATTAACAATGCACTCGTCAATCTGCATATCCAGGACATTGTTATACTTAATAATATACTTGAATATCTTGATATCTGAAATTTATCGCTATCTGAACTAAAAATAAACCGTTCACTTACATCTTCACATGGAGCCATTGGAGATCGCTGAATATGTCCTGGATCTGTGAATACATATTTAAAATGTTTGGTAATTACATAATCTATTCATCTCAGGGCATGGATTATCTCGATTCACAGCGACAGCATTTTTTAAGAGTTTGTAAAGAAGGAATTTCTTGAAAGGTGTGCCATGGGTTTCTTACCGCATTCACAGCGGTATCCATCAGGAATGTCGATACATTTTCCTTTACCACAAATATCTGGACGAAGGCCGCATTCTGTACAAAACGATGAGCAGGACATAAAAAAGTTCTTTAAGATGTCTGTACATGTGCGTAGACTCTATACGCACATGTGTACACGTATATGCTGATTAGTTAAAGTGCAAAAATAAATCACGCACCATCAATTTGCATTAAAAGTCCTGGTTCCACACAAAGCTTATGTGAATCTAAGATTAACCAAATAAACAAATATTAGTTCAACATCGTCCTTTCTCCAAAAAACCATTGACTTTCTAGTCTGCAAGACATACATAAATGTACCCATGTGCATACATATTTAATAGGTAAAAGACATCATATCATATTGTAGATACACGAGTATATTATTATGAATGTCTTGGGTCCCATAAAGTCTTTTAATTTGTAAAGGACGCAAAAATTGTCCGGCAACAAAATTGTGCTTACCACTGTCCGTTGTGGGGCACATTTCGCAGTTGTTCTCATCGCCCCATCCTTTGCCCATGTTCATCCCACAGCAGCAGTCTCGCTTGGTCAGCTTCACGGAGAGCTTGCCTCGACATATTCCTCGCAACACGGACGTAAAACAATTTCCTTGGCGTGCATCTTAACGTATGCCAGAAATAGTGCAAAATGTTAATACATACATGATACACACGTGCGGAGGTATGCGTAACAAGCAGATCAGAGAATCATATATATACTTAAATCGAACGATTCCATGATTTGCTTGTTCTCCTGAAATCATTATTGATTTTTTGGACTATTTTTATATTGTTAATGACTTTCGAACCTATGCAAAATTTTCTGTCCTGACTTGGAATAAATCCTCTGTCACATATGCAATAGTAACCTTGCTCCGTGTTAATGCAACGCCCATCGGTACACACATTATCTATATTTCAACGGATTTAAATTTGCAAAAATTTCGGATGAAAGGAAAAAGGACACCACAGTTTTATGTATTACCTTTGAGACATTCGTTTTCATCCTCACAGGGTCCCGAGCCACCTTCCCTTGGTGCTTGTCCAGGTGGACACTAAAAGTAAAGACTAACATTTAGCAAGACAAAATATTTGGGGCAATTAAAGAACTTTAAGAAATCGCAGAGCAAAGGGCTCAAAAAATAATTAATTAATTACCTCACATCTAAAACTTCCTGGAGTGTTTTTACATGTACCCCCTTCGCATATGTTAGGAATGGCTTCACATTCGTCTAAAGAAGGCGACGGAAACCACAAGCATAATAATTCGACATTCAATCTCATAAACTGGAGCATTTAAGTATGCATATTATTTTATACCGATATCAATGCATTGTGAGGAGTGAATGTTTTTTAGGTGTCCAGGCTCGCAGTCCAAGTGATCTGGACACGGTTCTGTATTTCATCCAATTTCATCAACCATTATAAAATTGCATGTCTTTACTAGGTGTGGGATACTGACGACTAAAGACGTAAATATATTGTGTACCAACCGCAAGGGTGACCCCATGCGACGCCAACCGTTGCACAACAAAGTTGCCTAGTGCAAACCACTCCTTGCAGCTGGCTTCCGCAGACATTTCCAGTGACTTTTGTAAAGCATGGACCTGTTCTGTAATCTGTGCATGGATTCCAAAATGTTCACCATATTAGAAGACTTTTATGTAGTGAAAAGTGAAAGCAGTGCCCGAATGAACGTGAGTTATGACATCTTTGTATTGTGTATGCAAATTACCAGCTTCGCATTTCCGACCAGTATATCCGTAGACACATGCACATCGATCTGGGCCAATGCACCGCCCACCATTGAGACAAGATTCACGACAAACGGCTATTTGAAAATGTAGCAAGAACACATAATAATAAAATCACTAATTGTACATATGTACGTATTTCCATCATAACACAAAAGCTAAAACCTTTCTTTGCTTCAAAATAAAATCAACCAAGTACCTTCTCCACAGAATTCTCCCGAATACCCATTTCTGCAAATGCATTTGTTATTAATGCATGTTGCTCCGTTGAGACATGAAATTTGACATCCATTAGAACCGGATCCACTGGATTCTGGGATGGAAATTCCAGAATTTCCATCGCCTTTTCCAATTCCACCGCCACCAAGTCGTCCTCCTCCATCTGAGTATTGCATAAGTAGTTAAGTTTGAATTCTAAATGCTCTGGCATTATGTACCTATACAGTATCATCGTCAACATTGTTGGAACGTTTTTGTTGTTGTGACGTTCATGAATATTCTAATATTTACAATTTATGGTGTTTCCTGGCATAAGATTAATAAAACAATGTGCACGCGTATGTGCAATAATCTCTTCTGGTCATGTCCCATTCATCATATTTAACCCATTGTTGACAGTGACACCGAGTGTGAAACAATTTCCTTCCTGGTGCTGCTGGAAGTGCAGCGGAAGGAAATGTTTCTTAATATCATCACGCACCTTATTCTTCTTCTCCGTTGTACTTACTTGCTGTTATGACATGATTAACCTCCCTCGAGAGTATATATATTATTTAAAACCATGCAAATTGGTGTAATTTTGAGTTTTATTACATATAAAACTGTCCAACTTGAAATAAATCTTCCATGCCCTGTTTCGATATGCTCCATGTGTGGGGTATTTTTTTCTAGCCTTTAGCTACAGATACATACTAATGCCTGAATACATACAACCGGTTTGATTTTGCTAAACAAGTAGTTAAATGCGTATACATATTTTTGTACATATGCGCATGCAAACGATACGCACAATTATTTCCCTTAATGCATATATAATTGTAAATTTACAATATGCAGAAGATTTCACTTGGAAATTAATAACCGAATAAAAATTGAACTGCATGTGCGAAACGGGATGAAAGAGTCAAGAATAAGGAGCATTTGTTCTCATGTGAAGTAATTTACCTCGAGATCCTTGTTGGCATTGGTTCGAGATCGTACCTCCGTCGCAAAGACAAAGATTGGGCTTCACACACCGACCCGCTCCGCATGCTCTGGTACAAATTGCTGTCGTAAATTACAAGATTAAGCCATTTATAAGTATTATTCTGTACTGTGTCACTTGGAAGGTGACTTGTGCAAGCAGGAACACACTATTATGTGTTTAGATGTATTTAGTATATTACTCAAATTCACATTACTACTGGATAAATGTATGTAAGCATTGTGTTTGTCTCAAACTTACGAATAACACAAAGGCCGGATGCTGATTTTTGCGACCAGCCTGGGCAGCAATAGGTTCTGATTCGTGATCTGCATACGTTCGGTCTATAAATCACGAAGCAAAATAAAATCAGCAATAAATTAAGTTGCATCAATTACAGAAATCTGCTCATATTTGAATCGAGATGCATTGCGGAAGAGCATGCGGGTCTTTAGTTATTCGTTGCTGCATTATTAATCTAAAATGGAATCAGCAGCAGACAGGAATCTTGGGCAAGCCGATAAACAAGGTGTACATACGTAGTTCCTCATTGAGCATAAGTTAAGTGCATCCATTGATTATGGAACTGGATCAGTTATTTAACAAGAAATCACGGAACTGCTTCGGTTCACGTTTGATTAAACGCAACGCAACGCAATGCTATTTAGTATATCAATTTATCTATGCATAAAAAAGCATTGGGCCAACTCGAGCATTGACCTCCCTCACAAGTTAGTAGTATGGATCGAGTGCTATTTATTGATATTGATATCACACTTTTTGGCCATTAAAATAAGACGGATCAACTACCTTTTTACTCTTGACGAATCACTTACTGAATTGCAATGCCCACAAATAAATATGCATGCAGACCGACTCGATCAAATCAAAACATAGCACGCGGAATGCGATTTATAGGGTGAGTGATTTAATGGAATTGATAATTCAATTGATCTTAAGTACGTCTTCCTTATTATTACACTATCACTCCTGCAATGCCAATTTTCAGAGCTTTTGTCATGCACGTAAACATCAGTAATAACGCAAGCATGCATTGTTAGTTATTGTCTGTCCAGATTTAATTGATAATAGAATGAAGGCACACCTGATCTTCCAAGTCGATGTATTCGCATAGAATAATACCCACAAAATTGTAATAAAAGTATATTAATATATTTTGGTGAAAAATAAAACTGTACATAAGGTTTTTTAAATAGTCCTCCTAGACCGTTTCACCAAATTTTAGTCTAATGAGAGGATAAGAGGTCATCCTATATAGTTGTTAATGAACAAAATATTCATCTATACATCGGTATGCAAGTGGCATGTATTAATTGATTTCTTCCACTTTGCATGCTTTCGTCGTCATCAATATCTTCATTCGCATCACTCAATGTCGAGTTGACGCTGAATTTATTGAGTTACGTGTCACACAACTCATTCAAATTATTTGATTCCAATTTGTAAAACTGACTGAACAAAGTTAAACCGAACGTGGTTGGAGATAGGAAAAAAGCGTTAATAATAAAAATAACCACACCACCAAGTTTTGCTCTGGATGTATGTAGCGTTGCGCAGACTTTTTCATTTAATAATTAAGTTGACCATGGACAGTTTTTGCTCTGGAGGATTGTTATATTACGATAAAAATGTAATGGAAGGGTAAGTCATTGGCAGGTCAAAGGTGAGCTATAAAATATTCACTACTAAGTGATGGCGTCTGATATTTGTCTGCTTGAAGTTCAGGAGCAGAAATTTATTGAGGCCGGCGACTTGGCATATGTACCTATATATACATTTCTGCAATACGGCATTCTAGATAATTACATGCTAATACAAATTATCCCAGTTATTTGGCCAATTATTTATTATCTAAACTGCAACGTTTATACAGAACTAATTTGCAATTTCATCTTCTAAGAAGAGTAAATTTTACCCGTTTATGAGTTTAGTTTCGTTTCCTTTAAATTTATAATTTTCTACTCTTTGTCTTATAATAACGTAGTTTTGCGATATTATGACAATTTAAACTCGACCTATAAAAGCATATAATAAAGCTTCCTAAAAATGTAATCAAAGTAATGCACCCTTGAAAACTGATTTACTTGTGTTAAACAACGTTTCCACATTCCAAGATCACACATGTCGCACTACACGTTCTACAGTATCAGCTTTTTTTCATAAAACAGAGTTGCATTTATTTTGAAACAACCATCTAGAAATGGGTGCAGCAGGGTGGATGAAATTCGGTTTGATTCAGGTGCATTATCAAAAGATAGATATAAAATACCAAAAGTGCTTAAGTGCTTTCGCCCATTTGGGATAAATGTAATTAGCTTTGTCATGGAAAGATTACCCTCCAACAGGTGCGGTTTGCAAGGCATTCCCGTGATGGTGACGATGCCGATGTCCACCAGCAGCAGCACCTCCTCCTCCTCCGGCTTCAGAGTTGGCGGACGATCCTCTGCTCGACGACGACGACAAGGAGGACGCCGATGAGTGCTGCTCAGGTCTGCTGGTCTCCGAGTTCGTGTCTCCCCCAAATCCTCCAAAGAACGTATTAATACCATTGTTAGAATTAAAACTACCCGAGCCGCTCCCACCCTCGCTGCTTATACTCCCTCGCGCGGAGGGAAAACTTTTAGAGAAAACGAACAATAGCACCGCCACACTAATCGTTAAATTCTTTAATACGGAAACCAAACGCCCAGCACGTGACGATGACTTCCGCCTTTCCATCCTTGAGTTAATGGAAGATTCACAGATTTTTGGACTGGATTCCTTCCAAGTCCCCAACCTGAAGTTATTGTATCTCATTTTGTCTCAACTTATTTCTACATCACACCTTTGTAGTCTGCACTATTGTACTGCTTGGCTCATGCGATGAGATGAGACGAGACGAGACGACGATGAGATATTTGAGACTATGAGACAACAGAGTTTGATTTTTGGTAGGCTCTTATGTTACATGACTGGACATAATCAAAAGTTATGCACGGCACGGGTGAACGTGAAACTGCACTAGAATTATACATACTAATTGCATACGACCTGAATTTTTTCTGTCGACTACTTCCAAACGCGTATCAGATACAATAAGTTGCAACAATTAGTTTGTGTATGGTCTTTTGTCACATTTTTGTTTTCTTAAACCAACCTCAGCGACTACTTAAAGCAAACCCACAAGACTTATACGTCCGGTTCCAGTTGATATTCTTTCTTATTAGGAATAAACGAACTCTCTTCTTCTTCCTAAATGTCGTAGACTACTCACAACTAACAATCTTCAACCAGTAAATGTCTGGCAAGTTGACTTCTGAGATGCGATATCACTACTGAGTTGAACCTTGCATGGAAATGGAATTCAGATTCAGTCGAACGATTTTTAAGCCAGCTTTTTCATATTGGCTTACGAGTCCTCCCTAACTAAATGCATTAACTTGACACAATAATGTGGTCCGCCTTGCTAATGTTGCACAGACTGGAGCTTAAAAAGTCATCATCTTACGTATATACATACGAAGGCGGAATGTACATATGGATGTACATAATGCAAAGAAAGTTGTTGTAAAGTGTTGAGGATGAGTCGTGGTGCTTGTTGTGGTATGAGTACATAGTCGTAGATTTGAAAAAAGGTATACATTATGCTCTTATGTCATGTGCCCTCAACCAACGCACTTCCCTGAATATACAATTCCACCAACTTCTTCTTTTGCTGAGATGCAGATGTGTCATGTTCTTCTTGCTCGAAATCGAAAGTTTAGGGCGAGAAGAGCAAAACCAACACCAAATATGAGACAAGATTACTTTACTGACACCCTTCTCACCAAGAGACTACTGATCGTGAGTTCCTTACACGCAAGTATCTATGCAAGTCAAAAGATACATACTTAATCTGCTCACGCTTGTAATTCCTGGACATTCTGGATCATTAATCTTTGATGCAAATATTTCACAATAATTTTCTATTGACTGCATCATGTTGGGTGCAACATATTTAACGCAGCTTTCAGTAAGTAATTACATAAATCTAGAAGTATAAAGATGTTATCGAAATTATTTTATTCATTTTTATGGCATTTTAATTGATTTTGAAACTTGTTCAGAACACAAAGGAATTTCACAAATTAATTGAAGATACGGGAAGAGACGAAATGGTCCACGTTTGGCATTCTTAGTGTAACAAAATTCTTTCAGGCAATCAGTGCAAACTAGCATAGGACTCTCAGGGAAAAATTCGTAGTCAAGTACCGCCCATCTGGATCAAAAATGAAAGCATTGATATTGTAATGACAATTGCAATGAAAGGGGTAAAAAGCCAAAGTGTATGATTATTTCTTTGAACAAAACAAAGACATTACGTGGCAATGAATTTATTGTCAATTCTACACAATTTTGGCCTCATGTCGGAAATCCATGATATTCGAGGAAAGTGTGATACACGGTGTTCATCATCATCTGTTAGAAGCCTAAAAAATATAACACCTTAGATTAAAGGAAAGTCAATATACGCATATGTTACATCGGTTGTTCCAGTAGTTAAGTATATTTAGTTAAAAAATTATTACATATTTACCTAGCCTTATTGAACACAATAACATGTTCACAGTCACCTAAATGTCTGAATAAGTATGGAAATCCAAACTGGATTGTCAGGTTTTTCAATTTGGTAATACTCATATCTCCTCGTTTAAATGGGCCAGCTTTTTTAATCGGTTGCAATCGGGTCCAACGTATTATTTGTGATGCATAGTCAAAGTTGTTGCGGAATCGGTTGTCATTGTAAATGGTGTTATCAATTAATAACATGGCTGATAGCAGCTTATTCTGTAAAACAAAAACATTCACGAGTATTAACTAGAGCTGCCCAATACTTCGTTAACACTAAGAATAATCAATAAATTAAAGAGACGAGATGAGATGATAACCTTTGCCAATTCATTCAAGTTTTGTTGGTCACCAGGATGTTCCAATTCCTTTGTAAATATAAAGTCATTGTCGCAGAGTAATGCATCTCTGAGATCAGCCAAGGTTTGACTCCCAAGAACTTCTACTTTATAAGTTGCAAAAGACGAGTATTGCCTGAAAAACAACATGCATTTAAAATTAAAACATTTAATGTAAATAAATTTTACGAAATCAGTTGGATTATTTATTATGAAGATTTATTATTTAAGAAACCAACTAACTCAATTCCGGATGAGTCATCACTATCAGCTTGTCCATATACAGTTACTTCAATCAAAAACTCTCGAGATTTGTCAACCAAATTGGGATTTCTCACTGCAGAGTCAATAACCTGCTGATTTTTTCTCTAAAATAACGAAATAATAACAGTTACTTATGAACGTAATGCATGTTATATCCTGAAAGTAGTTTCCAAAAAAGTAAGGAGACGCATTAAATGTATACCTCACTTAAAAATGCATTTACTGCATCATCCTGAATTTGGTACTTTCTATCAGCCACACGAACTGGGTCCATACCTTGTCGAACGAAATTTCCTAGACTTGAAGGCGGAAAATCATCATTTGCAGGATCTTTCGATGTAGCTGCACTAGAAGCCTTTTGTGTATCGCTGCGATTCGATAGTAATATTTTTTTAATTAAAATTCTTCCTCCAAAAAGCTCACGTGCACGTACCTGCGGACACCTGAAACTTTATTGGGACACGTACTTTGCTCTGTATCTGACAATGAGATGAATGTGTACATAATTACCATCAAACTAAATTAAACTGGTGAATTCTATATGGTATACCTACCTGCTGCAGTATTTACACGTCCTGGGATTTCATTACTGAAGTAATCCTTGACACTAGGAGAAAAACTTAAAGGTTGTTCATTTTGATAGCTTGCTTTATTTGTCCTCTTCCTACTCTCACATTCCGATAAGAGGGTTGATCTTTCTTGCTGTTTGTCAGGATCAGCAGAAGAATTAGACGAACTTTCACTAAAAAATGCATCACCTCTCGACGCCCTACCAAATGCTTTAGTTGAAGCAGAGTTAGTAGAATTACGAAGTGGAATTTCCGACTCCATCTCTAGATCTAAAAGAAGAAAATTATTTAAGCAATCGTAATTTCCTATGATTACTAACTACTTAATTTCTAATTTCCGCTCACAGTCATTCCGCAACTCGGTGGCTAGGTCTTTGACAACCTCTGACATCAACATTTGTTCCACAATCATGTTGTTGGCGTACTCCTCAAGGTGAACGGGGGATGATATGTAGTGAGAGTATTTTTGAGTTTGCATAAAGTGCTCGAGTCGCTCCATGCTCGTTTTCACCCACAGCGTCGCAGTGTCGTCATCGTCGTTCTCCTCCCCACAACTCGTTGCGCCCGTGTCGTCGTCAGTGTCCTCGGCCCCCCCGGCTGAGGGGAGGCAAAGGAGTTGCTGGCTCGCTGCTAACTCACAGTATCGAGCAATCCGCTGGAACATGGAATTCGCAACTGAGGCCATGCTAGCGAACTTGTTTGAACCAGGATGCACTGTAAAAACGTTCCGCTTACTGAATTAGAAATTCTAATTTGGGATTAAAGTCGCCAATCAACACTATTTCTTTCAGCCGTAGCAAGGGGAAAAATTATTCGATGTTGATGTTGTTATTATTTCACAACAACTCAACCCACACGAGTTGCGCCAAGAGATTTTTGCTTTGCTTTGCTTTGAGGGGCACGTTGGGTTCCGGTCGGTGTCACTCGGAACACTTATTTTCTTGATCAAAATATTAATCACATTCCTGGCAATTAAGCGACAGGGGAAATTGCATCAGGTAATTCTAAATCAAATCGCCAATCTAATGTTAAACATCTCCAGTTTAATCCACTTGATAAAATGATTTCCTTGCGTGCACGTCAAGTTTGCGTGAGACAATGCGAGTCACAGTAAAATATAATCAGAATTTTTTTATGAAAAAAGGTTGCGCTGTACGGAAAAGGAGGTGAAATTACAATTCGAGAACCAGTGTGTAGCGGTTTGCTGTCCAATAACAAAAGTGAAGATAAGTAAGTATAGTTGATGCTATCAACTTGGTTGGAAATTAAACAAACTTAAGTTTTCTATCATTCATCACTAACAACTAACCGGGTGAATTCAATTGATTTATTTGTAAAATTTGCCTGAATTTTAGATTCATAAAAGGACTCTTGAGCGATAAAGGAGGGCGCACTTATTTATCTTGGTAATGGCCGAGGGTGGAGTAATGGGAGGTGGCGGAAGTGGTGGCGATGAAAATGATGGAAGTTTATGGATTAACACACGATGGAGAATGGACCTTTTGGTCAATCACCATGCACGATTTTGCCTAAGACTCCTCCATTCTCTGCCTGGAGACTGTGAAGAGCTAGAAACGCAAAGGTACATTTATAAATTGTACTTCTCTTTTTTGCGAATGCTTGTCATTAATTTACCGTTCTTGTTGTTCTTATTCGTATTGCAGGATGACAGTCCTGCAGTTCGCCGTCACTAGTCTTGACATACTCAACCAGATCCATTTAATAAAAGATGAGCTGAAACATAGAATCGTGGCTTGGGTGTATCGTCTTCAAATTACAGAAGGTGTGTCCTGAAATGTCAACGATTTATCTACGATATCTCATATGGCTTGTTTATGTATGATGACAGACCCTCCAGATCGCTGTGGGTTTCAAGGCTCACCGACTTTTTTAATGAATGAGCATACCAATATACACCTTCCACCCAGGGTGGTAGCAAGCCATGTAGCGATGACTTATGGTAAGTACAGAAAAGTTGTTCAATCGCCTTTCAAGGGTAAAAAGCTCATCCTTGAAAGTTAAATAAATCATTCTATAGATTGGCTTTATAGCTAAAGTATTAATACCAATTTAAGTATTTTCATATATATCTCACTATTGAATAGATCTAATAGGTCTACTTTGTGGAATTATCTAGGAACTTGTAATTTACAAGTTCCTAGTGAGATATATTACAAGTTGTAATTAATTACTTTGTTACAAAATTTAGCGGCGCTGGTCACGTTAATCACCCTTGGGGATGACCTTTGTCATGTTCAAAGAAAGAAGATATTGCATGGACTTTCAACCTTGCAAAATTCGAACGGGAGGTACATATGCAGTTATTTTAGTAAAAGTCATCCTTGATTAGCTTGTATTTATATTTCTAATGTAATTTTTAATTTCTTACAGTTTTAGGGCCGGATATGGATGTAGCGAGAGTGATATGCGATTTGCCTATTGTGCTGTATGCATTTGCTACATATTAAATGACTTTAGCACTATAAACGTGCCAAAATTGATCGAATTTATAAGACGGAGCTTTGTAAGTCGAGTCATTGGACTTATATACCTTCTTGAGACCTTAGATTAATGCAGAAAAAATAAACAAAATACTGCTGATACTAAAATATTTAGAGTTACGAAGGGTGTTTCACATCTGGTCATGCTGTTGAAGGGCATGCAGGCCACACATTTTGCGCAGTAGCATCGCTTGTGATTCTCGGGAAACTTCATGAAACGCTTTGTGAAGACGAGGTGAGCACTTTTTTTTATATAATCTGTAAAACCCTAACAAAACGTTAATAACCTTTCGCTTCCAGATCAATAAACTTGTTAAGTGGTGTCTCTTCAGGCAAGGAGAAACTGGAGGTTTTACAGGAAGTATGTAAATTTTTCCATGTAGAGTCATGTAATCTGTTCTGCTCTAAAACAGGAAGTACTAATTTTTAAAACTTTTGTGCCTCAGGGACCAACAAAGCTGAAGATACATGTTACTCCTACTGGGTTGGAGGAACATTAGCGGTATATTACTATTATATCCCTAATTTTGCAATTTTACTTGAACGTTTTCTCCCTCTCTCGTTATTTCCAGTTGTTGGACAGCTTACCATTCATAGACTGTGATAAAAATATTGATTTCGTACTTGGAAATCAAGTAAGTTGGGACAAATTGCAATTAACAAAACAATGTTTTTAATGAGTAAATGTCACAATCAACCAATGAGTGTAATTTTCTACCAAATTGTGTTCAAAATAACGTTATAACTTTGCAGAATCCATTGTCTGGAGGAATTGGCAAAGTGGACAGTGAGCATGTGGATCCACTACACACATTTTTAGGATTGGCTGGATTGTCGTTAGTAAAATACAAGGGTCTTAATCTGATGAATCCAATGCTGACCACGAGTAACAATGCTTCCGAACATTTATCTAACCTTCATCGACAATGGAATACCAGTGGACTGAACTAATTACGAGAATGCATTGCATGTGTATCTATATGAGCATCAAATTATTGTGCCTTCGATAATCATCATTTTTCAGAAAAACAGTATGAATAAATTCACGTAAATAATTTTTTTACACAATTTAGCCGTTTGTTTATTCACTGATTTAAAATATAAGTTTCAAAGCAGTCCACTCATAGTCAAATAATTAGCAATTTAAGTCACCGCCACCAGAAAATAATGCAGCATCAGGTTGGAAGCAACATGTGTATATTTTATTTTAGATTTAAATAAGAATAACAAATTTCCACGCAGAGCTCACTATAATAGTATGAATGGTAATATGTTACATACATGACTTAGAACAAGGATAATTATAATTAATGTGTAACATTTCGTCAGTCAAAACTCATCTCGAAAGTTGAGTTTACAGTGGCTGACAGTAAATTTCAATATGCTTAAAAAATCGTACATTCTAATTTCGAAAGTTATTAGATATTTATGACACGAAGATGCGGAAAAAATAAATGTACATAACACGAGGTCACTAAAATGTGTGATCGATCGCTCAATTCGATGAAACGTTTACCAGTTTACGATTTTCGGCATATCAGAAATATAATAGAAATTAATATAATTATTAGATAGCAATAATACATACATATATATTGTATTAGAACAATAAAACTACAATGCGGAACGTAGAATTTGGAATATAGTTTAAATATGTCCTTCATTATTTTATGATATTGGGCTGACGATCATCGGTTTTTTTATTGACGGCCGGGCATCCTAAAACATGATGGGCTTGTCCTTACAACGGTCGATTACGTATTTTGTGAATTTTTTCAAGAATCTTGGATATTCCCTTTTATAAACGGCACGTAAAACAGACGGTGGTGCTACAGAGATTAAAAAACAAATTAAAACCAGAAAGAAGCTATACTGAAACTAGCAATTTGATATGTAAATTTTAGAATTTAGCTAAAAGTAATCAAATGGACGAAAAAAGTCATAACATATTCATATGAGTAAAAATATATAGAAACAGAAATATTAAAATACTTACCCCAACCATTTGGATTTACTAAGAAAAATTTTACAGGTAAGTACATGTTTATTATGTTATTATGAGATTTAATTTATTCTCTGCTATTAAACTATGTATATGTTTAAATTGCGTGACGTACCCACAGAACAGTAGGTAATCTTGCATTGAAGATTGTCCCTAGTAATTTTGGATGCATCCATGGGAGGATTAACCACTGTTTGACACACCATTATTACAGTAAGGAACACGCGAATAAATTTTCCATTGGTACTCTCCTTTAGAAGATATTTCAAATAAATCAAGTTAATTATTAAATTAAATTAGTGTGTACATTAGTGGTAGTCTGTTTAAATAATAATGTTGCTAATATACCGGTGCATTTACATGCTCCGTGGAATGGTTGCATACGATCCAGATTTTTTGTGCATCTGGATCCTGAGGATCAGGTACATGGCGTTTGTGTGACCAAAATAAAGAATCCCGTTGAGTTGAAGGCCAAATTCTTTTATGGATTTGCAAGAATACTTTTGTGTCGTCCGAAATATTTTCTAAAACGGTAACTTGTTCAACCGTAGCTGCAAACAAATAAATAAACACAAATTGTAAGTAATTTATCATTGACCGAGGAATGAAGAATGCAAGAACTAGTAGATACAAGTTTAAACAGACAAATGTCCGCATACTTACTTTCCCACTCTAACCGTACGTCAGGGTCAAAAAAGTAATGGCACATTTCATGACCAGTGACTCCTCTCACGGTGTGAACCTATTGAAGTAATTGAGTCATTTTCAGCTTATTTTAATTTGAGATTAATGTTACTCTCATCCTTTCAAAATTTCAATATTACGAGAAGGGTTTCTTTATATTACACGAGAGCTGATGATAAGGTTCACGAGTTCTTATACCAATGAAGGCTAACGCGATGGAATTATCGAATATTGCTACATATTGTAGTTCATGATGCTGCTGCCATCAAGTACCATCTACCATGTTGCTACTGTTGCCATGCACTACAAGTTAAACTATGTATGGATCATACCGATAATATATGACAATTGAACGGGTAACCCGTGACTGACTTTGTTTGAATTGTGTATCTTTCATTAATTAATCTAACCTCTAATAAACAGGCTGGTTATATTTGACATAGACTCACCGCTTTCAGGGGATCTACGACATTTCCGTTGAGTTCTTCTTCCCTTCTGTACATCCTCATTTCTCCATCCTCTGCAAATAATTCCCATGCCCCTTCCCCTACACCAAGTCTTGCATAGTGTAACTGCTCAAGAGAAACTCGTTCAATCTCTGGCCATAATGGATGCATTCGAGCTTCGGACTCGGGAGCACTTATGGGAGCAATGGATTTTAGTCTGTCTCTAAAGTCTTGTTCAGCTTCCAACCGTTCCAAACCTAGTTCGACCGCATCATAAAACTCATCTTCTTTGAGTGCGCTGTGAGGACCCTCCTGTCAGAACAATATAAATACATTAAAATTAAAATTGAGGGAATAATGTTTGAAATAAAATATTTTAAACAAAAATATACCTCGCAGTCAGGTCCTCCCATTACCACGGTTTTCTTAGATTCCTTTGCTTCCTTTAATGCTTGTTTAAAATACTCTTCTAATTTCTTCCTTTTTTCGATTTCTTTCGTAGTCCTTTTTCTCCATACTTCTTCGCGTTGAGACATGATATCAATGCAATTTGACAATGACGACAATATTGCTGATGTGGTTGCCTGTCCGGAAAGAAATTAATTTTAAAGTATTTTGACTCTTTAGGATCAATGAAATTTAAAATGAATCATAAATTTCGTTTGTTGTGAGGTACCTTAAATGTTAGGGCTTCCCCTCGAAAGTCTACTATACGTAATCCTGTGTGTGAACAAGCTTCAGAGAGTTTTTTATCTGCAAGGGTTATGTAACTCTTTTATCCTGATTTTAATATGCATAGGAAGACGAATTTACTCTAAAGTTACTCCTACGTTGAGATTTTACATTGACAATGAAGTTGCTAAATTATCATGCAAATACAAACTGTTAGTTTGTCACTGTCACATGCATAATGAGTCAACCCAGTAGCCCTAAAGTCTCAACATCTTCTTTTACCAATTATCTTTGTCGAGTAAGTCCAGGGCCATAAAGAAGAGAATTCGATAAAAGACGACAGGAAGAGTCAAGAGAAGTTGTGTGTTAGTCAAACAACGACTGGTCTTCCTAGAATCTGATGTGTATGCAACTATGCTGGCTACTGAACACTGTTGCACTCACTTTTGTCGTAATCTCGCAAGAGAAGTTCAAAGTTAAGCATTTTACATTATTATCTTTGTAGCCTATGCCGTGTTATTTATTTTTTACACAGCACGTATTACATAAGGGGGAATTTGAAAGTCGGCTGGCTGCTGGAGAAGAGGGGAGCTTATGGTATGAATCACAGATCAAGATGTATATATATTTATAGTAAAGTTGAAAAGCTATAGCATCTAAGTCAAAATTGCTTAATACATGACCCTTCACGAGAGAGACATGTGAGTGCCAAGTAGCATCCTTATCCTTGCATGAACAAAGCAAAGTCGAAGACACGATGCAACTAAATACTAGAGAAGAAAATCATGCGTCCAGTCCAGCTATAACGAATGGGATGTGAGATACTGGTGTGATGGAAAGTTATTATAGGTAAAATATTGTGACTGTGAGAAGTTAAAATGTTTTACAAAAATAAGAGGATGCGAATGATGAATTTGAATTTACACATATAATGATTATATAGTGATTAATGATTTTTTAAATATAAATATTCATTAAACTTGATATCAATTACCTGACTTGACGGAATTAAAAAACGGATTGTCGTTCTCTGGAGCTGTTGGAGTCGGTGTATCGAGGTCATCCGAAAAGAGTGCTGGAAACGTAGTGGAATCCTCCTGGGGAACAGACCCCAGGGAACACACGTCAAAATATTTCTGAAGTGTGTCAATTTGCTGGATTAAAATATCCCGATAAGTCTCCAATTCAGCCACTTTGACTTTCAATCCTCGATCTTTCAAAACGCTCGAGGCCGACGTGGTCGACAATGTAGTGGACGAGATTGATACTGCGCTTCCGTGCCGTTTTAAGCTAGTTTGACTTCCATATCCTGACTCTTGCTGGAAAATGATTAAAAATTAAAAAAAAGTTGTGATCACTGCCTTATGTGACTCACTAACTCGATAAGCTAAAGGCAAGTAAATATTTAATTAACTCACCTTGTATCGCTCCAAACCTTCAACCCATCTCGTTTTGTCTTCTGAGGTTACACATCTTAAATACCTTAAATAAATACACAGTCATTCTTCAATCACAACAATTTTAAAACTACTTGGACAGAAATAATAACCAACAAGTTGTCAAAATTTGGAATCGCGCAAAGGCTTACCACATACAATCGTTAACTGAGACATCAAATCTGAGTTCGTCGAATTCATGAGGCTGAAAAACAACACGTGTACATAAATGAATGGAATGTTGTCAGTAATTCATTGAGCATGAGTGTCTTATAAACAGAATTATACGTCACGGTAAAAGTAAAATAGATTACTCATTCATTCCCCGTGACGTGACGTAATAAGAGGATACTAGATGACGATGACGTCGATTCAGTCGATTGCGTTGTTTCGAAAGTAATGAATTACCTTGATTGCGGCTTTGTGAATAGAAATCGCCCCCCTGCAGCCAAAAGTGAGTTCGGACTCGCACTTGGAAAATAAATACAAAATTAGCCCAAGATTTCACTGTCGTTCTTCGAGTGAGACTCTAATTGTTAGTTGAAATCGCTTCATTCTCACTTTTCCACATCATACCCAACTCTCTTCTTCTCACACATCACATTCTGAAATCCTACAATAAGAAGTAGGGTACCTTTGGATATCCAAAGTTCAAATACCTTGTAATAGGAGAGGGTTCCGTCCTTGAGGACGATAAATCTGTCCTGCCAGCCGTGAATGTAGTTGGTCCACTTGCTCAGCGTTCCGGAAATGTCCCCAGCTGGATTTCGATTTGACTCGTAGACTTCCTCCTCCTCCTCCTCCGAAAAACTGGGACTGTTCTCATGTGACATCACTTCCAGCCTCAATTAACCTATGTTTACTTGATGTTTTATGTATATTTCACTAAGAAGAACCTCACGTGGTTGATTGTCAATCCCTCAGCCAAGTCATTATTTATTATATGGACGCAGTATTTTAACGTTCGATTAATTAATAATTAACAAGGAACACGGAACAAATTTTATCATCCTTGTTGATTCATCAATTGGTCGATTACATTATATCACAAAAGTGAAGGAAGGAAGGCAGAATGATTACTAAACTGAAGTAGTGATAAGGTATTGTGTATCTGCAACTGCTTGACGCAATTTTATTTTATATTATTGCATTGCAAATTGCAATAATTATGAACTACAACAAACTGCAAGCTGAGGAGCTGAGCCGTACTACCATTAACGTAAAACTCAAGTATGAAATAGTCAATGTCTATCACTGTACACTGAATCAGCTTTATCGTTAGTAATGCCAGTAAATAAATTATCCTAGATCACTTTGTATGGAAGATGTAAAAAAATGACTAAAAATAATAACTCTTCATCTTTCTGCGTTTATTCTATAGTGAAAGTAAACAAGAGTGACCTGAATTTTTATGTGGTTTTATTTTGTGCAATTTGAAGCAACCTCCGCACAATGCTCTCTATTATTCCATCTCATTTTGCAGGGGCAGAATTTTCTCTGCGAATTTTGACTTTTGCATCAGAAGGTAAAAATTAGTAACCGGCTAGTGGCTAGAGATTCTTTCTCTTAACTTAAAATTCTGTATAATTCAACCCAATTATCCTGGAATTGTAACAAAATAGTTGGGCAGGCGTGAATTACGACGGCCCCATGTTGAGGACTATTATCGTCTGTCCTGCAAATTGGGGGACTCATGCTGCTAATTGTCGTGCATTTCGTGGCAATTTCCTCTGCCTGCGGAATGATGGGAGTGGAGGTCGTCGTGGGTGGAGCAGTCTGCCTCGAACCAGCAAAAGTCGCTTCTCGTACCCCGAGGGAATGGTAGCGCACGAAGATGATTACCTTGACGAGGCCCAGTACCCAGAAATCGACGAAGAAACTCATCAATTTTCAAAATATCAGAAAGATAAACATCAAACAATGTTGAGTTGGCACCAAACAATTAGAGACCAACCCAACCCGGAAGCTAAAACTTTGGAAATTAATATGCCAAGGTATTGCTCGACAACACTAATATTATATATCAATCTTATGAAACTTGTGCTATTCATTCGCTCAAAATCATAAAATGTGACATGAACTGAAATATGTACAAATATATGATGTGACAATTCTATAATTTTTAGAGGATATGGATACAGGTGCTCAATACTAAATGAGGAACGTTTTGAGTATGCCAGTGAGTCAGTATATAAATTCCTTACAAGAAGTCACCTAATTGAAAATGAACTGCCGGATGTTTATTCTTCGCCCGAATTGATCAAGGAAGCCAAGCATTATGCTGAAAAATTACGTGAACCAATTCTGGAGGCGTTAAACTTTGAATCAAATCACCAAAGGTGAAGCTGAATAAAATATATGCAAATATATGTATGTATGTATTGTATATCCATTCCGCACGTACAAAGATATTTATTACTATGCTTTACTACTTACATATTTTAATTAATTGGTTATTCATTGCAGTCGAAGCTATGATGGCGACCTAGAGCAAACGACAAAATCAATTGATTTGAAAAGGTCTCAATCAATTGTGACACAAATAAATAGAGTAATTTTATCTGTTCTGGGTGGCGAAGTGGATCACCTGAGTAATTGCCAGGTTTGCCAGCATTGCTGCTACTTTGTCTTTCGTTTAAATTCATTACTATTCATTTCGGGTCCAGTTTTTTTAACTTTAAATTCATAATCCTTTAGGTTGACCTATCTCCAAAAATTGAGGCCTTCTGGCTTATGGGTGGTCAGCAGCCTACTAATCGCATGAGAGAGTCAAGACTCAAATTACAAAAGTCCAAGTTCCGAAAATGCAAAAAGAATGAATATGACCCTATTGAAACGTGCGTGTATATATTTATCTGATTAAACATATATTTTAAGATAATATAAAATATTTTACATAAACATCATATCTAAAATCTTTAGACCTTTCCAGTACAAAGGATCTCCTTTGTTGCAGCTCCGATGTGAGAATCCAGTCAACAATTTCGTTGACGCAAATTCTCCTCACTGCACTCTACCACCAAATACACCGTTGGTTTTTCCATATCAATTAAGCAATTACGGAATTGGACAAGTAAAATATAACTTTGCCAGTCTTGTACCAGGTACGATACAATAATCTTATAATTCAGTAACCAATGCAATTGTAAGATAATGATTAATAACAGGGTAGGATTCTTATTATAAAAAAATTGAACAAGATATGTACCGTGCGGGTGGAGCTTAGCTCGTGAAAACCCAGTGTTGCGCCTCAGTTCTCCTGTTAAGTGAGGCGCAACACTGGGTTTTTCACGAGCTAAGCTCCACCCGCACAGTACATGTCTTGTTCAATTTTAGTATACATAGACATATTCTGATGTTGTAATTGTGATACATATCCTTTGGCCTCATTTTTTGCAATACAGGTACTTGGGCATCTGATAATCATCGATGTAGCCATATCGCATTTCACCCTCGACATCATTTGCTTGATGAGGCTGTGCAGAGTAGTGAATATTGGGTTGCAGATAGAGAAAATTCCCTGGCTAGTCAAGCAATTTTAACTTCATTTGGTCGACTACTAGCTCAAGCATTGTATTTCGGTATAATCATTTTCAGAAGCCTGTTTTTCTTGTGAAATCCTACATGCTAATTGATAACGTACTTTGATGTTTAGGGTTTGACCAATTTACAGAATTGAATTATCCATTTTCAAGTCAAACAATAATTACGGATGGCCTAAAATGGACATTTTCTGCGTATCAATTAAATACAATTCGTCTTGCAGGTATATGTCCGCACTGATATATACGATGTACGAACAAAGTTTGGTCATGGATTACTAAAGGAATAAATGTCTTACTTTCAGCGTTGCATCTTCATAAAAATCCAAGACAAAATATTTGTTGGAAAATGAACTCTATGAATATATTCGAAGATGCCGAACTAAAAACGATAAACATGACTACTCTTGAAACTATTCTCAAGTTTTACTTAAATAAACCGAAACAAATTGCGGTTGAAAACCCGACGCCGTACTTGAAGTCGCCCTTATCAACATGGGATGACGAAACTCGAAAGGAAATTGTTTTTCACAACTATCGGGACATGGTTTCACAACGTTGGTACGTGGTCAACTATCGACGAAGGATGTACCCTGAAGTTTACGAATGGGAAAACATCTACAAGGTACAAACATTTTTTATATACGTATTCTCTTTTTTGGACGACTAATTCATATTGCATTTGAAAATATGTAATTTCTCAGATACGCCATCAACAACGCTTCTTTGAGCCTCGTCGACGCTTCTTTGAATTGCCATTAGATTTTCCTGGCCGTTATCCATATGATAAACCATATGGATTAATTGATCCACATTTTGTGGGGAAGCGAATGAAGTTTTTAATGAATGAATTAGATGCAAATAAAGAAAAAGAACGAATTGAGGAAGCTAAGCGAACTCAAAGCTCTGTGTATGAAGTTGAAGATGACCCAAAAGAAAAACGAAGGAAATGATGTAATTAAATCATGTAGCTTACAATTCGTTTGGTAGACTAATCATATAGTATGTACATATTATATAGTGTTTCTAGTATTTTTACAACCCAATACAGTACCATCACCATATTCATGTACTTCGTGTTTTCTCGAGTTCACTCACAATAAAACATGACTTGTTCGACTAGTTCTCAGCCATTCTATTCAGCAGTTATTGTTGGCATCGACTCACTGCAGCTAGTAAATGACTCCAGGGAGGTCAGGTCAGAGACTACGCTCTGAAAATGTATGCGACCTCACTGCTCCTCTCGTGTCACCCTGTGATAGACGTGAGTTGGGATTGGGAGATTGGGAAAAGCGCCGGAAATGAACATCTTCATAAACTTGTGATGCCACCACCACCATCTCTTTGCTGCTGCTCTACACTCAACGCGGCTGAGAACATTGAAAATCAAAAATTAATTAGCAATTAGCTAACTTATAAATTGTACTGAAAACTGATCAATTTGAGTACTATTCTCCAGTTAGTCCACCAATGCACCTAAATCAGTTCTTTTTAATACAGAGGTGAGCGAATGTTTGAGATTGTTTGTTTAATATTGTACTTATTCTGTCCATTTGTCAGTCATTGCATTGCCAATTTTATTCAGAAAAACACTTAACCTATATTTGAAATAATGTATTAGTTTGATTCAAGCATTCGAATAAGAGAATTGAGAAAATTTGCATGCACTTATTATGACGTGACTATAAGGTATATACAAAATTGTCTAATTCATCGTAAATCTTATTCTAGTTTTTGTGTGGTTTTAGATTCGTTATCATCTGAAGAACTGGATAACAATTTTGTCAAGTTGTATGTGATAGTGGTCGAATATAGCGAATGTTGTAGGGAGAATAGACGGCCGCCAGTGATTGATTTAAAAGTGAACAGTGAATGGTAATTAAAGTGACAATTTGACTTCTGGACGCAGTTTGTTGAACTTGTTGTTTTTGCTAAATTGATATGATAGAACTCAACAGGTCAGTGTACACAGCCATTTGCTGCTGTGAACATTTAGAATTGAATCCCGTCGTACATTTAAGTTCTGCTCATCGAAATGAATGCAACAAATGAATCGGAAGGCGAGAGTAACATTGCACCCCCGGACACTGACACCAACTGTATTTATGTGTGTTTGGATGGAAACTTTCTTCCGATAAGGTTTGGAGTATTCGATAAAAGTGACGCATCTACTCCTGCACAGCTTACCTTCAACAATCAAGATCCAATCTAGTAAGAAATTTCTGTCATTTTTCTTCTTCACATGCACATGGGATATTTTAAATTTAGTATCTATATTATTGGCTTCTCTATCATCATCAGATTACGGATTAAAGTCCTATGACTTTAATCTCGAATGTGATGTCTATTGATATTGCGTCAATTGCATCGTCTTTTCTATTTGGAAAAAATAGATGATAACACTTGCCATTAAGTTTCAATTGGTATTTTTTTTATTTCAGCTACACAATTCAATCAAACGCTGAGGAGGAAGGAGCAGAATTTCCTATAACTGATCTTCAACAAGTTCAGCAACTTACGATAGTTCAGCAGGAGGAGGCCCATGCTGATTCAATTAAGTTGGGAGAGGAGAACGAGGAATTGTTGGACTTTGAAATTATTTCTAGAGCCAAGCTCTATGGGTCAAGCCCTTTAGCAGAGACAGATATCAGTGTATCACTATTGAACGCAATTGCTGCAACATCGTCGGAAATTTCACCAATACAAGTTACAGCGAGGCTTCCTCAACGCACTGAAGAAGCTCCAGAAACATTGATTTCAGTCAATGTTCTTACCCAAAATCTGGGAAAGTTATCAAAAGTAGAATTTTCTTGTAAAAAACGCCAGGTGTCAAGCTTCACTGTTCTAGACGGAGTGCAAACTTATTGGGGATCAAGTGAGGCTGACGTCGTAGTTGATGACAAAGTCCAAAATATTCCTTGGGGAAAAATCACCCTTAGCAAAAACAGTTTACTAATAAGACATCCTGCGTTGAGGTACAACCCTGATCAAAGTCCTGTGGAACGTCTTTGCTTATTCCCATCTCAAACAAGTAAGAAATTATTGATGAATAACACTAACAGACAAAAAGGGCATAATATAAAGTATTGTTATTAGATGCTTCAGTTAATAAGTATATTATTCTGTTATTTTTATTAGAAACCAATCCACACAGTTTGGTTGCTGGTGTAATATCCTATTCTCCGAATGGATTGTTTATCAAAAACCGGACATTAGGACCAGTAGAAAGCTACATTACTGATTTTAACGTATCCGACATGAATCCCGAACAAGTTCCAAGGTTCGATAAGCGGAAAAATTTTCAAGTTCAGTTGGTTCAAGTACAACAAGCGACAGTATTACCCAACACTCATCTTGCAAACATGCCCCCATTGGTTCTCAGTAATCCATTTCGTTTGGTATACGCTATAAATCCAAAGTTTTCGCCACCGCGACCATCCCCCTCCTCTACTGGTGGTAATAATGCTATTTGTGTACAACACACGAATGACCACATAATTGGACAAAACACGACCGCAGCCGCGGCCACCTCCCCCTCGTATACTTTCGCATCCACATCAAATTCCACACATCCCCATGCTAATATTATTGAAGCTAATCTACCACAAGATACAAGAGCAAGATCATTCAAGGTCGCCAAAGTAGCAAAAGCAAAGCCGTGTAGGAAACAAACAAACCAACCTACTATAAAGAAAGCCAGGCTAAACCAAAGTCGAAAGAGGGCAACAAAAGTTGCTTCTAGTTCTTGTAATTCAGAGTTTTCAAATGTGTCCGTTCTCAATGGACTCGAGACACAAACTCGAACCGTTAACATGGATAGTGCAACTGTGTTGTATAATAGCAATTCGTATGATCCTAGTTCAACAGTAATTCGTGGGTCACCTGTTATGAATAATAGCGGAACATTTCCTCAACAATATTTGCTTATGCCACAGTCAAGTTTAAGCGTTTCAGAAGGCAGTGTTCAGCAGCAGCAGACCACCGCGGGAGCTGGACCGTATAACTCCAATCACCTAATCGTAAGCAGCATGCAAAATCCAACTACTATGCTATACTCTCCCGAGAGAAACTTTCAAGCTTACTCGACCAATATTCAGCAACAAGCAGGATATTCATCCCTTGGCCCAGGTTCAGTCTCACCTTTGAACAGCAATACCACTCAAATACTGGGAACAACGTGTAATTTAGTAGGAAACGTTGCAAACATTACCGGAAATATGATTGTTCGTTCTCTAAATAGCAATAGTCAAAACGCATCGTATGCTATATCATCTACGAATTCATTTCAAGGAAATTCTTCTCACATTCCCGCACCCTCAAGTACTACTAGTGTTCGCCAGCCAATGTTTACTAAAATCCAAGTGAACAACATTCATAAAAATGGTAGCCAGATGCAATTAGGTCCTTCCGCATTTATCTCTGCTACTCCACAACGACATCAGGTCGCTACGTCACCAGGTGTTGACCATCCAGCCATGTCCATAATAAAAACACAGTTTATTGCTTCTCAGACTCAGCCCCCTTGTTCATCAACTCAAACAGCCCCTATTGGTCTTCAATCATTGGTTTTAGTATCACCGGAAAAAAAGACAGACCAGACAGTTGAAACGAAACCTACGCCATGTGAAAAATTCTCAGTATGTGCATAGTTGTTTCATAGTTATAACGCACGATTAGAAAAAATATCAAACCCGTCATTTATTTTGATAAATAGTGAAACCTTTTGTACTTATTTTTCCAGAGAGAACGTTTCATTGAAGGCCATGAAGCCGTGTGCCATAACTGCGGCACACGATCACGGGACCTACACTTCTGTGATTATTGCAGATTCAAAATGTCGCCTGATGCTAAACTTGTTGCCCTTGGACCAAACTCCAAACCCAACATTGCTGAATCAACTGTAAGAATGACACATAATGCTATCTTGATGATCATAAATATGTACCTTTGTGTCAATCTAATATATTAATGTAATTAAAAAAAAACAGGTGAAAAAGGTCACAAACTCACCAGCAATTCAAAAGCGAAAGTCGAAGAAGGGGAAAAGATCCGAAGAGTGCATCGTTTTATCATCTGACGACGAAGACCAACCAAAGCCAAAGGTTTCAAAGTCAGAAACTAAATTGGACGCTTCTTCGGTGTCCAACAATTCTACTTCGGCAGTGGTGAAGAAAGAATTAAAAATTAATTTAAGCCAGCCTTGCTCTTCCACTGCCTCTGGTTCAAACGTTCAACGTCCTGCATTGCATAGTCAAGAAGAAGAAGAGGAGTATGCGAAACGTATGTCAAACTAAGATTATTCCATCTCTTATGAAATCATGATAAGTAGTAATAAGACCAAGTGTTTGACCCTAATGTTTTTAGTCATTAACGAAATCCAAGAATCGTTAAACGCATCGTCAAAGGAGACGGTGGTCAAAGTAGAATGCCGTTCTGTGAGAGTTGGTGACTACAAATGTTCCATGCCCAGCACTACGGGTGCCATTGTGTATCAAGTTATCTTCTCTCAAAAAGGAATAGTCTTCACCTTGCCCCACGCTCAAGCTAGTACGACTCATTTAATCTTATACATTTCAAAGTTGATTGATATTCTCTCTCTTCTTCCTCTTCTCTCTGAATTTTATATACTGTTGCAAAAAATATTTTCATTTTCAAAACCCCTGAACCAATTTCAAAAAATTTGTTAATTTTTTGCAACAGTTTTTTTCTAACAATGTTAAGATGCCATATTGCCACTGTGTCTTCATAATAATGATAATATTATAATGAAGAGAGGGTGTCAATTTGCGTTGAAATTTATTTGCATAATAAACGTTTATTTAGAACACAAAATGGTAACGTGTGTCGTACCTATGGACACCATACTTATGGTGGAAGCTCACTTTAAGAAGAATCTGCCTGTGCTATTTATGGCTACCGGATTAAAGCTTGCTAGCAGCCTGCGGAAATCACTAGGACTTAGCGAAGATTCGAAAGACTTGGGATATCACTATGGCCCACAGGATGGAGGTTCGTGAATTATTTCTTGAGTCTCTTTCTTTATTTAGCAGACAAAATTTATTAAATATAATCTAATAATTTAGACAGGTGCCAGAAACGGATCGTCTTTCTCTTTACTACCATTACAGAACAAGCAGTCGGGATCATCGTCAAAATTTTTGGAAGAACCCTTTCTGAAATTGACAATCCGAAAGCAAATCAAATTCTTTGTGATATCACAAGAGATCCTCAAAATACGTCTAGCAATAGGGTGGTTTCTAGTGGAAAATCAAAGCTCCATGAGCAGTTATCATCTACAAGTGTTTCCACGGCAGAAAATACGGTTGTACTAGCATCTAGTCAGGTTGACTGTAGTGAGAATAAAACGTAGGTTGCCTCAGTTTAATACAACAATTTTGACACATCCCGGGCTCGAGATCTCAATATTTTGTGTTCAAAAACCATTTGCTTTACTGTTTTGTTGTTGTATTATTGCAGGCTCTTGAGCTACCAAGGGATTTCGGTTCTTCAAATGGACGTTTTATGTTTAGCAGATGAGCAATTCCTGAATGACTCTATCTTAGATTTTTGGCTAAGATATATTGAACATGAACTCCTCTCCCCTGAGGATAGAGCGAGGACGTACATTTTTTCAACCTTTTTCTACAAGAGATTGACAACGAGACCTAAGAAACGCCCAAACAGTGCTATCGAAGAAGACCCTACACTTTCTGCATCAGAAAAACGACACAGCCGAGTTAAGCGATGGACGAAAAATGTTGATATCTTTGAGAAAGACTTTTTAATAATTCCCATTAATGAAAGGTAAATAGGTTATTGAGAGTGGATGGTGGAATTGCTACGATTGTATCATATCAGTCATAATAATTAATTCAAATTTATGGTGATTTTTCCAGCCTGCACTGGTTTCTGGCTGTAATCTGTTTTCCTGGCTTGCTAGGAGTTCATGACCTAATAACTGGAGAACCTCTTCCCAATTATAATCAGAAAAGAAAACGTGCAAAAGTAAAGACTGAAGACAAGGCGCCTGAGTCGGAACCACCTTCTAATGGTTGTTCGAATAACGGTAACAAAGGTATTTGACATTATTTTTACTAGTTTAATTTATGACCTTATGAAAGTACCTGTCTCTATGTACAGAAAGCTTGTCAAGATTAAATACAATTTCTAAAACCATGTCCTTCAATGTCGTTCAAAAGTCATGTGAAATAATTATTTAAAATGTTTTATTCAGAGAGTTCTTCAGAAGTGTTGACAGAAGATATACCTGGTCAAGACAGAACTGAAATATCTAGAGCTGTGAGAGTCAAGAAACCATGTATTATAGTATTTGATTCACTTGCCGTCGAGGCCAGAGGACGTGTTTACTCGACACTTAGGGAATATTTAAGGATGGAGTATAAGGTAAACACTATGTTTAGTTCTCAAGGAAAAGAAAATATTTCCTATTATGTATACTCCATATTCGTACATGATTAAAGAATTAAAATTCTGTAATTTTTACAGACTCGGAAACTCCAGGACCGCGATTTTACTAAAACCTCAATGCCAGGAAATATGCCCAAAGTTCCTCAACAGCCTAACCATTGTGATTGCGGAATTTATACTTTGGTCTACGTCGAATGCTTCTTCAAGCGCCCTCTTTCGACATTCGACATTTCAACTGACAAAGCGACAATATGGCCCGATGATGATAATATGAAACGGTTATGTTCGACAAAAAGAGAATCTATTTACACATCAATACAAGAATTAGTAAAGTCAACAAATCCAGACGCTATTGACTGGATCCCCAGACTCACGTTTACCCTACCTCCCATTTCGAAGATTGTGAAATCTCACCAAGATTTGGAGACCGGCTCTGCTACCATCGAAAGTGTGCAGCTATCGAAAGAAAATTCCATCAATATTAAAAAGGAGGAGGAGGACACGGCCCAACAATTTGATGCTCCTCCGATTTTTGAAACTACCCACCATCATGCTAATTTACAACCTAGTACTGTAGAGTCCGCAAGAGCTAGCCCTGCGGACAATGACCATGATCACGATTATTTTGGAGTTCCTCCAAATAAGTAAGACTGTACCAAGAGTGCGTCCTTGTGCATTGCCCTCAGTTGTTGGTAACATTATACGGATTGTGTGATAAGCTTGCTAAATATGTGCACACCAATATAAACCCTTCATGCAACATATTTATATACATCCATCAATTTGTATACCTATTACAAATCTAACTATACATATATATGACGTAGTCTGTTTTTTATTTATTTTGCCACTATTATACCAAACTAATAGAGAATTGTAATACATATATCACGGGTCTCGTCTATCTCTCTCTGTTGTTGTACCAAAATGTATCTTGTATACCTGATTGAATGAAGTTTAAAATTGTGCATTGCCATTACACATTGAAACTGGATTAACTGACACTGTACATTATTAATAATGCGTGGATGGCTTTTAGTAATAATAAAGTTTTAATAATATAGTCATATATATATATGTTAATAACATCGATTGCTATTTTAAATAAGCTACATCCGTGATTAGTCCGTGATTTTGTTTTAAAACCCAATTTTTAAAAACTTGCCTCAAAAATCAATTCGGAGGTTGTCAAGGAATATTGATTATTGCAAAATTAATCTGCAATACGAACAATGAGCACAGTCAGGATGATTTGAAACAATTTACACTAGAAACACCGGCCGTAGCCGTTAGTGATTGAAGAATCCTGTGTTTACACAATTTTATAATTTCTTTTGCAATATTGTATCATGGAGCGTTAGAGTCCCTGTAACATTACCTATATGCGTTATTTGGTAGATACTAAAAGTCAAGCAGTTGGTAATATTGCTGGTCATCAGCTCGAGCTATTAATATTCGTCACCCAATAGTAGACACGGTAAATGTGTAAAATTTGAAAATGGGTCTGTTTTCTTGGATGTTTGGAAAACCAATGACCCCGGCTCAACTGATCCGTAAGCATCAACGATCCATCACTAAGGCCATTCGAAACCTGGACCATGAGCGTCAAGCAATGGAGCAACAAGAAAAGAAACTGATTTTCGACATCCAAAAGTCTGCAAAGGCAGGCCAAATGGTCCGATATTAAATAATGCGTCATACAATTCAATTCATGACATACGTACATAGTATTTTTATTCACTAACAAGTTCACGAATTCGTAGGAGGTCTGCAAAATTGTGGCAACAGATCTCGTTAGAACACGAAGATACATAAAGAAATTTATGCTCATGCAAGCCATCATTATTTTAAATTAATAATTAATAATAATTTTGTCATTTAACTTTTATATGATTTTATGGATTTTAGGAAAGCCAACCTCCAGGCTGTTTCTATTAAAATCCTTACACTGCAATCTCAACAATCTATTGCCGAAGGTAAAGACAATCGATTCTGTTTGTTCTGTATTTGCAAATAATAACTATGTATGTAGATGGCCAATGCGTTGTATTGATTATTTGTTAACTTTAATATTTAAAGCAATGCTTGGGGTCACCATTGCTTTAAGAGGAATGAATCAGTAAGTAGTATTAAGCCATTTTAACTCTAACAAATACCATTAAAAACACAAATAGAAGTCATTTTTTTCTGAATAATCATAAATAGGCAGATGAAGCTTCCTCAGGTTCAACGAATTTTGATGGCATTCGAGAAACAAGTGCAGATTATGGACATCAAGGAAGAAATGTTGAACGAATCAGTGGACAATGCAATTGGAGAGGAAGAGCAAGATACGGAAAGGTACTGTCAATCTCAGAATCAGAGAATGTGTAGAGTATGGTTATGATTTTAAAATGTCTATTCACATGAAATATTTTAGCGAGGACCTGGTAGGTCAAGTGCTTGACGAACTTGGACTACAACTCCAGCAGCAACTTCCTGAACTTCCTGGACCTTCACAGACCAAAGGTCATGGAGGGCAAAAGGTTTCTGGATTTGTGGTTGAAAATGATTTTGATGATGACCTTCAAACTCGACTAGATAATCTCCGTCGTGATTGATACATCGTAAATATTTGACTGTACCAAACACTTTCAGAATACATATATTTTGCATATATTTAATTTCGTACGTGTTGCAATGCATTTTTATTAATAACACAATTTAAAATTATTTTGCTTCCAATGATGAAAGCATCTAGAGGTTTAAAGTATATATTGTAATCCATCCTCCAAGGGATCATCACAAAAGACAAAGTAATTTTAAGTAATATGGAACCAAACTTTAGAAAATTTTTAGAAAACAAAAATTCGCATTTCAAATTAGCCAATATTTAATCCGATTTTAGAGAGGGCTTTGAGTTCTTGCACATTTAGGTGAGAAATAAATTCTGGAAAATGGGGCTGCTGGCTAAATGCTGTTAAAAAATCTTTCAAATAGATTGAAAGATCAACAGTATATATCGGGTCAGAGAGAATGTCTTGGTCATCTACGTTTACACCACTTTCTTCATCGTCAAACAACAAGTCCTCAACATTGAAACCACTGCAACTTACTCCGTTTTCTTTATCGTCGTCTTCTGACTCACTTTCGGTTTCACCCTCTTCATCAGCCGTTGTGTCTGCTGTTACGCAAGACAGTTCGTATATTAGGAGTTTGAATATTTTCACCAAAAGTGGAATCTTGGTCCATTCTTCTGTCTTTTTCTTGCTTCTGGTTATCATTTGTTTCGTATCCACTAGTTCACCTTTTACTTGTATCTGAGTGACTCTGGGATCTTTGGTGTTCAATCCATGCAGGAGTAAATTAGCCAAAGCAATGGAACTAACTTTTCGGTCAAACATGCCATAAAACATGTGTTGCCGTGAAACCCATTCCGTCATGACAAAGTAAAGGGCAGATTGACCTGTATGATATATAAATATGTGAATTATTCGCATAAAAAGTATTTAGAAAGGTATATAGATATTGGGTATTGGTATAAATAAGTAAACAAAACCTGTTGGGCCTGGAACGCTATCCAAAAAGTTTAAAGCTGGCTCTAATTGAGTGTTGAACAAGTATGCGTAAACCATTAATAGGTTCTGTATCACACTCAGGGTGTCAGCAGACCTCAATTTGCTCAAAACTGCTCGTAAAAGCAGCTCAAGTTGATCTCCAAGTTTGTTTCCAGTTTTGCTCAACAAGGTTGTAACAAGTTTTCCTACTAATGTTGCGGAAAATTCAGACATTGTTGGATCCAGGAGTCGACAAGCAATTTGTACAACATAGGCCAAGCCAGACATTCCATTAGCATCCCTGTAACCAGTGTAGTAAGTATTACAATAAATCTCCTTCAAGGTTTTTGCACTTGCTGGCACTTGAGGACTAATTTGATCCAAGTATTAATATCGAATTAACCCTCAAGCCACCCCCCACCCAAAGTGCAAAAACCTTGTACTACTTTCATTTGTTGAATAGAGTCCGATTTCAAATATTATTAGTACATATATTTGTAACATATTTAGTACGAATGTGTGTAACCTGTATTCATAAACTTGATCAGGGGCAACTGATGTGTAAGCTCGTAAGCATTCACCTCCGTTTTGCCACACTGTGTGGTCATCAGATTTGGTTATGCAATTTATCACAGCAGGAAAGGCATCAGTGACCAGCATTGGACTGAGTGGAGTAGGAGACGCTCTTATAACGACTGTCAGTAGATCCAATGCTACCCCTTGAGGACCAGCTATAGCATCAAATAATTAAGCGATTACTTATAAATTAAATTAAAACTAAATGCCCAAGGCCAATAACAGGTCGTTATCTGTGTCAAGGCTATGTATGATATTACACTTGCCCATTTCAGTACTGGAATTGTTTAGAACAGAGATGAGGGTTGGCGTCAATCTCTCTTGCACCTCGACAACACAATTTCGATTTTTGCACAGGATCTGAAGAATTCCTTTAATTAATCAAATTAAATTTTACGCTTGACATATAATCTACCGTAAACCGCTGAATGAATAAATAAGTAATCGGTAATATACCTTCGATGATTGGGCATATGACGGGATCGGCATTGAATTTAACAAAACAAGCTATGGACAGAGTCGTAACTTTAGAACCAATGGATGCAGTGAAGCCATCATCTAGCTTCAAAATTTCAGTTAGCGTCTCCAACACGATTGTCAGAATATCTACTGATTGCCCCATGGCTCCAAACGTAATTAAATTTTCCACTATTACAGGGAGAAATTCGAGTAATTTCTAAAAAAAAAAAAAACAAGAAAACAACCATAAAAGTTTAGTTACAAACAATTTGGTAAAACCAAATACATCAACTATTGTACAGTGTGTATGAATGTACACATCTTTATATATATACCATACCTTATGTACAAATTCATATTCTGGTGACTGGTTTACAAAACTTTCAATAGCTTTTGTTGCCAACAATTTCAAAATGATACTCCGATCAGGCTGTAGACACTCTACCGCAGCACGAATAAAATTTTCAGTCAACGTAGGGTCAATCACAGTGCAAAAATTGCTCCCCAGAACGAGACAACGACCCACAAGTAAGATATCTTGTGAAGAGAGTCCAGGGATGACAATATTCTTACAAGTAAACAAAAAAATAGGATCCAAAATTAGCATAGCTTAATACGGAGGAACTATACGACATTTTCAATCAACGTCATCTTCTGATAATCCAATCAACTACCTGCACAAATCCATGAATGTCGAAGCATCCTGCGGTAGGAATACCACTACTTTGCGACCAAGGTTTGGCAACGTTTGTTCCTAAAGAGCAAACGGCATACAGGCATGCTTCCTGAAGTCTCCAGTCCGTCTGACCAGCAGGAGTGCACAAATGCCTATTCACAGCTTGGCCTAACGCAGCAATGCATTGTTGGTTGAATTCGTCAGAAACAAGTGACAGTAGATCTTGTGCACATGCTCTTAACGAATATGTTCCCGAGTCTTCATCTTCGTCGCTTGCAAACGAACTTGGATTGCTTGTCCACTGTTCAACTCTTTCCTATTAAATAAATTACCAGAAGTAAAAAATATAAGCCACATTCTACCTACTCGATAAGAACATGATCAATAAATAAAGGTTTACCTGAGGAAGTTGCATGTAAAATGTAGTATAAAAAATCAAGTCGGTCAAACTATCCGACATGTAAGTCTTTGCAATTTGAGGATTTTCCAGCAATGCTTGAACAAGTTCAAATATAGCATACAAAGTGGATTCAATTCCACATTTTTCTCCGTCAGAGTCAATGTTGTCATCATCATCCTCATTTCCTTGGAGGTATGCCTTAAAGGGAACTGTTAATGACGTCAATATTGCCCATGCTGAAAAGACAAAGCAGTAGTTAAATTATTTGGTGTTCAATTCCACTATAGCTGACAACATAACTATAGTTATCATCTTGTTATCTTATTCAAGAGCCAAGCCTGATATTTTTAACATCAATGTGTATGAACTGAATAACTGAAGATGCGAGCATTTGGGTAATTTTTTGGCTCAGTGAGTATACCTACATCTTGTGCGTGGAGTATATGACAAACGTTTGTACATTTTATCTTGGCTTGATGTTGGTTACTTTAATATTTTGTAATTTCATTGAAATTTGATAAATTATAAATTAGTACCAGGTGGAAGAAGTTGTGCGAGGTATGGTGACGTCTTTGCTTGATAATACCTCAACAAGACTGTAACAGTCTTAATGATGTCTTTCTTTAATTTATAATGCCCTGGGTTTTCAGGTTCCATCAATGCACGTGTAAACACTTGCACATAGTTCTGCAAAACTGGATCAAGAAAACGAGTAGGCGCTTTTTTGTCGATTTGGCCCAAAATGCTGATTACACGAGCACAAGTTCTAAATACATAAAACGGAAATGATTGTTCGCTGACTTACAGTATATACAGCTTTAGCTTTAATTATAGTATTAGCTTTATAGGATCAATAATAATTTGGTATTTATACCTAAAAACTTGAACTGCTCTTGCCCTTGTATTTGAACTATATGATTCCTTGTCATTTATCATAACGCTCATTTCCGGAAGGATTATTGGTGCAACCTGAAGTAAATGTTCCTCTGTCAGTTCCTTAACAAACTCTGTCAGAACCCTCATGGCTCCTGCAACAGACTGAGCACAAATCATTTAATTAGATTGTTCCACCAAGAGCGATATTTACTTGCTTTCAAAATGAAATTTCAATCAAATATAAATAAATAAGTAATACTTTCTCGTTGTGCAAGTACTGCAATAGAACTTCGAATAAATTTGGCCATTGTTCAGGCCAATCCCAGTGAGCAATTGTTGAAATTATAGCCGCAATTGAGTTTCGTATCTTGCTTTCAGAATATGTTAATCCAATCGGTAGATTGGATCGAAGAATAGCTTTTGCCTGCTCAGATGGCTCCGGTGCGACAAATCTAAAAAATAAACCATGTATTCCTTATAATGTTTAAGTTGAATCAACCCCTTTTAATCTTTGCACAGATATATAGATGCTATTATATTTGTTTAAGTATGTATATGAAAAGCGAACAAACTTTTCAGTGATTGATGTCCAGTGAGTGTCAATGTATTGACGAAGGATTACACTTGCTAACTGTCGAATTGGTGGGGGGAGGCAATGATCTCCATTGTCCAGCACTATCTCCATCAGATGAATTGGATGATTTTCTGTAACTTCTAACGCCTTAAGTCGTTCTTCTGCTCCACGTCGTACGTCTCCTTCAGGAGACAGACTTCCTTGAAGACACTGGGCACAGAAAATTATAAAGTGTATAATGACCTGAATTAGAATATTATCACTAAATTACCTCAATTAAGGCTTCTTTAAGGTTACTCATCCTGCCTTCTTTCCAGTGCTTGGTACTGACCAAACGTCTCAGCCAGAACTGAAACACAGTACAATACAATACAAACTTAGTTAATCATACTGAATTTTTCCGAAATTTTCGGCCAGCTACTGCCAGCACTCAGACAGAATGAACCCCTCCCTACAATTTTTCAACTTGTCGAATTATAAGTTTCAGGTAATATTTAATGAAACATACCAGTGATTTTTACAGGGATCTATTCTATAACTTTCGATAACCTTTGTTAAATATACACGAGAATTACGAAACAAATTTCTTTAAATCCTTTTAATCACAAATTTGAGTGCAACGGTGTCGTGAAATGTGAAATGAGACAAAGAGCACGAGCAGATGTGGAGTGAAACCGATTTTCATAGTCCATGTTCAATGGTGATTTGCTTGCGCGCTCTTGGGGCGACTTTGTCGTAAGCGTCCATATCATGTCATAGTTTGTTAATTAACTATTTAATCAATTATTTAATCAAAGTTTTTGTGCTAATAAATAAATTATAATTTATGTTAATTAATTCTTGCAATTGGCGGCGGAAACACGATTGCTTGACTTTTGGTGAAAGACCAAGATTATTTCATACTTTATCAATTTAGAAGGGTAACTAGGCACTAAATGTAAACCAATTGTGGGCCATACTTTATCACGATTAACTGACATCGTTTCTATGGGGTGGTGCCCCATACGGTTGCGACAAATGAATTATTTTTTAGAAAATTTTCATTTTTCTGAGGTGAGGAAAGTAACCAAGGGCTACCCTCACGACAGAAAAGCGCGTGGTTACGGCGAAGCCAAGGTATGCTTTCAAGACAGGGTCCTAAAACTTCCGCCACGGCCACAGCTCGAACGGTTACATTTAGTGAAAAATTGTTGAAACAAAAAAATCAGACAATTACGAAATCTAGTGTCTTTTCATCTTTCTCGTTATGAAAGTCTAATATTACAAGAATTTTAGGACCTTTGAAACTTTAAAATGAACCGGAAATTCAATTTCACCATACAATGATCATGCCAGTAGCTGATTTTAGTGTCCGGGCACTGATTACGCATCATTTAAGATACGTTCGAGCAAAATCTGTTCAAAAATGAGAAACTTTTGATGGAGGTATCTGCAGCCGTTTACGCTGCTTAACCGCGTATGATAATTGCACATTAACTAGCTGGGTGCTATTGGTAACGAATAAAAAAATTCCCACCCAAAATCCAGAAAATAAAACAACATTTAAAAAACAGCATTCTTCGGTGAGGGTGCGACTAAAAACTTTAAAACAAGAGCATTGAGCAAATTTTAAAATTTAATATTACCAAATTTTGCCTCACCGTTGGCATTCAGTTAAATACGAAATCGGTTTGGGCCCACGGTGAGGCAAAATTTGATAATATTAAATTTTAAAGTTTGCTCAATGCTCTTGTTTAAATCGTTGGTTCAAAAGTGTCATATTTGAACCAACTAGTTTGACCCTGAATAACTTTTTAATAGGCAGACATAGGGACTTAATTCTTGAGGATGAAATCATCCTAATTTTTAGCTTGATTTTTTAAGCCAAAAATCTCGAGTGTACTATTTCGAAAATTAAAACGTTTATTTTAAAGAATATAAGTTTTTAAGGAATTTCACAGCCAATTCTTATCTCACAAAATTCTATAATATACCAAAGTGATCGAATGATCTAGACCGATCGATTGACACCCCACTGGAGGGTGTGAGATCACTTGACCCGGATTTGACCGAGGGGGTCATCTTAATTTTCCAACTTGGCAACGGTCCACTCACACCATTTTTTTTAGTGCATAATAATTTTAATTTAATTTCTTCAAAAATGAAAATTTGTGTTGGAAACAATTCATTTGTCGCAACATGTATAGAATGATAAAGTGTCAAATAATATTGATACTTTATCATACTGAAAATTTTGGTAACTCGGCTATTTACCGTAACCTTTACCATAAAGTGTCAAATAATCTTGAACCGATTAGAATGTAAAGGTTTTTGAAAAAGGAATTGTAACTTGTCTAAATGTCCAATGGCGTTGTGTAAAGTGCTTTAACATCTGGCATTTTAAAAATAGATTAAACAAAATCATGGATCGACCAACGTCCACCGACGCCAATAGTGATGCTCCATTGGATAATAAACTGGTGGGCCAAACTCCTGATAATGACCAGAAATTGGCAACAGCCTCCGGAAATATCATGAAAGCGTTTGCCACGATTCGCATCATGGCCTATGTATTTGGTCGCTTACCTTTCCAAATTGCGAAAAAGGTAAGAACATTATTATTATAAAATATTTCGCCACAGCAATCTACTACTGTCTGATTATTTATAATCAATCATCTTCGCTGCCAATATGGAATAATTGACAAATTTATCTGCAGAAAAATGGGATGTACGCCTTCGTCTTTAAGAAATATTCAGCTCCAGCAATTTACTTTTATATAACTTCCTCAATGTTGGGAATTATATTTTTCATGTTATGCATTGGATACGTATCGATATTTTTCGATGTCAATGTCAGCAAAGTTAAAGACAGGTAAGCAGAAAAAATAAAAGTACACTCGCTTATGGTTTAGGTGCTTTGTTAGCCCGCATGACTTCAGTTATATTTTATTAGATGTCAAGTAACCTGGGAGTCGTTCAACTTGTTAAGGTCTTGGTTCAGAATCGTCCGTGGTAACACTGCCATTTTTATACAACTTTGTCACAGGTTTGCATAGGATAGGTTGTATGTAAAAAATTTGAATCTGCTGCATTAATTAGCAAAACTATTCAAGAAATTTATAAAATAAAGCTATTGGTCCCATACCACATGTGTTGTAGAGCAGCACAGCATGGTAACATATAATTCATACTGGATTTTTATAAAATATATGCATATGCATATGCATATTTTGATAAATTTCTCGAAAAGTTTTGTCAGCTAATGAACCAGAGTACAAAATTTTGCATGCAACCCATCCTATGCAAAGCTGGGGCAAAGTTGCATAAACGTGACCTAGTGTTACCACGGGGGATTCTGAACCAAGCCCTTTAGAACTGCTGTCCCCACTGCGATTACTGTGAGTTGGCTGTACTTGACACTTTCGGGTAGCATTTACACAATGTTCCGAGGGAAGGAGTATCTTCATTATTTGAATTATTGGAATCGAGCAATTGCGATCCTCAATTGCGACCCGAGCGAGGGCGCGAGAAGGTCAGCGCTAATCGACAACGCCCACTGCCTCATGCTCATCCTCCTCTTCACCGGCTTTTACGGCAGTAAACAAGCCCCGTCCTTGCACGAGGGGGCTGCCTCCATCGCAAACGCACTCGTCCGACTGTTCATCCAGGACATTGGGGTAAATCCACATATGTTGGCAAAATTGTAAAATCGACACCCCTAGCATATGCATTTATTTAGAAAGTATTTTATTCTGTCCAGATAAGCGAAGAATTTAGCAAGATTGTTTCAAATCAGTCCGACTGCAATATGAGGAAGAAAGTATACTCCACGTTGGACTATGATTCGGCAAGCTTCACAGTATGGAAATTGCTCGGGTTTATTATTCAGGTAGGCAATGAACAATATGCGTGAAGTGAATTATATTTACTCGTACATACGTCACGAGTAAATATAATTCACTTCCAATATATATGTACTGACATGACTTGACTATACAATGAAATTATTTATTCTTACTATAGATTTATGCGTTGTATGGGTCACTTTGCGTTATAATCCAGTTTCGGTTTTATTGTCGACTACTAAGAAATATGGCGTATATATGGAACGAAAGATTTCAGAATTTGCTTCACGGAGGTGCGACGCATAGTAATACGTACATTTATGCATGTGTATATACACCGGATCATTTATAAAACAAGTTGAACAAACATGAGTGTTATCATCTCATGCCTTTTTCTTTTTATTTGTATATTTAGTTTCCGAAGACCCCAGTGATCAAAATAAGCGTCGACTATCCCTAAGGTTCATCATGAAGGATCACTTAATAGTGGTTCAAATGTTTAAACTAACAGAGAATGCTTTTGCGTCTACCCTTCAGTCCTTCTATACAGTTCAGGTATCATACTTCATTGCTTTCTTGCACGGCAATTGATGCGATTAAAATACTTTAATTAGCAGGAGTTCAAATTTTTTAGATAGTCAACATGTGTAGTGAACTGTACTTTTTGAGTGCTATGAGAGGAGTATCGACCTGTGACAAATTGATAACTGACCTGCAGGGCGAGCAGCAAGTAATCGTGAAGGCATGTTTAAAGTTGGATAAAGATTTGGATCTTGCACCCGTTTTGAAGTCATCCTCATCTAAATTTTTTGCTGACCCATGTTCACCAGTATGGTCCAAAATCATACACTGACATATGTAACAATCATCAACCGTTCTAAAAATATGTGTCATTCAGGTTCAATTTAAAATATTACAAGAAGCAATTGTGGCGTTAGTTCTACTACTACAAACTTTACGAATAACATTTTCCATTACGATGGACGCCTCACTTGCTTACGAGGAGGTACTTGAATTTCAACGCTAAATGTCTTGTAGTTTGAGTATTTATCGTATGATCTCAATTATGAAATGTTAGGCAATGCGTGGATTTCAAATTCTCCGTAGGCATTGTTACATGTACTGTTATTCCAGGAGAGAAAGAAATTTTGTGAGTATTGACATCATTTTAGATAATTTAAAGATAGTTGGTTGCATCCTCTATTTTTGATGCATTATAATTTCAGATACATAGTCTTATATTTTCATTTGCTGGCAACAATCCCATACATATAACCGCTGGAAAATATTTCGTTGTGAATAAAGCCCTCATATCCGTGGTAAGAGTTCTTGTATTTTTATAAATTACAACATGCACTTATATGCTTTTAAACTTTATTTTTAATTTATATAGATCGCGGGATCCATATTTACGTATTACGTTATTTTACTACAGTTTCGACCAGGAAATTTCGACACAAAAGTAATAACAATCATAATAATAATTACAATGATAGTGTAGTAGTAACAATAATAATAATTATAATTCCTTTGAATCAAGGACTTCTGCGTCGAAAGCGTCTGCAGTGATTTAAATTCGTATAAAGAGTACTCCGGTGTCGACGTCCAATGTAGCAAGGTTTTCTTGAATAGCAATAGTACTACTACCCCATAGCATTTATAATTACATATTTTCTTTGTGATTCACAATTTGTGATAAAGTGGGTACATGCTAACAGAGATATAGATAAGTACATGTGCTAACTAAGGATTAGTGAATAATGCGAAGTGAATATTGAGTGCATGAGACAAAGTTGCGAAAAAGTTCAAAATATAGCATAGTGCATGAGTGAGTCTCTAGGAAAACAATAAATCCACATGTGTACATAAATTCATGACTTTCATTTCAAGTTTCTATAAGCTATTAATTAGAATATTGTTGCAAGCGCCGATGCTAGTAATACATTATAGTCTATAATTAAAGTGAATCATTCAATGTCCACGCCATATAAACTATGATTTACGTAAGTGCAAGTAAAACGATTTGCTGTGATGTAAGCTGTAACATCACCGATGTTTCATAGTTTCATCACATAATTGGAAATATTAACTTCTCCATGCATGACTAGTGATTATTTGGTGCATTGTCAGTGTTTAAATAAAATAACTGGAATTTAATGATTAAAAATGGGCGCAGTTGAAGATTTGAACTCTGAATACTCTGCACCAGTTGGGGAGAAGAAGAATTTTGTACGGACATTTCTGGAAGGGTATCCGAAATGGAAAGGTATATACTAACCCGGTTAGTCTAACTGACACTCTAGGGAGAGGGGATATGATATCGGATTTTGGGTGACCTATTTGATAAGTTGTTGACTGTTGTTGTCCTTGTTGTAACTCTGCAGAGGCGGTGTTCCTGACGAGTGTGGCGGGGATGTCGGTGGTCTTTGGCTTTGGGGCGAGTGTGTCCAGGAGGAAGGAGGAGGCCTTTTCCGACAAAGGCTTTTCCGCACCTTCACACTCCCACAAGCTCGAAAGCGGAACGGCACTGGCGACTCGAGCGCTCAAGTGGGGAACCTTTTACGCCTTCACCGGAGTTGGACTCATCTGCTTCACAATTTGGAAACTTATGGGGGTCAATGATGTAATGTCCATATGTGCTTATTTATGGTATTACGGTGGTCACCTAAGTTAGGGCAGTTCAGGGAACAAAATCTGAGTGAGGTGAGGCCGGTCTCAACTCAATGCATTTCTCATCTTACGAGAAATAAAAACCCTCGATAGTAATTTTGTTTCCTGGACTGCCCTAACTTAGGCCGCTACCGTAATAACTTTGCAAATCTTGGTAGGGTCTTATATGTATGTGCTTTGCTCGTTAAGTTAAAGGAATTTCGGCTGAAGGCTGGAGAATTTCTTCCTCGAATCCCCAAGAATGAACCTAAAGGAAGAACAGAGTTTGCGAACTTGACTGACCTTCTGCAATATGTTATTGATGAGGACAATCGTGCCAAAGCAGAAAAAATGAAGGTTGTTCCGACAATTGATTTTGGCAACGTTGATGATTCTCAACCAGTTTCTAGTCCTAGTGGAGATGGTAATGTTAGCAATTGCCAGAGGTAGACAAGACAAAGACTAGATATATCAAATATATATATATATGTATGTACAGTCAACAGTATATGAATAAACTCGGGTTAAAAACAAAACAAAGATAAGATTCGTACGTGCATATGCAGTTATGTACGTCTGTAGACGAGTAATTTGGCATGATTTCACCACGGAATACAAGATTTAAAATGTTTTCAAATATAGTTCTGCGACGGAACTAAATATAAACCCTGTAAAAGTTTGGCTTTATTGGTTGTGCATAATGTATGTGCATTTTATGTATGTACAAAATAATAAACTTAAAGTATAAATCTTTTATATCTAAATAGTTATTTAAAATCTATAACAAATTCATTGTTGTTGGACTCCTGCAATCGTTTCTGCAAACTCTCAATTTCCATCGGAAAGTAGACCTTGGTGAGACGGTCAACGTCAGTTTGGCTGGAGACAATCTCAGAATTTGCCATAATGCTTAGATCCACTTTGTCCGCATGAGATGTGGACACACCAAACATTACTAGAATAGAGAATAGGTTTAATAAAGTAAGAATATGTAAAAAAAAAAAAAAAAAACTATCTTTAATGCAAAGTAAATCTTTCTTGGAAATGTTTTTATCGTGGATTTACCGCACGTAGGGACGCTTTTCGTTAATCCCAATGGAAGATACATATTTTCTATCTTATGGCCCAGAAGGTAGTGAGTTTTTTCGGATAGCATTAACGAGGCAAATGTATTTGAGTATCTAAAGTAGTAGAGATCCATAGAATGTCCCAGACGCATAAGAAAACTGGGAATTATCCAAGTGACCGGAATAACTATAGGGGTTAGAAGTTAGTTACAGTTAGTATGTCTCTAATTATTATCAATTAGCCAATAAAATCATAGACTTACTCAAGCGTCTGACCATTTTATGCATATGGATGTCATGAAAGTGCTTGAAAAATTGGTCTGCCCCTCGAAGTCGTTCCAGTGGATCCGCAGTACGAAAAGGAATGTTAAACACACCACCAGACCTGTAGAATATATTAAATTTTAAAAAAATGTATAATTACTGAGTACACAACAAAAGACAAGAATGGGGTAGCTCCACACTGCCAACGTCTTTTTGTTCTCTTATTAATTATTTTGCACGTGTAACCAAATTGATATGTAAATTAATGTTAGAAGCAAAATTTGATACACTTCATTATTGTCACGTAAAATTCGTCGGGCGTGTGTGAGCCCTCTTATATTTACTTAATTACTTAATTACCAATGATTGACCAAGGTGGTTCTTGGATGGCCTGGCCACGGAAGGGAATTGGCAGTATAGATAGATGTTGGGATATCTTCTGCACTACGTTTCTCTGTTATTAAGCGCCTTAATGCGCCTATAGTTAAACTCATCATTACTGTGATGAAATGTGTATTCGTTTTCCTTCGAATTTCTTTTAAGGATTTCAAATCCATGCTAGCCAAGCCAAGGAACCAGCGACTGTCTGGGTTTTTGATCGGATAAAACATATCAGTAGTCCGTGAAACCCCAAGGTAATACTCTGCCAAAGTAAGAGGGAAGAGGAACGCATCTTTTAACTGCAAAGGACAATATCAACCAAAATTGTCAAATAGTTAAACAGACAGTCTCATTTTTACTACCCATTACGACGCCTTAATGATTCACAAACATGGAGTATTGTAGCGACACATATATATGTATAACACATATATATGTATCGTAACACATAAGGTTTATGTAGTGAGCAAACAAATGACCGCGGCTTACTACGTACTTCTAACCTTCGTCATATCTTAAAAGACGGTTCGTCTTTGAATATCTGTAACTCTTGGAATACAGATATTGAAATGTTCTGCAATGATAATTGCATGTGAGAAGGTGAAGGAACTCATATTGATTTAATAGAAAAGCATTCGCATTTGTAGACGGCGGACGGACAAAATACATGTTTGAAGCCATAATTATTTATAGTCCTAGCAGTACCTTCTCACATTTAGTACTTGAGAATACCATACTGAAAGTTGAGCGTCTGTCGAGGTCACTTTGCGCATGTAATTTATTTTATGAACTATAAAATATTTGCATTGGTCGGGATGATGGCGTATGTATGTTATGTAACGTTTTCTTTTCGTTTTCGTAATATAATTCTACTTTAATACCATCTCGGCCCAAACTAGTAGTAAATAATTGAGTGGTTAGGCGTAAATATGTATGTCTATCCATACATATATACACTGGGCCTAGCCTATTTTTCTCACTCTCAACTTTGGTTGATTATATTAGGTCAACAAAATAAAATCACGTGGGTATTTAAAAAATCGTTCGTGCATGAATACCTATTTACCCATGTATCTAAATATATAAAGTAACTTATATATTTGTACCTTATCACTGAATGAATCATCCTCATCTTTCACCAAATACGGAGAAGAGCTTCCTGTAAGAGTGTCCACGAGATGGATAAAACCATACCCGTCTGCAGAAATATATAAACTTTTAACAGGAATTTCTCATTTGCCATTTACTATTTAGTCATTCTTATTTGCCCCTTATTACCTGCTAAACAGTGGTGATTTTTGTATAGAAATATTGTTTCGCATTTCTCGTTCTGACTGGTGACGGGAAGTTGCAGAATGACGATTTGCCAAAGGGGTGCGTTCGGCCTAAAGTTTTTAGAATAATTTTACGAGAGCTGCTTCCCAGGTAAATTGGATTGGTATCAAGGAGCACTTACAAAAACGGATCTTCAACAAACCATTTTGTTATCCACGACTCAAGCTCGATGCCGGGCTCGAGGCGTCTCTCTAAAATGTGCTTCTCCAAATCAATCTCTTGAACACTTTTTTTGAACACGTATCCACCAAACTTTACGAGATAACAGTAAAAGTTTCTGTATCTTCTACGAGACTCGTCGTCTGATAAAAAACATTTGTAAAAATGTTTTCTAAACTCATTAATTTGCACTTTTCCATTAATTCTCCATATTTGTGCTGCGTTTACAATTGGAATTCCTTGACTGTCGTCAATTGCGAAATAAGTATCATTTGGCTCTGTGCAGTGTAAATCGTTATAGAATAATTTTGCGACTAATATCACTGTCCATTTCCATATGAAAAAGACGGCAAGGACGGGGAACACAAAGATAATGAGTAACATCCATAGCACGAGGTTTACAAACGCGTGTATGAACTTGTGGAACTTCATATTATTCAAATTAATTTCAAGAGAAGTGGTTGTATTGCTTCAACACTAACTTGTTTTCTGTTACATTTGAATGAATGTAAACGTAGTAAATACTTTATGAAATCAGGTTAAAAATGATTGAATTCCTTGGCCTCGGACACAAAAACCTGAGTGAAAAGTGAAACTGCATTGAGTAGAATTTGGGTTTGTTGCCTACTTATGCTGCGAGTGGCCCTTGTAACTGGCAGTGCAATTTTCTAAACTGACTCTCACCACGACTTGTACTGTCGTCGACAACAGCTAAATGGTCACTGGGATGGTTGGAGATGCGAATGATGCGACTCGGGATGGTCGAGGAGATGATGAGCACAAAGTCTACTGCATATGTGTATGTGTAGCAAATAAAATACTAGGACCGACCAACACCTCCGTCGTTAATTACCAAAAACTACCTGAGTAGCACATACATAGGAACGTACATATGTATGCGAACACTGTATGTATAACATTTCTTGATGTCTGAATTGCAGAAAAGTAATACCAGCAATATGTTTCGTGCATGTTACGAAAAACAGCCATGCAAATATCCTTATTCCATCTAAATTGTATAACATTGGATAATTGTGAAAATTTGGTCAAATACAAAAATCAATGCACACATTTTCATCAGAAGATAACGAGTTTTAGTTCCTCCTTAGTGTTTTTTTTACGAATTTTAATTAGTCGTCAACCTGCTTATTGCGTTGTCGCTCAAGATAAATACGTACGATTGACTTTGTCATTGAGATCATTTAGTCTCCACTTGATCTGACCACTACTGCCGTTACATAAATACTTTAGGCAGCAAAAAATCAATCTTGCATAGTGCGACAATGCCATTAACTGGCATTTTATTTATAACTCTAAACTAAACTATGCGTCAACTACATACGTTTCCCCATTTTCAAAATTCGTTACGACAAATACAATTTTGCTTGTTCGTGGATGCACATAAATGTCATACATTATAACCATTTCATTTTTTACGTTCATGGTGCCATTGTTGAAAACCCCTGATTCAAGGTTGCATGCATATTGAATGTGTTGCCTGTTATGCTTAAATTCTCCAATAATTTGTTGTCCGCTCCTAAATACACATTCTGCGTCCTAAGCGGTATACGACCGTTTCATGCAAATTTATGTTCACGAGACCACAAGTGATGGAATATGTAAGTATTGCTAGCGTAAATTTCATGCAATACATAATCAGCATGGATGTTGCCTCCTTCCATTTTCGGAGTCTTGAAATTCTCTTGGAAATTTTGGAGATGAAATCGGCGAATAGTTCTCACAGAAACATTTGAGAAAAAATCTAGTCAGTAGCGGAACTGGGTTCGCAGAAGAGCAAACAATGCATTAGTAGTTGGCTGCTCTCTCGCTCCTGCCCCCTGGCTGCTGCTCAAAATTAGAAACATAATATTTATTCGGCTACCCACCCACCAATTTATAATTGAGATAAGGGTCTAATTCCTGTTTTTGTATTTGTCACTTTATTGTTAGTTAAATTTGTCAAATGTTTTCGTAGAGCAAGCCCAAGAAGGAGTATCCTGCCGTCCCCAATCATCAATTTATATAATGTACATACATAATAATACATATTTAACAGCCTGACTCAAGTGAAGAATAACATAGTTGTGATGAACTACTAGTTGGTCAGAACTTTAGTTGATCGATATTCTTTCAGCAAATATAAGTTTTTCAAGGATTCGTTTACCCCAGTAAGTTAGAAATATTACTTATTCGACACATTATTGTACTGAGTTGAATTTTCACTAAAATTAATTTAACTCATTTTACAGTCTTCCACAATTCCGTTAAGTTTGATCTCAAGCACTAAAGAGAAATATGCCGATGAAAGAATTTGACAATTCATCAGCTGGATCGACTTTCTTTTGAACATTTAGCTTACTTGCGTAGTAAATACTGATTAAGTGCAGTTAGCCTGAATTTAATTAATTTAAACAGTGTACTGTCAACGTACGCAAATGTACATTTAACACCTTATTATTGTTTCCGTTTCTGTCAATGAGGGTAAGATTGTATTTTGTTTTATCTGTGATTACTGGATGATATCTAATTATGTTTTCTTAATATTGCAGGACTATAATAAACATAAATTACGAAATGCTGCATTGCGCTGTGTCCCCTATCGTCCATCCAATCAATCTCCATTCTAAATTTGTAAGAACTAGTAAAATTCAATCATGAAATTGATAAGCGATAAAACAATAGTTCTATTAAGTGTTTTTTTTGTTAGCCCATTGATTGACTACAGCGGTACTTGGTGCCGTCTTGCTGGAAGAGAAAGCAAATAGCCAATCTGATAAGACTGATGAAGAAGAATGATAAAAACTGAACTATCTAATACTTGTCTACCTAAACGGAAAAGGCTTAAAAGTATTAGGGTTAGGAACGCTTTAAGAAGTAAGATCCAACAAACACGAGTACGAATGAACAGTGTATCGCAAAAATCAAAATATTCTTCGACATCAGAAGACTCCAACGAAAATGCAGTGGGGTCTTTAAGTCAATTTCGACCCAATAATAATGTGGAACAACAAACAGCGCTGAATGAATATGATATGCACACAAAGAAGAAAAAATGCGACATGAAAGTTGATCTTGCTGCACAAAGTATTACCAATATTGTTAAAAATGGAAACGATAGACTGACATTAGAAGAACAGGTTGAAAAATGCTCACGTTGTACTGAATGCGAAGACTTGAATGAATCAGATTATGTCAGAAGAAAAAGTGAGAACAACAACAGTATTCCCTGCAAGTTTGAGAACAACGAGGACAATTTAAGAAACGGATCTCCACAATCCTTAATCAATGGACGTACGTTTGAATGTCCACTTTGTATTTCGAGAAAATTTCGGGAGGTTGACAAGCTAATTTTTCATTTAATGTATGGGCATAATCTGGATCTCAGTGAACTTGATCTCAACAATTTAAGACATTTGATTGTTTACAAACAAAATGAGATCTCTATTACTGTGGCACCTCCAAAATTCAGTAGACCATTTACACTTGCAAGGTACAAGCTCAAGCGATACCAGGACAAGGAACCAGCCTCATCGTTGCATGATTCCTTGATGAATTCCGAAATGCAAATGGAAACGACAAGAACAATCAAATCTAAAGCAAGAAGTGATGATGGAATGTTCACATGCTTAAAATGCTATTGTACTTTTGAAAATGAAGAGGAATTCTACAACCACGTGAAACATAATCACATTTGGACGGACGAAGAAATTAGTCGATTATGGATGAATGGTGCTGAAATAGACCCCTCAGAATTTTGGTGTCCTGAATGTTCATCCAGTTTTATTACAAAGTGTGCCCTCTCGATGCACATAAAAGGAAGTCATGAGTTTTTGTATGATATCCAATTGTACCTTGAGAAAATTGGTTACGAGGGAGAAGTACCACTAACGGAAAATCAGTGTGATATTTGTTTTAGCGTATTCGATGGAGTATTAGAGTTTGAAAAACATGTAAGGAGCCATGGGCTAGCATTTCTACGTCGGCAACAACTTCTTTCCAAAATTAGAAAATTGAAATAAGCCATCCCTTGCTTAAACTTGTTCATCCTTTTGATTTACTAACAACATTTGTGGTGCCAATGCAAATCCTAAGTCAGTGACACAATAATGACACAAGGTCACAACATATTATCGAGAGTTTGTAAATGGTAATCCAATTACACTAATATATTACGCAATTTATTTTTGTTATTTTGTTATTTTTTAAAATGAAAAATTAAATAAAACAGTGTTACAATGTCGGATATTTACAACCATTATATCTATCTGAATTTTATTTTTCTAGTGGATTTTACAATAATATTAGCATTCGAAAGTCCAGCATGATTGTATTTGTTTCTCAACAGTGCATAGTAGGTCAAACTCACCAAAGTTTTAAGTTTTCACCACTTACATGAAATGCATAAACCTCGAGCTAAAGTGCATAGACTAAACGCATTTGGTTTTTTGTAGTGTTGTTATTATGAAATATGTATAATTCAGCCAGGCAACAAATTTTATCTCAAGGGAAAGGAAGCAAGTGGGAGGCAGCCAAGGAAGATTTCTAATTAGACAAGAAGCAAGACAATAAATATCACAACGGTCATTTCCTCCATTTCTCCGGTTTCTTCACAGAGCTGGATATATCAAGGTTTTCATATATACGTACGTATTTATGTATGTGTAAACCCGAAACTCATCGCTGGAGCAATTCTTCAAGCATGCTGTGGGGTTGATATGAAGAAAAATTTAGTCCAAAACAACCCTCCCATGAAAACTGCAGTTTATGTATTTACTATTCGGTATGGATGTACAGCCAAGAATGAAAATGCGGACAGAATCTTTACCATGCAGGGTTCTCACAGTCGGACAAGTATTACGACATTATTTTCAAGTAAATCTGTGGAAATGCTTACACCTGAACTGCATCGGAAACAATAGTGCGGTTGTATCCCTGCCGTAAAGAGGGGAACCCAATTTGTATGCTCACCTGTGCCAACTACCTCTCATATCTGCCAACACATCACCTGAGGATAGCAGTAATGCGCCCTTTCTTCTGATGTACCTGCTCAATTCCACCACCTTTTGCTCGTTACGTCTTACAATGCAAACCTACCTGTCTCATCTTTTCACTTTAGTTTTACTCTGCCACCCTTGAGAGCAACAAGTTCGACGTGCCTCCATCCTTTGTTCTCATGCTTTTTGCCCTTTTCATATTAAAATTGGTCTGCAATAGTAAACAAATATTTCAAACTTTATAGGTGTCTATGAAATTTAAGAATTTTATAAGGATACGTGTAGATTATAATTTCAACTTTTGTTCGTTTTAATCATATTTCCATTGGTATAAACAATACACAAGTTATGCAACACCACTGATTTGAAATACACTATGTTTTGAGTTTTTTATTAAAAATCAATTAAGACAACATAAAAAATATTTACTAGCATTCTATTTCTATACAAGTGTTGTTTGACAGCTTTTGTGGTGGTAACACAATTCAAAAGTTAACTAACGTTCGGCTGTGTTACAGAAGCGGTCTTGATTGAAAATTTACGGTTTAAAGCTGGAAAGTGATAAATGATATTTTTAATGATTGGTGACCTTTGTAAATAAGCATTCTCACATTAGAACCATTCTCAATCAGACAACACTGAAAGGGTAAGTCTCGTCTCAATCTTCTGAACGCATTTATTTCGCTTTTCACTTGACCAACATGAGAGGTTTAATTTTAAAGATACCAACCAAAATCAAAATCTTATAAGGTTTAGTCTATTAAATAAATGACCCAGAATTCATTTTAGAATTCGTGTAATTTTTATGAACCTGTATAACGGAAAATTTATATAATGCCTGGCTTAACATGGTCCATTCAAATGTAACAAATTTGTACCATACATACAACATATTTAAATTATACAAAGAAAAATAACTTTAGCAAAAATACAAGTACACAAGCTACACTAAAAATGTCTTGTGGTGTATACGATGCTATATCAAGTCTGCAATAAAACAATCTCACGCAGGGTCAAATTTTCTTAAATCATATGTAGAAACCTATTTTATTATTTATTGCAGACAAATTCAAAATCATGCTGAAGGACGATTTGTGACAAGGAGTTCAAGCTGTCATTACACTACTATGCAATGTACATCAGAGAGCACCAAAAAGATTAAAGTTGGGTTGTGTTCTCCTACGTGGATGCTAATACTGTTTTAAAAAGTGAAACAGCTAAAACCGGTGCAATTTGCAAATTGCTAAAGTCAAGGGTTGGCAAGACGGAAGGAACGGAAGACTACCCGTTCGTCCATGGGAAGATTGATAATCTAGGAATCAAGATAAATTAAGGAAGAGCAGACGAGACCGGTTTTATACGCATCCATCTCCTTCAAAAACTTTAGAACTACCGTTTCATGTTGCAAAACATATTAGACGAGAAACATTAGTAGTGCCGTTTCATGAAAGGAGTGAGTAGTGGATGGTTACTCAATCCATTTATTATTACTGCCACGAACGAACCGTTTAGAATCGACTACTTACTTTCTTCGCAACCCATTCACTACATTTTACGTGGATAACCCTGAACGAAAGGAAAAATGAAGTGTTTCGGGCAGAAAATCAGGAATTACCACTGCAAGGTAATTCTACTTGATCAGCAGGAACTGGTGCTTGTTGCACAGGTAAATACTTCAAAAGTTCATTTTATTGGGTGATTGAGTAAAGAAAATGCCAGCGACTTCGGGAAGCCTTCTAATGCCTCACAGCTATCTGTATTATACAACCGCTAACTAATTGCTAATCGTATAACAGTGCTGCTCTACACTTGTGTAAATAGTTTCTCTGCCTCTCTTGTGATATTTCTCCGGTTCCAATCACACGATAAGAAATGTAGCTCTGTTAGATATATCCAAGATATATTTTGTCGTATGGGTTCCAATAAGTCCAAGTACCATGCAAATCGGTCAACTCGTTACAAAAAGCTACAGTATCTTATTCCATGAGTAGGACAGCCCGACAGACGGGCGGGTAAGATGGTACATCAGTCCTGATTCGAGCTAAATGGAAATCGAGATTCTGGTATTATTAAGTTGAAGAAGATCAACTTTTATTCTCGTTTTGTATTCCGTCATCTATCTCGCTTGCATCATCACAATGTTACTGGTCACCCACCATTCAATCCATAACAAATCAGTTCCTTATTTTATTTCAACCACTTCATTCAATTCAGTCAGTTCAATAACTTACTTAGATGCTGATCAAACGGAATTTCAAGAGTCAAATTGCATTAATCTCAGATTTCAGCGCATGCATGTAACTAACTAGGTATGTTTATATGTATATGTGTACAATTATTTATATTTATTTACGACTACTTATGTAAGTACACATTTGGTATGAACGTATTGTTGTACCTGCATTTACATTTTTATAGAGATTACTGATATATAACTACACAAGTACATCGGGATGCATGTATCCTGAAAATTTATTAGTAAAAATTCAGTTATTACACGCTACTTATGTACATGTACCTGTACTAATCTAGTTTAGTAAAAATCTCACGACAAAAGTCATGGCATAATTTTTATGACAAGACCATCTAAGAGTTGGAAAACCCAATCAAGATCTATAATTGGTCTTCTTCCTTGCTAGAGACGACTCCACTGCTAAACCATTATTGTCTCCTTATTTGAGCAACAATTACTCGGTATTACCTCACTCATTCAAGAGTGACCAGCCGTGCTTTTACAGGATAATTTCCATTACCTACAGTCACGTAGAAAATCAGGATTAACTTTAAAGAAAGACGAAAGAAAGGATGGTTGATGAGTCGAGCCTTCTTCCGGTATCATCCATTGTCAACCACACAGGCAATCTTTTTGCCAATCTAATCTAATCTCTTACGGTCCATCATCCCTTTGTCAACGTCAACGTCAATCTCTCCACCACCGAACCGAGATAAACAATTACACTGGGCACTAAAATAAGATGCAATTTTATACTTAGCTGGACTTTAGAACTCAATATATGTACCAGATCAATTTGGTTCTACAGTAACAAATTGATCAATTAAATTGATTCGGTAAGTTCAGGATTAGTTTTCATTTTCCCATCAGCCAAACTGGGAGCATCAGAACTATGTTATAAATAATACAGGATTATAAAGACTCTACCTCTTGATTACACTCTTGCATTGCTTGTGGAGCTAATACACATGTACATTTCTATGAAAGTACATACGTTTTAAAGATTCAATGCATCGACTGATACCCAGCATCGGTCTTCTTCAAGCTCAATTCTAGGTCTGCTGCTACAATGTCTCGGCAATCCCCCAAAGACAAAGAGTACGAATACATATAACACATTTACATGCATTGCATAAAGCGCAGCTGTGCCGACACCTCGAAGATTGTTGACTGTAGTTAAGTAATTAATTACAATTCTCAATTAACAATTGCGGAACCGTGCGCTTAATTCTACATTTCCAGCCAGATGGGCCTTGACTTAAATTGGCATACGCACTAATGCGATTTTTCATGTCGAAGCTATTTTGTTAGGAACTGATGAACACTTACTCAGTCACTTAATTCTCTATTCATTAGCTGAGTCAGCAGTTTCTAACGTTTTGTTAAATGCAGTTTTTATATGGTCGTCGTCTCGCATCAGAATTTCATCTTTCTTTAAAACGGCTTTTGTGAGCAGTTTAACTTTACTTCCATTAATGTGTATGTGTGTATGTGTACACGTCCAAAACAATATCGCAGACAAATCAGGCAGATTGACCAAGTTGAATAATGAATTTCTTTGAGAGACAATAACAGGAATCAATTGACGTTTAAGACTAACTAAAATAACTCTTATTATGTATGTCGTATTTGACTTTATATTCTTATGCATTTGCATACATACAGATGTTGAATTTCATATGCTAAACTTGGTTTCAGGCAATAGGCGATCTTCACCTGTCAGTTCATTTTGTCTTCATACACACCATACATTTTTAATACTGTTGCATGTGAAGATTAAATCGTCATTTAATAAACCTTCTGCCATTTAGTGAAGCGTAGTAGGAAATAGCAGGAATTGCTACTTGCAGTAATAATTGGTTGAGCTGTGAAGGTTACGTTTTCTTCCGACCAAATAAACCTTCCACAAGGCTTAAGGAAAATAAGTTGTTAAATGCTGCTATCTATTAATTATACATGTTTATTGTAAGTTGGACATGTTGACAACTTTTCTTCTTTGGCTATGTAGATCTTCTCCCGATAAGTCTATATTTAAGCTTGTACATACTTACAGAAATGTAGTTAGCTATTTACTAAGTCTTTATATTTCTAATAGCAATTAGCAGCCATACTGTGGTCTAATATTTATGAGTCGAAAGGTTCGCAAGTCCCTTTATTATTCTACAGGGGAAATCATGAAATTTTACTACAGATAAAATAGGACTGTGTGGAACTAAATGAGAAGCGTTTATGAAGATATACATATGTACACATTTAAGTGCATTGGTTGGTTGATTTATGTGAGAGAATTTTCCAAGCAATAACATCCTTTGATCCTTTGGAAGTTAAAAATTAATGCCATATGTATGTAGCCTTGGGTAAAGGTTAATGTTTCGAGAAGAGAACTGTGGAATGTAATTTCGTCTAGACTTTAAATTTTGAAGCACGACCACCAGAGTGACAGAACCGATGCTCTGACACGACTATCAGTCATCAAAGAGTTTAAGGTTGTCATTGTCAAAATACTCACCATCGATAAAGAGGATTGGATGATGTGGTTAATAGCTTTGTTGCATTATCCTTTGGCTAATTTTCTTTCAGCTCTGCTGCGCATATGCTTCTGCATCTTTTGTCACATATTCTTGATCGCGAGAGACGACAAATTAGGTAAAAATTACATGTCCATTGCTCTCTCCAAGTTTTAAAGACAAAACGCCGGACTCATGCCCTGCGACATTTTTGTGAATGTTGAGACAAAAGTTGTATTGCTCCCCTCTGAATTACTAAAAACATACAAATCCGCTATCATGTCAATTTGGAGTATTTGCAACTTTTTTAAGATCGATATTTTTTACTACAAAAACAACTTTTTTCTCATTAATAGTGTTTTTATTTACACACAAGTTTAATATTTGTTTACAAAAATAATTTACTTATCGTTAGTTTATAATAAACTAAACCTAACAAAGAATAGATTAGGTGAAGCGATGCGATTGATTACCAATATCAAATAAACAACTTCTCGTGGATCTGACATTTTGTCATCGGCTTTTATCAATTCGATCAAATTTTATCAAATTGATCGCAGAAATTGTATCACTTAAGAAAAATAATTAATTAAGTTGTAATGTATGGCCTCCTGTTAAAGAATGATTTACAGGATTTACATTCATTTGAACAGCATTTGCAAGTGCAGATGTTGCTTGTCGTCGCAGAAGCAAAATATGCAAATGCATGGCTACCGAATCCTGCTCACTTAACACACAAAAGTTATTTCATTAGATAAATCTTTGCAGAAAATGCATCAGAGGGGCAAGTGTGCATGCATGTATTAATATATGCCATTTGAATTGGTCGAAGAGTGTGCAGCCATTACCTGAAACACACCCCATGAAACTGACTCGCTGGCATGCAACAACGTAACGTGGAACATCCATCACATGACACATACTGATAAAATGCCACGATTAAACTCTTGGCTAATAGTTTCAAGTCTAATTATTTTTTGCTATTTTGATAATTACCTTCGTTCGTCTCTGCGCTGTCAATTGTTTGAGAGTAAAGTCGACATCAGCATTTGATATCAGGAGAGTAATTAATTCATGTAGTTTGTAGTTGTCAGGTGTGAGAATTTGTTTCGTTAAGTTTTACATCCATTTTAATTTATTCTAGTTCGAGGTTAAATAAGACGTCGATTAAATGTCATTCAACATTCCAACTTCTTTGGCTTCAGATTGCTCGTTTTTATTAAATCAAAAGCAAACTTGTTTTTTCGCTGAGAAAAATGTACCAGTTCAGCCAAATGAAATATGTATGTATGTACAGGATGATGTTCTTAGAGCGGTTTTTGTATGATTCTGGATCGCTTTATACATATTTAAGTCTGTGTCACACTAAAACAAAAGAGATGAATATTGTATTAAAAATGCATATGGATTTGTCAATCCAAGAACTGTCAATAGTTTTATGATAGTGCATGAATCAGTCTTTCACTTTGAATAATTCAAAATAAATAAGTTACTCAAGCTCAAGCCTCAAGTTTTATTTTCCAGAAGGAACCCTCCATAATACATATTTACGAAGAACACAGACAACCTAGAGACAAAAAATATTAGAAGAAGAAGCATTTTCTTCCATTATGCTTCCCAGTTCCAGTTGATTATCACTCTAATACGTGACTCTGTGACGGCTTGTTGGTTTCCCATGTTTAGTGTATGCCAGCCCTTCAATTTGAGATAAAGTCGGTCTCGCCACACTGCGTTTTCTAGCATCACAACAACAATAGACGTCGTCATTTCCTCTGCAGCAGGCCACAACGACAACCAACCAAGTTCCAATAATAACAAGATCCACTACAACAACAACGACAGGAAAATGAGTAAAGTTGACGCTAACTGACAGAAAATTGCTGTTCTTACTGCACTTTTCTTCTTTGTGGCAAGTATTTGAAGCGG